CCTCTATCAACCCCTCAGTTTTTCATCCGTGAAACGTAATAAATATCTTCTTTTCCTCTCTCTTTCTCGTATCGCAATCGTAAATCCTGACAATTTTTCTCCACTCCGTCCCTCGTTATTTATATATTTCTTTACCTGGTCAAGAATACAATGGGTCAAGAAAGCAGCCTGTTTTCTTTGCGAAGTTTCAACAATTTTCTTCAATTTCTTCCATTACTCGTTTGCGCTTTTATCACTCTCGGTTAGCAAAGAATTATAAATCAATCGTGGAAGGACCGAACACTTGGTGGTTGTAAGGTCGTATCTTTGACACTCGTTCGAGTTCTAGCCGGAAATCCATTACCTGGTAATGGGTTTCCTGTAAAAAACGCCTCGGGCGTTCTTTGACGTCCTCGTTCAATAGTAATTCATCGACGAACGAAAGTCGTCAAAGAAACTCGGTGAAAAGCGTGTCGTGTCTTTTTCGCGACGTTAATCGAACAGCGAACGATTAACCGACACGCGACGGATGAAACGAAAATTCTGTTCAACGTATGCGCATATATTTCCAACAGATACGTTGCAAAACTGGCGATGGAATGAAAAAATTCGCTCGTTCGTCGTGCAAGCGGATACAGCGAAGAAGGGAGGGATAAAATAAACAGGAGAAATAAATGAAAAAGCAGGAGACGCTGCGATTTCAATTGAAATTCCTGCAGTATTCGATGGTGCAACATAAAAGCGCGGTATCCCCTTTTCAAAATGAGCACCCAACGAGCCCGGAGGGCTGTTTCTCGCCCGCCCCCTCTACCATTCGCCAAGTCACACTTGGTCTCGCTCGTTTATCCATCTTTCTACTTTATTTTCATCTTCTCTTCTTCTTTTTTCTTTTCTTTTCCGCGTCGCGTCGATCCTCGTGCGTTCGCTGGTGCATTCGTTGCCGCTGGCTCGGATGTTTCAAACCAGGGGAAAAAGAAAAATGATCTCTGAATTCTCCTTTAGCCGCTGGCTGTCTACTCCCCCTCCCGATAAACGACCAGACAAATTTTTCGCCTACAGAATGAAATTTGTCTGACGTTGGAAACTATAAATTTCATCGATCTTTAGCGAACCAGTGAAAATCGCTGCATTCCAAGTTTGTTATTTTAATTTCTGAATTTTAACAAAGTATTTTTGCTGGAATGCTAGGGGAGATCGGGGTTAAAATTGAAGATTTATCGAGTATCGCTAGCGTTTAATCGGTATCGCGTTGGTAATACGTTTGAAGGAGAAGTTCCGTGAAATCATTGGATCGTAATTGCTTCGGCGAGGATGGAAGCCAAACGATCTAAGACCTTTCGACAAAGGAGAGCTCTTGGAACGATCAAACGTTCGAGAGATGATTTTCTTTTTCTATTCACCAGGAAGCCGCAAAAGCACTCGGCTTGATAGGCCAGTGATCGCACGGTATATCCTCTATTGGCTTTCTCAATAGCCACATCTCTCTTGCAAATAGATCTCCAAGGGAAACTGGATTCGCGAAGATGTCGACAAGAAAGAAGTCGACGGATTGGATGTATGTGATGGGTTCGATAAAGGTCCTAGAATGATGCATAAAATTGACTGAATCCGAAGAACTTGGTATCTTAAAGTATAGTTGTTTCTTCGGGTTCTTGAAATTTCCACGATTCAACAGGAAGGAAGCAAGACTGAATTACCCGCCGCGCCGTTAAATTCATCGTTTCTGTTCCTATTTCCATCTTCTTGGAGATCGTATTCTCCAGGAAATCCTCGTTCAAATTGTAAAAGTATCTCGCATCCAACTCTCGTTCCTTCTTATCGCGCGAAAGAACTCGTGTCTAGGTCTTACCTCGAAGACCGTACCGGAAATAAGTAAAGCTTTACGGTTAACACCAGCTTCCGTAAGAGAGAGAATTAACCTCGTACTTAAAACTTTTTCTTTTTTTTTTCACTGATTTTCGCTAAACAAAGGATCGTTTCGTTTATTTTCCAGCTAAAATAGCTGACAAGCCTTATATCCTGGCAACACGAGGTTTATTCAGTCGGTGCACGTTTCTTCTTTACCTCTATTTGTCCCGTCCGTTCGCCTCGACCCTATGGTAGAATCGCGAAATACACAGCGAGCTTCCGGCTGGATAACCGGCATTTATTTTGTCGCGAAAAAGAAATCCCTTTTTTTTTTTTTTTTTGTTATCGTTATTTATCCTTTTCACCGTCAGACACTGCCGGAAATATTAGCTCCGTCATGGCGAGTAGTTGGTATTTTGTTTCGGAGAGGACACTGGCCAAGAATAAAACTCGAACCCGCGGTATTATCTTCCGTTTTTCATTTTTAACTTATCGAGGCCAGGAAGAAAAAAAAAAAATCAGAAACGGTCGTAATCGTCCGCGCGATAAATAAGAAAAGCACTCGGTCCGAGAAGTTCATATTTTATTGCGTAATAAAATATAAGCCGCAGAGGGTGGTCCGTAGGGAACCCCCGGGGTCAGCTGTCGGGGATTTATTAGGACGGCGTTGCACTTTCACGGAGAATCGGGTCGAAAACGCGACGCTGGAATTAAGCGAAATAGAGCGGCTAGCGTGGCTGCAGTAAAGAGAGAAAGGGAAATATAAAAAAAGAACTTGAGATGGAAAAATAGAACGAAGGAAAAGATGATGAATCGTTGCTAATTCGAAAACAACAAATAAAAAGGTTTCACCATTTTCGCTGGGTTAAGGTTAAGAGGGAAGAGTGACGGTTCGAGCAGTGAGAAAAAGGGGATGATTCGTCAGTCGAGGAGAAGATATAACTGGGCGAAACGCATCCGTAGTCGGTGGTGTGGTGAAACGAAACGCAGCGAAGTAGTTGATGTCAGTCATTAGTCAGCCGTGAGAGTCGGCTACCGTTGGCAGAATAAGCGAGCAGAGCACCGGCAACTTTCGTAATTTGACGTAACAGATGCACCTGGTGAATTCGTAATACTTCCGAGAACGGTATATATCGGTTTCCGATATCGAATCCTGTCATTAAACCTAACGACGACGTATATTGAATTACAACGGAGCCGATTCTTCCCAAGATTGTTCCGTAACACCAGAGCCTTCCATCCTGCTTGCTCTTCAAACATTTCCCGTATTTTTCGATGAAAAATTATTTCCTTTTGCACCTTGTAGCAATAGAAAAATTCCATATAAAGTTTCTTTTATTTATCTAAAAAACCGAAAGTTGATCCGCGGATACGATTCGATGGCAATTTGACTTTATGATATTTCTCCGTCGGAAAAATAAACGTTTGCCCACGAAACGTTTTCAATCCCCGGGAAAATTTTAATTATTTTACACGTTAGCCATCGGAGTTTGCGCTTAACGAAGCCGGAATAATTTCGGTGAAAGGTAAAGCGTCGAGAGTTTCTCGCTTCTCGTTCGGTCATTATACATCGTGATTATATTGTGTCAAGAATGCGTGGAAAGTAGAATTGAATAGCGGCAAACAAACCACGTCGGTACGCGTATATCCCGGCTACTGAATTTCAGACAGCCGAGAGAAATTGAATTTCCCGCGAATTTAACGGGACAAGATACTCCTTGTGGCTGTTCGCGTTCGCCAAACACTTGAATATCATTTTCAATTCGAGGCACGAATTTCAAATAACCTTTCCACGCCGTCAAACGAGAGTATCAAGTGTATTTTCTTCCTGGTGAAAAGTTCTAAGTAGTCTCTCTACGCACCGCCCAATTCTTTTCTAATAGATCCGCTGATCGTAATGAAATACGACATACGATCCTAGTAAAAAATGAAATTGCAATTGGTAATTGAAAGGAGAAGATGAAATCGAATTAGGTAATCGATAGGTTGCAAGAGAGGCAGAGGTGATGGAGGCAAGATGGCCAGATTTCAGGGTGGTCTATTAGCCAAGCGAACTGGGATTCTGATTAGGAACGAGACCCTTCGATACCTGGGAATGGCGTGCATTGTGTTCTCGACCCATTCACCCCGTCACCAGCGTATACGTGTGTTGGCCCATGTACCCTCGATTTCCATCCTATATACCGGTCGTGATGAGCCCTTGAAGCCCCACAATGAACTAGTATTGTAACCAAGCCGTCCTGCAGTATGTGATTCTGCACGGAGCATCCGATAGAGGAAGCCAAAGTAACTTAATCGTCGAATAGTAGATATACGTTTCGGTTTCCTTTCAAATGCAATAAAGATCTCTTTCATAGGACATCTGAATCAACTTTCCCGTCAATTATCAATGGAACCAGTTTGTATCGAACCGATCTCTCTCTGTGCAGACTCTGTGATATTAATTGTAAGTAATGCGAATAGCTACTAATTATACATGAAAGCGCAGTGGCAGCTAATTAAAATACATTATAATATCGATACCAGGAGGGAGGAGTTTTGGCAGGATCAATCGAACGGGGTCAGAGTGCAACGAGACTGATCGAACTATACCTACGGTGTACACAATTGGACAGCTTTCAAAAACGATACGGGCATTTACCGTGAATTAGTGGACAGGCTGTAGCTCGATATTCGCGATGATTACCCTCGATAAACACGTGATCGATATCGAAGACCGAGTGTACAATGACGAACGTTGAAACGCGCGGAAAACCCGCTTTCCCGTTCGCTCTACTTTCTACTTTCGTCCAAAGCTTTCGTGTCTGTTTTTTCTTTTTTTCTTTTTTTCTTCTTCTTCTTTCTCCGCTAGTTTTCCATTAAACTTGTACGAGCAGCAGCGGAGCTCGCGCATCGCATCGGTCCCGGGTTTCCTTGCGACGAACAATAAAACGAACCGGGAACAACCCACCTAAGGGCATCGATAATTCATCCTCAACTACCGACGATTCTTTGTCTTGGCATTCCCTACGATCCGTTTCCAGTTGTTCCCGATAATCCTCCTCCGATTGAATCAATTCCCGATCACACACGTATCGCTTCCGGCCAACTAATGTTTCCTTTCCTTTCTTTATTTCACTCCTTTCGCAACAAACAGAGATTTCTTGATAATCTTTCTACGTTGATCGTTCCAGCTTGCAACAAGACTTATTACGGCGACGTGGGGAAAACTTACGACCTGGAGCTTCATCGACCAAAGGAGGATAAGGTGCCTTACATTTGCAAGCTCACCTTTAGCGCACCGGGTGGCGATTTCGGCGACATCGTTCAGGTAAAATCTACTCTCGGTTGCAGGAATATTGTAGGGCAAGGTAAGAAGGATCGTGGGAGATGGAAGAAAAACGAAGGTTGAAACTTTTAATAACGCAAATTGCTGGGATTGCGGGAGTTAGCCGGAAAAGCAACCGCGAATAGATCTGTGGCCGAATAAAGTTTCGCGGCAAACTTTTCCTCCACGCTATGCGAAATTATTTATACGCTCGGTATTTGCTGGCCTCGACCATTTCCACGGCTATTTTTACATGTTTGCCGTTTTTATCAAAGGAACTTGTTCGTTTCGAGCCGGTAATGCTGGGATGGAATTAGATGAAAAGCTTGCGAAGAGCGTTTAAAAGCAGCCTTCTATCATTTTTCTCTTCTTCTTTCGAGCGGTCGTTAGAGCCGATATTTTAATCTGGGAAAGCTGGTAGCTGAACTATTAATGTCTGATAACTCGATTAACCGGTAATCGGAAATTTGCTCTTTTAATCCTTGCTCCTGGTGGAAAGTCAAACAAGTTTCCTTTTCATTTCGACGGGAAAATGATTATAGAAGAAATATTTTCAGAGGTACGAGTACGAAGAATTGACGGAATTACTGGATGGGGTCTGATTTCAGTTGACGTTCGACAGCTTCACCCTGGGGAAATTCGTGTCGTTCACAGCGGAGGGATGCCCGGACGGGTCGCTGCAAATTTCGGAGGCCCAGCGACCGGACGTTGGCGGCCTCTGGTGCGGAACATCCTGGGGTCCTGCGATTTACTACAGCGAGACACCAACCGTTTCTATCACGTTGAAGCTGCTCCGACTCAGCAAGGATCAGAAGGGATTCAATTTTGACTTCAGGATGGCGTACAAAATGATTAGGAAGTCCGATGCCGTGGTGCGCTACGGGAATCCCTTCGTTGGTACGCGGATCGAGACATCTCTTGTCTTTTCAATCGGATTTATTATCTTAATTCCAATCTTAATTATATCAAAATTTGCATATTTTTAATGGAAGGAATGACGCAAGCAACGGGAACGCCGTCGTCGACCGAGCCGACGTCAGCGTCTTCGTCGTCGAGCGAATACGCGAACAGTTCGATGGCTATGCCTATGCAGATGGTGGAACAGCCATCAACCAGCCCGAAACCGAGCAGCGAGCAATACCTCGGAGACCTGATATCCGGTACATACTGTTCGCGCATATTCAGCGACTGCGACCGGAAGAAGTGCAGGCTCCAGTCGCCCAACTTTCCCGGCCTCTACCCGCGCAATCTCACCTGCTACTACGCGGTAAGTCCCGTGGGAATTTTCGGCTGGAAACTTTCGAAGAAGCTGCTCGTAAACCATGGAATACCGAACAAGAATAACCCGAGGGGACCCGACACATTTTCAGGACCTTCTCCCTTCGTTTCCCTATTTTTTTTTTCTTCCTAGTCCAAGGGAACCTGGCATTAATTTTGTGAAGTTCAAAAGAACGATAAAACCTTTTCTTTTTGATTAACGAAACTCATCGTTCATAAATTTTATACGGAAACTAATTTCCGTATTTCCATTTTCGCAGTCGTCGAAAAGCGAACAAGAGAGGAAGTAACTAGTTGGAGGAACCGCAGAATTTCAAAAGCTACCCATCGAAGTGTATTTAGCGTAAAGTCCGTTCGTGCTGACCAAAGCCGAGAGAATAATGGTACACGGTAGCGTCGTAAATTTTCGTCGAAATGCCAACATTGTTGTTGTTGTTGTTGTTGTTGTTGTTGTTGGTCGGTTCGGTCCCGGTTCGTTTCGAAGCGACTGCACACATCGAGGCCCGATCCGTTCAATTTGCTCGGGCTGCCGCGATTTCACGTTGAAATACGGCTTCTCGGATTACCGGCTGTGTTTTGCGTGTCGCTAGGAACCCTTTAATGCCTCTGCTCCGCACACCTACGCAAACCTGTACAGCTCTGTTAATATTCATTACAGGGACAGCGTATTCGATTTGTCCAGATCAGATCGCCTTTAACCGGCTGAGTTTGCATCGATCTCGATGAAATTTTCAACACACACACATACACATAACTTATTTGAATCTACGAAAGGCATATTTAAGTTGAAAAATTACCCTTCACTATTTTTACATCTTGATAAATTATAGCTTCTTAAAAAACCTTAAATCATTTGGTACAATTTTAAATAAATTAATGAAATGACACTGTACACGTGTAAGGAATAGACGAGAAGGAACGAAGAAGCGTTTCATAAAGAAGATTAAGAGGAGGATGGGTAACAAGTTCATTCCGTTTTAATCGTGTGACACAGGTGAGGCAGCACGATGTACCACCAGGGAAACACGCCTTAATTTCGGTGAAACAACCTCGGGGTCAATTGGTTGCCATTAGGGCACGGGCAGCCACCCAGGCGGAATCATCGCCCCGTGAACTTCGCCTCTGGAAGGATTGCGACGTGGTTCAGGTATCTATATACCAGATAAAATGTTCGATGCCTTTTAGAATGGTTTAAAAATGATAAAAATACAATATTATTGCAAAGAGAAGGGTTCACGTAGAAGAACTATACATACTAGGACCAAGATAAATTCACTGAGGATATGGAAACGGCTGCACGTGACCATGGTTGCCATAAAACCGAACAGCCGTTGGTTCGCATGGTAATCTCAGATCCACTTCTTAAATCACCTACATAGTCTTTCGCGAGCTCTCCTCTAGCCATCGGTGAATTTATCGATCTACATAGAGAGAGAGAGAGAGAGAGAGAGAGAGAGAATGGTAGCAAGTTACCTAAATTCGAATGGGGGATGAAGGCTGTGCCGTGTGGTCTAAGTTGATAAGGACAATTTATTGGCAGACTATGGGAGAACGTTAGATAAGGAAGATAATGTAGAGAATCTAACGGGTGTTCCCAAAATGCTATTGGAAAATTGATCATACCTGATATTAAATCCTACGATCTTCTTTCGTAATTCAGTAAATAATTAATTCAAAATAATGTCTATCGTCTAGTTTGTAATCTTCGCACCGTTTTACCTGCGCTATGGTATCAGAATACGAAAGATAACTCTATTTTCGGCGCAGGATTACGTGACCGTGTACGACGGCTACACCACCCGAGATCCGGTGATCCTGAAATTTTGCGGAGGTGGAGAACCAGTGCCAGAGGCGACCAGCAGCGGAACGGAGATCCTCGTCGAGTTCACCACGTCTCCTTACGGCACGTTTCTGCACCCCACACCGCCCCACTCTCTCCACGGCTTTCAATTAGAAGTGCAAGTACGTGGTAATTCTCTTGAAACATTGAGAAGAGAGAGGCCCGGGAACACCGGGCATGCTTTACACATGACGGAGCAAAAGTACGGCCTGTTCGTGGGTCGCATTTAAATGGATAACCGAACCAACGACCACGTTCGACATTTTTCACGTAGAGCAACCATCCCCGTTACAACTCGCCTTTTTAATGAATTTTAGAAAAAACGATCGATGCTTGTTTGTTCTTTCTAATAGGTGAAGTTCGTGGACGCAGACTCTCCGACGTACGCGAAGAACAAACACTGCGAGTTCTGGCTTCAAGGTAGCGGCGGAGGAGTGCTGGCTTCGCCTAGACACTCGTTGCCTAGAAACAGCACCTGTTTGTACCATCTTCGCGGTGCAGGACAAACGTTACCGAGTCCGACACCGCCTCGTCCTTTGCCAAAGTTTCCGGAACAGAGGCCAGGAACTGTATGGAGGAGGCCAGCACCGCGGCCTGTACAGCCACAGTTTCGCGTGTGGCTGTCGATCCTCAAGTTTCACGTGGGTACCAGCTTGTCCACCGGCGGCGACGAAGACTGTTCTACCACCCTGATAGTATGGGACGGCGAGATGATGCCGCTGTCCGAGTGCAACGACCTCCTCTGGTTCGTTGAACCGATCTCTGATTAATTGCTAGACACTCGAAACTCGAAACTCTAAACCCTGTCCTGACTGCGATCAACGCCTCTGGTGCTTGGTCTTCTGCTGATTGCTTTAGCAACTCGAGTTTCCCTTCTTCCTTCGCTGTAAGATGTTTCTGTGGCTTAAAGTTTCAACCTCCAAGATTCCAAGCGAAGCGTAGTTCGAAACATCCTCCAGCATTTGTTCGTTTATTTTAAACGACGAACGCAAAACCTTTCTAACATCGAATCTCTCTTCTTTGAACAGCGAAAAGGAGCATCAGAGACACGCGGACAGATCGGCAGAACCCGCTCATCCACTCGCGGCCCGTCCGGCGGGCAACACCACGCTCCTGGCCCGTTACTGCAAGGACATGGTACCAAGGACCTGCGATCACGCGATCCTTCAGAACACCAGTCGTCCGTGTTCTCTCGGGGAGAGCTTCGTTTCAAGGGGAAGTAGCCTGACCATCGAGATGAGGATGGTCGAGTCGACGGCTCTCAGGCGAGTGTAACTCGATTGCGAACGGGTAGATGTAGCAGGCAACGGGGAGAAAAAAAGCGGTTTCCGTTTCAATTACAGACCCTCTCGAACACGCTCCGCGTGCCGTTTTATTCCCCGTTGTTTCACGATGAAACGCGCGGCCACTCCGCTATCGATCGACACCGCGTATTATGTTTTCTCTCGAGCGGCGATGTTGAAGAGATTTTACAGGGAATATTCATGGGAAATGAGCTAGCTTTCCCTTCGATGTTCCTTCCTTCTCGACGCGTTGCAATATTTCTCGCTACAAATTTTAATTTACATCCTACAAATTTACAAATCTACGCTCTTGTAAATGAAAAAAAAACTTCACACGACCTGAATTCCTAGAAACGAGCTTCGCGAGATGCACGTCAAGTGTTTTCGCTTGAATATTTTCGAAATCGTCGTCTACATTGGTCGTAAACCGGATTGAAAACTCTCGGGAAGCTTTAAAGAGCCGTAAAAATTGATTTCGAGCGAAACGAAGAAAAAGGATCGAGAACGGAGAGCAAAGGTTACAATCACCCCATCGATTTCATCGCGCTTCACCCGTTTTATCGGAGGGAACAAAAATACACGTTTTTATCTGCACTCTGAACAACAGCCCTGCTACATTGATGAGTTCTCTTCTTTTTTTTTGCCGGTTAAAAAATCTCTTTTCACCCTGTGAGCGGCCTCGTCTCGAGGCTCTTTTCCCGCGGTTCCACTTATCAAATCCTCCACGCACCGTCATTGAAACGGATTAAATCGAACGGAAACTAAAGGAATTAAAATTGAACCGCGTTTGAAATTCAACCCTGCTGCGTTAAATTTGCAAAATCTCTTCTACCCTTTATTTCTCTCTCTCTCTCTTTTTTTTCGCCCTTTTTTTTTTTACTGCACTGTGGCTGTGAATATAAATTCGCTCGAAATTCGCCGGTGACACCGGCCTGCCGGAATCGATACGAAACGTTACACGCGAGGAATGTGGAAGTTTTACGACGAAGGCGGCGCAATATCTGCCGCGCTCGCGCCTTTTCGTTCTTCCTGCCACGCCGGCCCTTACTATCGCTTATTTAGTATAAGGAACGATTTCTGCCGCGCAGCTGGAAGAACGGAAGTGAAGGGAATACTGAATGCTCTTCAAAGTATTAGATCGTTGCATATTAAACGGCTGATTTTTAGACTAGTACAAAGTCCCTTCCCACGATTTCCTAATATTAAAAAGTTCCAACCGATCGATCGATCGGTACTTCGAGTTCATTCCCATTTAATTAACTCTTCAGCATCTTCTTTTCTTTTTTATTACGTAATCAGAAGCCAGCTCTCGATACGTTTGCACTTTACTTCTGATTTATTGAATTTTCGTGACGGTTAATATAACGAAATGCAAGATATTGAGTTCGCGAAGAGCCGACGAGGCCGGAGATCGAGATATTAAACGACACGTATTTGTAATTAACGCGAAGGTGTCGAGGAACAGCGGAGTTCGTTCCCATTCGGCGAAACTAAAAAGACGATACCGTTGTCGCGAGCCATTTATAATTCCCTGCGATCAAGATATTGTCTATACAACGATGTTTAATAAAAGGCAGAGAGAAGAGTAGTTTCATGTGGAAAGGATTAAATAGACCGTGCTATACGTTCGCATTACTCGTACTCTCTCGTCGACTATCACGCTCGAACACGCACCTACGTATCGAGTTTCTGTAAAAAAAAAAAAAAATAATAATAATAATAAAATGTAAATAACCCTCTTTGCTGACCCTATCGCGACGTCGTTGAACGTACATCGACAAGCTGGATAATTACGGAAATATCGAACGTAGCGGCTGCCGATAGGTGGTCGCCTCTGAAGGAAATAATTACTCCTTTATTTATAATCAATGCGTATTTTAATTATCGATGAGGATCTTTCAACGCGGCGTAAATTACTAATAATACATTTTCTTCAGGCCGGTGAATTTTCGAGCACTCTACGAGTTCGTCGATCTTCATCAAGACGGTGATCCTTACGGAAGCGGTCCTTGTTCGAGGATCTTCTACAGCCGCAATCGGGATCATTATCCTGATCGCCGATTCCAAGCGCCTCGCGACATCTTCCTTTATGGCCGTGGCGGGGCGAGAAATATGAGGTGAGAGACCTATCATTAGCGATATCTTTATGGAGCATAGAACAAGTAGAAATAGTAATACAGTAATGCTCGGTTAAATTTCCACGACCCAACCCCACTCTTCCCCCTCCACTCAGCGCAGCGAGCTCGACGAAATCTGGTCTCACAAGGGAACATCGGGAACTGATACACTCCGATTTTGATGAAACTTTGCATAAATATTTATTAGACCTGTTTATGAAGATAACTGTAATTCGTTGCTGCCCGTTTTTCACTTTGAGGGAGATATCAACCCTTTTATCCGAACCGCCCTTTCTATATACGTGCTTATAAATCGTATACAAAACAAAAGATATCAAAAAATAGTTGAAATAAAAGTTATACCGTTTCTTGAGGTCTATAAAACTGCGTGAAGTTTTTCGAAACGGAAAGGGAGGGGGAATTTAATTTTGCAAAAAGGATGATTTAAAAAAAATACTTACATTCTCGGAATAAAAACGCTACCCTGCTCGTGTTAATTTCACTGCTGACTCCCGAACGTAGTGAAATTTAACCGAGCATTACTGTAATCCACAACATACAAATCTTAACAAATTTCTCAACCCTCTGTACATCGGCACCCAAACTCTAGACTCTAGAGGATACTTTTCACCCTCCGGAAAGTGAATACCATCGGATCCCGAGGAATCGATGGAAAGCTTCCTAAGGCGGTAGTTAAGCTGGACGCGGTGCTTTATGGGTTTGTAAAGCGGACTTTACGCACGAAGGGTTGAACAGCCCTTTCTCTGACGATAGATCGTGGAAAACGATTACACGCGACGAAAGGTTTCACCGATAAAGGGTGGAAATGGTGGCTGGTCGTTATCGCTGATAAACGCTCGCATATTCGACGTTCTCGCGATTTTATTCCTGTCACCCCTCGCGCGAAGGGTGCAAACAAGCCCAGACTGTTCGTCTGGTATTGTTGTTTGCTGGTAAAATAGAATCGCCCCGTGCTCGTTTACTTTGTTTCTCGTTTATACCCGCGCGACTGTGGAGGGTGAGAAGGAGCGAGGGGTGTCGAATTCAATGAAAATTTTCCTGCAACGTACTGTGCAGAGATGAGAAGATGACGAGCGGAATGTAAGTTCGATTAAATGCTGAAAATGTAGGGTAACACGGATTTTCCAGCTGCGTGTACCGATTCGAGGGTGAACACGACGAAATCGTGAAGCTGAGGTTCAACAAACTGCTGAATGGGAATCGAACTTGTCGCAGCGTCTCCAGTTCGGACTTTAATCGATTGTTATGCGTCGGTTCCGATCATTTCTCCGTAAAGGTACGTACATAAAACGTTTTCCAATAATTATTTTATTGCATTGTATTGTTTGATAAAAAACTAGAATTAAACAAATTAAACAGTTTAATTAAAATTAAATTATACAAATATGGAGTGTAATTAACGAAAGTAAACAGAACGAAACGAGGTAGAATATAACGCAGGGAATAAAGTAAATAAATAAAAAACAATAGACATGCTGTTAAATGGAAAATGGAAAAAATATTCTGACGAATCTGTGCATCCGTTAATTTGCAATCAACTTCTGTTTCAACAATCCCTCCGATGAGCTAATAATGATTTTAATCTAAACTTCCGTCCGCGCTGAGGAAAAGAAAGCGTCGATTGTTTCTCCATTAGGGATCGCTCGGTAATTAAGAAAAATGAGATGCAAAACCGAGGCGTATGAACGTTTTCGTATCCAGATGAATCTGAATTTCCGATCGAATCGAAAGCAATCCACTCTGCGAGCCGCATTCGTTATCGATTCGGAGATTTACGAGAGTCACGGCAATCGTATTCGCGAATATAAAGCGCAATTAGGGGGACGCCGATGCTCTCGAATACGGCGTCACGTTTTGTTTGCACGGCAATCGTAATAATCTGTCGACTAATTAATTTCAAATTGACAGGAATTTTCACGAATAATCCACAGGTGCTCGATCTTCCATGGCCGAACGCTCCTCCCGTTCAAAGGGATTGTCTTTGCTCGAATCGTTCGCTGCCCATGAACGTTAAATCAACGTCGAACATCGTCGAGGTGCATTTCACGGTCCTCTCGATGGACGCGTTGGACGATTACAATAATCTGTTTTTCGAGGGTATCTGGGATTTTGTGAAGACCAATCCTTGTTTGCAGAAACGGAGGATGAGAGGACCATCCGGGGAGATCAAGTATAAATCGCCGATCACCGATGAGGATGAGGTAAGAGCTCCGTTTCAATGCGATTAACGCGTCGCACAGTGGGCCAGACGGCGAATCTAGATGGAAAAATATCATTTTTAAGAACTTATACCAACTTGTAACAATAATCTTCAAATCTCAGCTGATTAGAACTGTAAAAGAAGTTTATATTTCAGAAAAATTGCGAGAAACATCCATGGTTGATCGATCCAGGACCGAATCAGTACCTCTACGTGAAGATGCACGGCACGATAATGTCGAACAGCAGCAAGTGCTCGACGAAGAACCGCATCGTGGTGCACACAGGTGGTGCAATCCACGTGTCCGTGTGTCCGAAACCGCCGATAGAATCGAGGCACCACGTGGTGGAGGTGTTCAGCGACGGCTGGGCCGTCAGCAGTAACGCGATGATCCTTGCACCGAGTCAGGACCCCATCAGGACCGTCGTTGTGGAGTTTCTCGTGAAGGAACCAGACACGTATACAGTCACCTGGCTCGAGCTCACCAGAAGGTAGCACATTCAAATCTTATCTTCCTATACCCTGTTCTTGTTTATCATCTGTTCATGATTCTGTGCTTTACCAATAAAACAGCATCCGTTTTATCTCTGCTCTTACAGTTCAGTGATCTTGAATTAAGAAGAAGACTTACTCTTATCTTTCGCAGAAAGGCTATCCTTAATTTTCCAGGATAGCAACTTTCATAAATTGAGGCTGTGAATTATCTTTCAATTCTTAGAATAAAGCCTTTATTTTAAAGTATCGAATAGCTAGCTCTGACTGACGCAACTATCGAACAAATCATAGGCGAAGGGGTTAATGTAACGAATGATTTTATTCGACAGGCCGTCGGTGACATCGACGGCAGGCCTGCAAATGCCTCGAGATTGCGACCAACGGTGTCCAGAGTTGGACGCTTGCATAAACGCGTCCCTCTGGTGCGACGGAATCTCCCACTGTCCATCAGGTTACGACGAGGCCTTGACCCATTGCTCGATGCTGCTGCAACTGCCACCTCTGCATCTGGCTCTCGGTCTACTCGCTATCGTCACGATCCTAGGCGTGATCTGCTTCGTGATCTGGCGCATCTGCAGGCAACGGGCGAGTCGCTCGATATCGCAGCACAGGCTGAAGAGCATCAGCTCAGCGACGGCCATCATCGACGGGAAGGAAGTGATTTGCTGACACAGCGACAGTTCTGTGCGTTACGTCGAGGTCGACCGAGTGACCACCGTGTGACGATCACCTTTGGTCACCTTCGTTCGTCGTCGCGGCTGCCCGATCTGCCTGGTGTCCTCCTGAACGGCACACCTCCGCGACCACATCCGCCTTTACGTAACGCGCAGAACTGTTCCTCTGTAAGGATGCTTCGCTCGACGTATAGATTAGATTCTAATCGATTCTGCCGACTCTCCGCTCGACGACTCGGATCACCCTATCGTTTCTTCGCCCTCGTTCGAGAATCGAACGATTTCCAGATACTCGTTTGGCTCATCCGACGCATCCGTCACCTCCCAATAAGCGCAACTGGGAATCGAATTGTTTTAACGAGGACAATAAGTAAAGAGAAAAAATCCTAGAAAAATATCCTTTCGCTCGCGCTGGTAGTATAACTTAGCGGCAACTGATTCTTCATGAAGTATACCGTTAGAATTAAATAAAATCCGAAACGTCGAACGGAGAAACGAGCAGGAAGCTGTTCTTAGTAGTCGTTCGATCGGCCGTCGAGATGCCGATCGACGTGACGGCGAAGGCACGATTTTAAGTTCGCTCTTCTCAACATCGCTCTCTCCTCTTCACTTCCGGTGAACCACGCGAGATCTTCTGTAAAAAATAATCGATCGAAATCGGACCGTCGTTCCGATGAATCGAGGCGTTTCGTTTCGAACCGGAGATGATCAAGATTGTTAGGGAATTTTCCATCTTCGTGTCCATTTTCCTTCGTATAGATATAGATTATGAGGAGAATGGACATGGAACCACGAGAAATCTTCGAGCAGCCTGAATCATCTTTCTCTTAATTGAAAAAAAAAGAAAAAAAAAGATATACTAGAGATACTTGACCAAATGTTTCAAGCGATTATCGTTTTAGGGGACTTAATGATAATTACACTAGCGGATAAGTCTTCGACGGAAGAAGGAAAGGTAGAATCTATGGTAGCCTGAGATTATGTGATACAATATACGAAATGCTGTTTTCCTCGGAGCTGTGCTCCGTTTAATAATTGTTACACCCGGCTAGGGTGGTCGAATCGGCATTACGATTCAGGGTGTTCAGAGTCGACACCGGACGACTCGTACACCATGTTCATACTTGTACATAATTATTTATCTATTTGTATCGGATGATAATGCCGTTTTAGCACGCGTCTCCGTTCTTACGATCACGTGTTTTAAGCTCAAACTCGCAAACATGGTCATTCATATTCCGTAAATTCGATCTCAACGATTGTATCGGTCGTTTCGGTAATTATTTCAATTACACTAAATAATTGAAAATAGTAATCTAAATAATTACCGTCGTTTCTTATTTCGAATCATCGGTGAAGCGTGAGTGCGAACGGAGACCTGTACCAAACCGCTTCACTATTAGCCACTAAGCACACAGCTCGGAAAGAAATGTGAAAACAACCGAAGATGATAAAAGAAATTGAGAAGAGCGCCGCGATTAAACACATTACCGTCGACTAACCGGAATTACCGTCATCGTTTTCTCGCTGTTTCAACCGTGCACGTAACGATCATTCGGAAGATAGGAAAGTCCAGGAAACGAAAGCCGAACAGCAACGTCGAAACCGAGCCTCCATATTATACGTTGATCAATGACAATCGTTAATGTATCGATTTATTAATTGTATGCTTCAAGTAGACCGCCCAAGCGGCAGCAGCAACGTCGCGAGACGAAGGTGAAACCTTCTCGTCGAGATTTCCATACGCGTACACACACGACTTCGTCCTAACGAGAAGACTTTTTTATCTTTAAAAACGCGTCCTCTTATTTCGTACGTTTAAGGGTTTATTCGCTCTCGTTCGCTCGATACAAATCGGTCATTCTTCTTCTACTCGACGATATACAGGGTGTTCGACAACAGTTGGGCAAAATTTTAAGGGGTGATTCTAGGAATCAAGAATAATGAAATAGCGTTTGCAGCTTTGTTTTCCAGTAATTAACGTTTACAAATTCGAATAAAATGCGCCTGAAACCTGCAACCCGCTCAGCACCTACGACTGAACGTCAGATCAGCAGGGGAAGGTACAGTCATAACCAAGAATCGTTGAATAGTAGAAACTTACCTCGTGCTATTCTGTTTCTCGGTACTGCGCCATTCGACTTCGATTCTTGGTTATGACTGTACCGACCCCTGATGACCTGACGTTTAGTCGTCGGTGCTAGACGGGTTGCAGGTTTCAGGCGCTTTTTACTCGAATTTTTAAACGTTAATTATTGGAAAACAAAGCCGTAAACACTATTTCGTTATTCTTGATTTTCGTCTTATTTTGATCCCTAGAATCACCCCTTAAAATTTTGCCCACCTGTTGTCGAACACCCTGTATATCTCTCTCGTTCTTTCTCGTGAAACAAATCCATTTTTCCGGATATTCCCGATTCATGTTTCTTGCGTTGCGGGGACCAAAAATGAAAGAAACGCGTACGACCGCTGGAATTGGCCGTGCCAAAATACCATCGTCTCGTTCACTCACTCTCTCTTTCTCTCACTTGGTTAGTTCGGTTGGCTCGCGTGGATTCCGTTGGTCCGGCGCGATCAATACCAAATACATACATTTACAGAGAATCGAAGACTGACTTTAGTTTCTCGCGTTCAATCGTTGCTGTTGCTCCAGCGATTCCGTGATAACACACGAGATGCACACTTCTCAGTTCACTGCCATTTCCGTTTTATCGCACACATTGTGTCGCGGATCGGTTTCGAGTGATCGTGATAACGTATCAGAAGGAAATCGAGAGAAAACACACCTTGATACGTTGCGTTCAATTAAATCTTTTCTCCTGTTCGTTAATCAACGTTTCGATGTAATTAACAAGGGCTGCCAATGAAAGATAATCATTCGAAATAATTCTAAAGTTCATTCAGACACAAGCTTACAAGTTCGATACGATACTGGACAAAGAGAGACAAGACCGTGTATAAGATTAAAGATCATCATAAAAATCTCTCTACCATCTATAATCTATGGTAAACATAAATGATCGAAGGATCGAGATAAATTGTAAACGAAACTCGCACAAAGGTCTTCGTAACTGTGTTGTACAATGAATGAGTTGCATTGAACTTGTCGCAGTGAAGTTGGCCACGCATTCACTCACTGACGCGGCGTGAATGCGCTAGTGAAGTTGGCCACGCGTTCACTCACCGACGCAGCGTGAATGCGTTAGTGAATATATAGCCAACTTCACTGCAACAAGTTCAATGCAACTCAGTGTACTTGAAATAATCTTGATCTCGACGCAAAACAACGACGACGATCTAAAGGCATCTGAACAGCGGGGAATGAAGTTATGCGCGCGAAAAGTAAATACTCTCCTCTGGTGGCCCACGTATGTTCGCGTATACACGTACGAAAAAGGTTTATCGCAGGCAAGCGTTACAATCGATTGGCAAACGAACACCAACCAACCACTGGTCCAGTTGCAATTTATCGGCGAACCTTTATTGACACGGTGTATGAAAACGTGGCCCCCGTGTTTGGCGACACCCGCAGGGTAAGGGCCATCGACTAGGCGAATCGCGTGGACTGTAGTAAACTAACGCACCCTCGACGCGATCGTAACTTGTTTGCACGATGGTAGCTGTATTAATCTGGTTGCATCTCTCTTTTGTTTCCTTTCTTCGCCGCAACTCTATGGATCCTGGGTCCATAGATTTTTATTTCGGTTACCAGATACACGCGCTACTTTCTCTTGCAATCTGCAAATGATAGAAAAAATTATTTAACACTCGGATGAAATTGAAATTATTCTAATCGATCCATCGAACTATTGAAACAAGTTACAAAGATAAAACTAGTCAGATAGCCCTCGCGACAGGTGTATGTGTAAATAGATAGTAAAATCGTCGCGAAATCGACGAACGACGCGATTGTAAATAAACCTAAGATACACAGACACGTACGAGTTTTAACTAATTCTAGATCACGATCTAAGCTACCAAGTAAACTATGTAGACGATTAGACGTTACTCTTTACAATGTAAACCATATCCATGAGCGCGCTGGAATTCAAAGACGAAACGTTGCCGTCGATTCGCTGCCAGCCTTTCCTTCTCGCAACTTACCGGACCATTTGGATATTTCAAATCTTTTCTTCGTTTCTATTTGAATTCGAAACCTCGAATTCACCGATGATTTCAGCTCCTTGGTAACTGATAGAATAGATAGAAAAATAATTGTTTTAAGAATCAAAATATGGTATACACAGTTCCAGGAAGTTTGCGAGAAATTATGGTACACACCAGTCCCCGTTGATAAATCAAGAAAGGAAGGAACGTTTTCGTTATTCCGTCAGGCGTGTCGAATCGACAAAATTCGCGCGGTTTCTATGTACATAATTAAGCGTAAGTGTTAAACGAATATCGTGAATACCGAGAAACCGCACAACACGATTAAGTTTAATCATTTCTCGACAAACTGTTACGTGTAAAAAAAGAAAAGGAACAAACTTAAGGAAAGAAACGATGTACGGTGGGAGTTTAAAACTCGTCGGATTGACTTGTACAGCGTTTTAGGCCTGTCCACGAACGAGGATCCTCATGTTGCTCATACCCATCGTTATTACTCATCTTCTCTGAAAAAAAGAAAAAAAAAAAGTATATGATAGAGTAGATAAAGTGCGAATAATCATATCGAACCGTGTCAATATTTTAGAACATTGAATTGACATGTAGTTAATAATTATCAATTATTTACTATAGAAATCGGATGGGTAAAACAATTTGGATCACGAAGGTTATCCCGGTGGACTGGCCTGATTTATTCAACAGCACGGAACTTTCACGTGTTCCGAAACTCATCACGAAGACTGCCGAAAAACGCTTATTGTTTCAAACGCTTCGGCGTCGCGCAATAATCATCGTTCAGGGCGGTTCGAATAACGAATAAGCGTTACATATTACTTTCACGTTGAATTACATCAGCAGACGGTAGCATTAATAGCACATCTTCCTTATTTGCGATCTTTTCAAACTATCTCGTCACCTATTTTTGCAAATAATCACATACAATTTCTACTTCGAGTAACTGCAACAGAAATCTAACATTATCGATCGTCGATAACATCTCATCCGACGCGACGGTTCAAAGCTTCCCGCGCAACGATTAATTCAAATGGAATGCACATTTTCAATATTCTTTGCCTTCGTGCACAATGATTCATGTTTTCCTGTTTACTTCAACTTTTCATTCGAATCACATCAATCGTACAGACCCGTAGACGGTTCTGCTGATCTCTTCAAACAGATTTTTCGCAATACGAAGGTTTTGAAAAGAAGATGTACATGCAATACCTCGGGATACTGAAATTTCCTCGATTCCTGACAGCAACAAAAATAAATAATCATTAACGAACGATATATAAAGGCTCGTAAAAAAGATGCATAACGATATAAGAACAGAATATCCGATTTACAGTAAGCGTGAAATTATAAAACAGATCCGACAATAACATACGAACGCATGTATACAACAATTTTCCGCATGCGACTGCGTGCACCGCATATATACTTGAAGGAAAATGTTAAGTAGCAAGAAATATAGTTGTATCTCTCAGGTCGACGCGACATATACGTCACAGTAAAGGAGTAAATTAAAAAAAAAATATTCTAATGATTCATCGTCTGTTGTGAAATCTGTCGAAACGTCGTTTTCATGACGATGAATCATGTATGATATCTGTTCACTAATTAACGCGTAAACTGAATTCATTCTTTTTTTCTATTTCAATTAAACCTACTCCAATAGAATACCTATGATAATGTCAACATATTAATTGATTCGTCTCGTTCGACCTGAAAGATACTTTTACAAATTGATTAACAAAAAAACAATAGGGGATGGATCACTGTCAGCCGTAAACATTTGAACAGAACCTCCAAAAGACATGCTCACACAACATGCATATAGTTACTAATTATACCATTATTGATTACCGATTCGAATATCGAGTATGCGACATTTTTAATAAATTATTTTGAAGATTGCTCGGCTTGTTTACCCTGATTAATCTACCCCTTTTTGTAGTTTTCCTTCTGTAATAAAATGAAATAAACCGTATGCTCGATAACCTGATCCTTTTAAATTTTTCATTTTGAATAGTGTCACATGACTGTCAGGTTAGATACCTATGGAAAAATGAATCCCTAAAAGAAAATAAATATTGTGACATTACACATTTGAGATATATGTATGTACATTGAAGGATTTTAAGATAAGAAGGTTAATTCTATTTAAAAATGTGTAAAACGATGTTAATAGATGTTGAGAAAAGCTAGTATGATGATAAATTAACGATCTTAGTACTTTTTATGCTTATGTTGCCAGTACATTTTTTTCCCGCCTCTCGGAACAATCGAACCTCCGTTAAAACGTCATCGAGTTTTTCTCAGCATCTCGTGACGTCAAGTAAAACCGTAATAATTGCCTTTTTTTGTTCCCCCACTATACTTCTTCTGTACGTACATTTCTCTTAAATCTACGCAACATATGTGACTTCTGTTAACTTCAAATCACTTCAAACGTAGTTACAGTATTCGTCACGAAAATAAAGTTACAGATATATATATATATAGTATAGAATTCTTTGAAAACTTAGGTAAGCTCTAAATTAATCAGCAACGTTAACAGTTTCAGTATAAAGCTTGGTCGGACAAGTTTGTGTGTCATTGTTTCGTAACAAGTGGGTAAACATAAGGTCTGCGAAATTACCATAATTGAGTTCTTTAATCTACTTCCTCGGTCGATAGTTTAGCGAGAAGTAGGTGTGTCAGACGCTTTTTGTAATTATAACACGATTGTTTCTTTTAATTATTACTTTTTACATGGTTAAAGAGGTAATTTTTTATTGCAGATTATTTGTGTCCAATCTTTTGTCAAAAACAAAACAGGCAAAATGAGTTACGGTTACCAAGTAAGTAAAATTATACAGTTTTGAATAATGTAGTTAAGGTTTTCTACTGTGTTTGCGATATAATATTAACAAAAGAGTGTGAATATCTGATTTTAATTTGCACTTGGTATCAAAGGGACCACCGGTGATTCAATTTCCGGGACATGTACCACCACCAACATCATTTGGAGCTCCACCTGGCACACCCTCTGCCCCTGGTGCTGCTTCTGCTCCTTCTTATTCTCAAAGTGGCAATTTTGGTTTCACAAATGCTCCACCTACAACTTTTGGAATGCCACAGCCATATTCTCCTTATCCTTCAACTCCTTATCCTATACAACCTAGTCATTCTGTTCCTGGGCAATGCCCTGCTCCAGCACCAGGAGCTTATCCTCAATATATGCCTCAACTTGTTCCTCAATCTACCTCTCCTTATCCACCTCAACAGACGCAACAACCATATTCTAATCAACCTTCTGGGTATCCGCAACAGCAAAATTATGCTGTGTATCCAAATCTTCAAAATGTACCAGAAGCAAAAGAATGTTTTAGTGGATCCTCTCCGTATCCCTCTGGTCCTAATGCTTACTCAAATAATTCAAATCCCTACCAAGGTGGAAGCTATCCTGGGGGGCAGGGTGGTGGATCATACTCTCCTTATGGAAGTAAATCTGCCTCACCACGATCTTACCCAGCCCAAGCCCCCCGAAAAGATCAGTTTGCACCTAAGGTGAGACTATGAAAACATGCATAGAAAATAACACTAGATTTTCATCAATTTCTAGTTATCATTCTTTGCCATTGCAAATTTTACAATTAACTTTTTATTGATTTCTGTTCTAGTTATCCCCTACTGTTGTACCATACGGTGATTTCGATCCCAGGGCAGATGCGGAAGCTTTAAGAAAGGCAATGAAAGGTTTTGGTACAGATGAAAAGAGTATTATTAATGTACTTGCCAATCGCACTAATCTACAGCGTCAAGAGATTGCCGTTCAGTTTAAAACTTTGTACGGAAAGGTATGAAAAATGTTAATGAAACGTGTAACAATGTAATTAACACAAGCTTTTTTTTCATATAGGATTTAATAAAAGATTTGAAGTCCGAATTATCGGGTAACTTTGAAAAGTTAATTCTCGCTATGATGATGCCATTGCCACAATATTATGCCAAGGAACTGCATGACGCAATGTCCGGTATCGGAACCGACGAATGCGTACTTATCGAGGTATTATGCACAATGTCTAACCACGAGATTCGGGTGATTAAACAAGCTTACGAAGCAAGTAAGTTCTACTCGCATTAATTATAAATTACCAAACACCATACATTTTTTTCTAAGAACAATTGCAATTTATCCAGTGTACGGAAGATCATTAGAAGATGATTTGAGTGACGATACTTCCGGCAATTTCAAACGGTTAATGGTATCGTTGTGTTGTGCCAACAGAGATGAGTCATTCGATGTAGATCCTGCAGCCGCAGTAGAAGATGCCAAAGAACTTCTCAGAGCTGGTACATATTGTTCTGTATAACGCGATATGATTATCAACAGCTGTAAATAGTAATTTCTAATTTCTATTTAGGTGAACTTCGCTTTGGTACTGATGAATCAATATTCAATGCAATTCTTGTTCAGAGAAATGTTCCACAGTTGAGACAAATATTCCAAGAATATGAAAATATAACTGGCCATACTATCGAAGATGCAATCGAGAACGAATTTTCAGGTGATATTAAGAAGGGCCTCCTTGCAATTGGTATGTAATTGTTGTATCTTCAGTGTTTGTCACGATTGTTCTTTTTTTTTTTAATTTTCACTGATATACTAACGTGTATTAAATTCTATGATAGTGAAATGCGTGAAAAACAGAGCTGCCTTTTTTGCTGAACAATTATACAAAAGTATGAAAGGTTTCGGGACAGACGATAATCGTTTAATTAGATTGGTTGCCACGCGTTCTGAGATAGACATGGGAGAAATAAAAGAAGTATTCAGACAACAGTATGATGAATCGTTGGAAAACTTTATAGCCGTTAGTATAATTACTAATAAACATGCGTATAAATATAGAAATTGAATTTAATCTTGAGTCTGTTTCAGGGGGATTGTTCCGGTCATTACAAGAAATGTCTTCTGGCTCTTATTTCTTAAAACTGTAACAGCAACAAATGACAAATCCTTTCTTGTCGCATTTAAAACTCCAATTGATCAAGTATTAATGTTCACATAATTATTTATCATGCCTGTGTTGGTCTCGGATATATTACGGACAATATTTGTCTGGCATTGAAATACAATGTTCCTATATAGAAAATTATTATATACAACTATTTACAACTATAAAGCTTGGAATACGTGTTTTACATTGAATCTCAAACTTCAATGCGATTATTGTTGAATTTGAATATCTGAAAGTCTACTATAACTACACCCCTAAAATAACAAAAATTGACAGATTTATAAAAACGACAACTATTCTTATACGATATGTTTTTTTATCTTATATAAGCTATATATATATATATATATATTACAATTACTATGTTTATCTATATATATACTATGGATATAAACAAAAATAAAAAATTGTTATTAAACTAGTTCAATCTTTTATACGGTTCTATTACGCGGGTAAGTAAATAAAAAAAATTTTCGAACTTGGCGTTGCTTCAATTTTTTTGCTTAAATTGGGTAAATTAAATAATAACTCAGTTGCTCTTTTTAAATCATTTATTTTCCAATACGCATAAATTGAATACAAGTTCGTCAAATAATCTTATGCTGTTGCAAAGCACCGGTGCTTCGGGGTCCCTGACACCCCGGATGCCATTCGGTATGCAAAGCATCATCCGTGTTTCGGGGTCCCTAACATCCCAAGATGATACGCGGGGAGCGCCACCGGTGCATCGGGGTCCTTAACACCCCGGGTGCAATAATGTCGGTACGCAAAGATTAGCGTTCGGGGTCCTTAACACCCCGGACGCCATAATGTCGGTATGCAAAGAATAGCTTTGGGGTCTCTAACATCCCAAGATGATATGCCGGTTTGCAGCGAGCGCCACTGATGCATCGGGGTCCTTGACACCCCGGAAGCCATAATGTCGGTATGCAAAGAATAGCTTTGGGGTCTCTAACATCCCAAGATGATATGCCGGTTTGCAGCGAGCGTCACCGATGCATCGGGGTCCTTAACACCCCGGATGCCATAATGTCGGTACGCAAAGATTAGCATTCGGGGTCCTTAACACCCCGGACGCCATAATGTCGGTATGTAAAGAATAGCTTTGGGGTCTCTAACATCCCAAGATGATACGCGGGGAGCACCACCGGTGCATCGGGGTCCTTAACACCCCGGATGCCACAATGTCGGTACGCAAAGATTAGCGTTCGGGGTCCTTAACACCCCGGACGCCATAATGTCGGTATGCAAAGAATAGCTTGGGGGTCTCTAACATCCCAAGATGATATGCCGGTTTGCAGCGAGCGCCACTGATGCATCGGGGTCCTTGACACCCCGGAAGCCATAATGTCGGTATGCAAAGAATAGCTTTGGGGTCTCTAACATCCCAAGATAATATGCCGATTTGCAGCGAGCGCCACTGATGTATCGGGGTCCTTGACACCCCGGAAGCCATAATATCGGTATGCAAAGACTTTTTGCATCTATAGTCATTGAATGGAATCAGGAATTACGAATATGTATTTTCATTGAGCTATTCGAAGCCGCTGAAGACAGATTGATTTAGGATTGCTCACATTTTGACTTTTAATAATTAAAAGACAATCATATTAATTAACATTGCAACAATGTTTGGGGTAAGACGAGCTCTTCTGTCCAGTTCAGTGTAAGTTTAGTTCAATTTTTTATTTATAACTGTAGTATGGTTGATATTATATAATTTCTAACCTATTACGTTCTCTGCTGTTTGTCATAATTATTTAATTTTATTAATAAAATAACATTATATTTGTTAATAATGTACATATAATTTTCTTCGCAACTAACATTTTGAGTCTTAAAATCCGATCGCAAAAATACGCAGTATTACATTTTGGAGTCGTATATTCTAAGTATACATACATATAAAACGTTTGATTTCGCCTCTTAATTAAATTTGTATTTGTATACCAGGCATTTCATCAAAAATTTATTAATTGTGTTTTATAGCAGGCACTTGATCTTTCTGTCAAAAATTTGGAGTTTTTGACCAAAAAAAAGAGCACAATCTTTTTAAGATATATACATTTATAAATTATCCAAATTAAACAGGAGTATAAAAATACATACAAAATTGTGTAGACCTTTGACATAAGATAAGCACGTTAATCGCTCTTTAAATATATATATATATATTTAAATCATATGATTTAAAAAATAAAGACCTTTTACATTATAAATATGATAATACTCATGTTATCTGTAAATAATAAAATTAATGTTTTGTAGATATAATATCAAATGAGTGTAATGAACATACAATTGTTTTGTTTATTTAAAGAAAAAATATTACCACTAATAATGTATTGATATATTTGTTGTTTTTTAGGAAAGACGCAATTGTGAAGGCGAAACATACGCTTCCCGATTTACCTTACGACTACAAAGCTTTGGAACCTGTTATATGCGCTGAAATCATGCAACTTCATCATTCGAAGCACCACGCGACTTATGTAAATAATTTAAATGTTGCTGAAGAAAAAATGAAAGCAGCTGTTGCCAAAGGCGACGTTACCGCGCAGGTTGCTTTAGCACCTGCTATCAAATTCAATGGTGGTGGGCATGTGAATCATTCTATTTTCTGGTGTAATCTTTCTCCGGGTAGCAGTAAACCAGATGGTAGGTTATTTTAAGGGAAATGTTATTTGTTTAATACAAAATGTTTAACAATTCAAAACAGCTGTTCTATTACAGCTGCGCTACTTAAACAAATTGAAAAGGATTTTTGCAGCATGGAAGAAATGAAGAAACGATTATCTGAAATGACTGTTGCAATTCAGGGCTCTGGTTGGGGTTGGCTTGGGTATTGTCAAAAATCAAAATGTTTAAAGTTAGCAACTTGTGCTAACCAAGATCCATTACAAGCTACAACTGGTTGGACACCTCTTCTCGGCATCGATGTTTGGGAGCATGCTTATTATTTGCAATACAAAAATGTTCGTCCCGATTATGTTAAAGCAATTTTTGATATCGTTAACTGGAATGATGTCAGTGCTCGTTTCAAAGCTGCTAGTGGCTGTTAAAGTATAAATTGGTAATAATTGAATCTAAGTATGATAGCGTTAAAAGTGATATTTACTTAGTAGGAATCTTTTCCAAAAAATAATTTTATATTTTCCATTATTCCATTTGTTTTGAAAAAGCATTTGTGATTTTGTATACACCTATTTCATAAGTATAATGTAGATATCGTGCATACGTGTAATAACGAACGAAAGGCTAATAAACTCTACGGAAATGATTGCCTATTTACGATATAGAAATCTCTTTTAGAGAAATAAATGGCAATTTTTTATTTCAGAGATAATTCTAATTTCAGATATTCAAATTTGATTTGAAAGATGGCGCTGGAATCGAAGCGCGCAATTCGAATTTATCATACATCGATAACTATCGCATCATGATTAGATCCGTTTTCATTTGACACGACAGTGCATTGAAAATATCACATGAAGTATCGCGACAATCCACCAAGACATCAGCGCCATACGGTTAGTAAGCTGCACGAGCGAGTGCCGAGAAAGAAGAAAAAGACGTCTAATCCGCGCCTTTGGTAATCGATCGGTTAGAGCGAAGTCGCCTCGCGTCGCGACGCGTATAACACCGTGTCTCGAGGAACGTAACGGAATCAGAACCAGTATGGCCGGAGGACCTCAGCTGTTTTCACGTCACTGCCTACGTATCTAGTGAGTCAAATGCATTCTTGTCACTTTAAACGCTCGTAGTAATCGCACATTTAATTATATTCGCACCGAAGGGTACTATCTTCGTAGTTGTTGTGGGTTTACTTGTACGTAATATATCGCGTATTACGATTGTTGCCTACGCCACAAATTAATTTCCTTATTTACTTCGTTATCTCTAGCGTACAGTAAGTATGTAGATATGTATGTGCAGTTATAGACATTTTTTTAATCCTTAACGTCGTGTTCTTTTATTCTGACGAATGTATAGGTATATCATTGTTGACTTGGTTAGTTTTACTTTATACGATGATAATTCGAGAATATACTGCACAGAAAATCGTAGCAACAAGTTTTTTTTTAACAATATTAAGTAACTAGGAATAAAATAACATTGAACGTTCGATGGTAGAGAAAAGTAGTTGCAAAATTTCATTATTTTATTGTCTAATAGCTTTCGATATTTCTTCGGGTATGTTTGCATAGATATAGTATAATTTTCTGTGATCAATTCTAAAACCAATTAATTGAATAGTATGCCTGTAGCACGTTTCGAATGATTCACTACGTTAGTGTACTATCGATAGTGTTAATTACGGTTGAAGGTGGCGCTTTCATTCTATCCAAGGCGCATTTGGATCACAAGATTTGTTTTTTTATTTTTTATTGATGGAACATAAAGTATATTTCGTATATTTCTATACGAACACATTTAGGTTGCGAATCATTATAGGAAAAGTAACATGTATACTCTCTGAGGCCCAAGTTGAGTTTTTCGGAATTAGAGCATACAGGTGCAATCTTACGGAAGGTTGATGCTGAAAAGATTGCCAGGCATAAATTAAACCTTCACGCTGAACCAAGTTCGTTAAGAACGTGTTAACAGAAATTGGCTTTCGAATATTTAAATACGAACACCCATTTGATTTGCTAATCAAAATCCTCGAAAAATATAAAAAATAAAACTGTTCGAGTGTTATAGAAAAAATATAATTTGTCTAAAATGAACTTCAGTTCAATAGGTCGGATAAGATCAATATGAATTATTGTCGCGTACCAAGAGGGATTATAAAAGCGAAATAGGGAATATGTTCAATTCCTACATTACTATTTTGTAATTTGAAAAGATCTTCCATATACAATAATTAATGGATGTTAACTTCAACGTGGGTTATTGATTTCAATAATATCATTCAACAGTATTTAATCACGATATTCTATAGAATGATAGAATACGTAATAATATGGAAAATTGAATGTTGCAATAATGATACCTAATAAATGTAAGAGTTAATAGTCTAATAAGTGAAAGCGCGAGGTGGGCTTGGTACGCTTCCGAGTTGATGCGTCACCGGAAGTGACCGTCATCAAAAGGGGTACGCTTTACAAGGAAATTGCATAGATTTTTGACCGGGTGACAAATATCAACGACATTCTTATTAAATCTTATCAGGGATACGTAGGTGGTATTGCTGACATCGTGGATATCTTTACTTATTGATTGCCCCGTAGAAATTGGCCGGCGCCGCCCGCGTCGCATCGGTCGATCGTCGGGTTGCAGGCTGACGTCATCGTGGTGGCTCCTACGCCTATTGATTTTCTCCTCTAGGTGCGATGCGATTGGTCCATAAACGGAGAAAGCGGGCATGCACACGACCCTGGACCACGATGTCGATCGACGCGCGCAACCGACACTGTTCACAGGGCCGCCATATTGCTTTCAACCACCAACCACCAGAGGCAACTCTGGAAGCCTAGCTTAAGGGACGGGGGGTGGGAGGGGGGGGGGGGTGAAATATTTGAAAGTATATTTCTAAATTCTTTTTTTTCTTTATTTGAAATTTGCGCGAAACAAATACAAAACGTATTTATTTTATAATATGAATTGATTTTCTTAGAGTTTTATAAGTCTGGCCATTCACCCCCATCGCCTCCCTTTCTGGATCCTCTACTGCATACCACCATGCACTACCGGTTTCGATTGTATTCCACTTTCGAGGGCGAATTCCTATCGGACAACCATTCCGTGTGCATATCTTCGCCATTTCGGATCGATCATTCGAACATATATATTTTTAAGTGCAGGTCACCAGTACGATTTGCAAATATGACTCTGCAGGGTTAGTCTTCGGTTATTCGTCTTCCAAGGATTGATCAAGTGGTTAAAATAATCCAATATTCGTTGAAAAATTCAAACTCCAATGGAAATTTATTTAGGTTGAAGAGAATTTTCATCTTCTGATAGATGCTTTACTTTAATCACTTAAAAGTAAGACATACCTTACACGGTATCTCGGTGATTCTTTGAAACCGAGTCCTTCACGTTCGCAGTGATAATCAGGACTGATGTGTTTATGATCATTTTATCATAATTACACCTGTCCCCGGTGGTAGAATTAAACGAGGGATGAAATTAGGGCAATTGCATTGGAAATAAAGGGGAAATGCGACACTGTGGGCTTATTACTTTTTATTCTTTAATTCGATACCATTTCTCGTTCATAATTATTCTATTTTTTCGGATAATACGATGCAACCGGTAATTAGCATGAATGATCGCAAGGCAGGCCGTTACCGTGGCAACAAATTATAGAAAATTATCTGACTAATTACTATTGCGTTGAATAATTTCTAGGTATAGAAGGTCGATTTACTCGGAAATTTTCTACATAGATAGTCTTTTATTTGAAAATTTAACGTACCTTTCGAAGATATATGTTTCTCCTTGAAATCATTCTTCAGGATAAGACAAATCCTGCTTGTTTATTGGACGTAACGAACGAGATGTGTAAATTAAGTGCAGAATGTTCAATTCATGAGTGCGTGGGTTAAGACTGATGACTGAGTATATACCTACGTTCTGACGTCATTGATGTGCGTGACTCATTTGACGAAAAAATCTTCGTATCACGAAAATACATTTTCACCCCCTTACACCATAGTTTTCATACGCTCTACAAGATTTTATCGTTATTCAGAACGTTGTATTCTTAATTTTAGAATGGAATGGAGCAGGAAAATTTGATGGCTATCCATCCAGTTACCTAGATCGGGGTTAAAATAAAAAAGAGGGGTAAAACTTTGTATACATCTAATATTTCTACAATCTGTTGCATAAACAGAGACGTCACAGATCCACTAACGAGGGATGGGTGTGCGACCTTTGTTCTTCTCGCCAACCCCTATATCTGCTACGTCCTTAGGGGTGGTCTCTACGTCGTAAACGATAGGACAGAAACCTTTCGTATACTCGAACGGAATAACCATACTAAACCTTTAAACAAATCTTTAAACAATTGTCATCAATTTTCATAACATTAAACGAATGTCGCCGTAATTGGATGGGCGTAAAATAAAGAAGACAACAAATTGTTTCCCCGTCAGAAAAGTATTTTTCCTGGAACTGTTGCACTTTTATTTCCGTCGTAACATAATTTGACCCTCGCTTCTTTTATGAAAAGTGTTCCGACTACCTTTCCTCGAGTAAGAACCTCGAAAGAGCCACGGTACGAGCGAGGATTAAACATTTTATTGACACTGAAGCAATATCGTTACTTTATCTCCTGACCGGATGGATTCGAGAGAATCCATTATTAATTTGATAATAATCTGTCGAAGCATTCCGTCGACACTTACACACGTGTTCGAATAGGAATTATAATAAATATCCATCCATCAAGGATTCCCGCAGATTATTCTTAACACAAGCGTTTTCATCGTATCTAAGGTGATTCGTATTTTCTGCGACGTTTTACGTTCACTGTTGGACCGTTTGGATACCCTTTACGACCCCTCTACTCGATAAACTGAAGAAATAAGAAATTTCTAAGAGAAGAGTGCGATGGCATTCTCGATTTCATTCAGTGGACATCGTCCTCGAAGAATAGTGTGCGTTTGAAAATACTTTTATTTTTAATTGAAGAAATCTTTCGATATCGAAGCCAATACCGATGAAGTAGTACAGATCAGCGATCGAGTGGGAAGTCAGCGAAGCGAAGTTCAACGAGTTTCATAAAACGGTTAAGATTCGACGAAACGTAACCAACGTGAAAGCAGTTTTCATCATTCTATTTACGATCCCTTCGACTAATTTCATCGGACGCATCGACGAAGGCGTCACTCTCCATTTAACAAACCGCATTATGCGAGTCGACGAGATTGCAGTTTCCCGTAACTGCATCTTCGATTACACGCAGAATCATCCCCGCCTACGAGAAAGTTGAACCCCTCGACCCTTTCCTGAAAAAATATCGCCCCACCGGCGAAGTCAAGATGCATCGCGAAGGCGAACAAATTTGCTGAATCAATAGCAACTTGTGCCAGCGCCACGAAACGGCAGCCTTTTGCAAAATGGGCGACAAATATTTAACTAAACATTTCATTTCGAACGAACCTACAATCGATTGCTTCATTTAGTACCGTGGCACGGATATTGGTAAAATACTTCAGACATTCGGTTGAGAAATCAGATATTAAAAAGAAGCATCAAATAATGGAAATGATTTTCATTTATTTCATTGAAAACAAATAAATTGATTAATGGAATTAATTTGAAAATTGAAAATCCGGATGAAAGTATTTTTTTCATATAATGAACAAAAGAACGAGTAGGATGGAATTGGGTTAATTGTGTGGAAATAGTTGGAACTCGTGATGAGATACTAGAACGTTTCCTTAAATAAAGCTCAGGACTTATTTAAAAAATCTGAAATATCTCGAACATACTTGTATACTTAGAATAACATTGAAGATCGATTTGTCTAAAAAAGAAAACAGATAATTCTATTTAAAAATGGGGTGCTTGCAATTTACATCTTTTACAAAGCAATAGATTAAATTTCTATAACCATGACCCATGCTTTAATTGCGTGACGAATTCCGCAAAGAAAAGCAAGGACGCAGTTGTATCTGTGATCTCAAAGGATGAAATTCCTTTTAGTCACCTATACAATTGAAGAAATAAATTCAAGCAATTTTATTCCTTCTTGATAACTTAAGATTCGGATAATTTTTCTGGAAGAGGAGCAAGATTCAAAGAAATCTGCAAAAAGAAAGTAATTAAAATTGGGCAACTCGAAAAGGCTCAAAAGACATCTGATTGGTTGGTTGGTGGGAGAATGTTGTAATTACCAGGTGACCGACTGATGACGCATGCGCAGTAAGTCGCGCATCGGCTAATGGGTTCCGCGAGGGGTAAGTGCGCAAGCGCTTGGAGCGCAACCGTCACTCGACGACCGACCGTCGACCGGAGGTGTCGCGTAGTGGCTCGTTCTCGCGTAGGGTGATTTGGTAGTACAGTGCGTGTGTGTGTGTGTGAGTGGATGCGCGCGCGTACACGCTTAACCGCGAACGAATGCAGTATAATGTTCGCGTACGTATCCGTTAAAAATGTCGAGGATCATCGAAGAATAACCTGTGCACCGTCATAGTAACCGTCATTAGAAATCACTAGTGTTTTTCATCGTTCATAAGTCCACGACTGCTGTCAAGTGTCTAGCGTCCGCCATCGACAACTGTCATCGTTGAATTGACAGCTAGAGAATATCGCCAGCTGGAAATTAGCTTGGCTTCGAATAAAAGGTAAGAAACGAGAACGTCTTTGCGACGATCGATCGATCGTGAAAATTCACATCGTATATGGTACAACGCGTGCATGTTTCTTTACCTACGCCCGTCTGACTCGTGATATTCTCGATCTACTGCTCTATCGATTAGTCAACGATTTCAGTGATATTTTTACTCAAGAAACGACTGTTTCTTGAAATGTACGTCATAGTTGATTTCATCGAACGAACCCGTCAATACGTTCGTCGACATCTTGTGTACGCTACACATCACGTATATATGTTAAAAATTAATACAACGATTTATATACATTTCGTACGCTTGAATGTGAATTACTGTGCGCATATTGCACGGTGCGTGATCGTGTACTCGAATCAAATGACGATTAGAAATATCAATAGGTAATCAATGTTTATTTTCGATGAATCAATGAACGATCGCGTCGAAAAAAGTAGCTATTTGCAAATGAATAATATTGGCATGGGGGGGGGTCGACGTTAATCTGATTGAACTAAAACATGTTGCAACGTCAATCGTACTCAAATCGATTATAGATGATCGAATTATAAGAAGATTCGAGAGTCGAGTAATCGGAAAATGGAATTTCGTTTGACGGAGTTGCCGTGAAACTCGAACTCCCCCGTAGCTGTTATCGATTACACGGTGGCGATGTTTTTACGTTCATCTCAAGAATGTACACGCGCAGCGGTATATGTTTTCGTAAAATTGCAGTGCAATACTTCCGGTAGAGTCTCTCCATCACGCTTTTCGATATTCGATTTAGCCGAAATAAAGTTTATTGCGTTACGGTGTCTTCAGTAAAATTTTTTTTTCCCATAAGAATTTGAAACAGTGGAACTATGAAAATATTTTCTTTTCTCCGTTAATGAAATTATCTAATTAATGCAATGTGTTTACAGGCTCGCTAATTGTTTACGTTTCACTTTATGAAGAAAGCCGATTCTCTTAGTCAATTTTTAGATACATATAGAGCAACTTAATACGATTTGTACAGAGATTACGTATAGTTATATATCACTGCATCGCACCTTATCCGTTCGTTCTATATTTTCCACCCGTTATTAAAGATAAAAAATAATATATAGCAGTCAGAGCTGTTCATAAAGAAATCCTCGTAAATTACAGTCTACAGTTATAATGGTGATTTAAATCGCGGCTCATAAAATCGAGTGGATTATCGCGCGGTACTCGTGGGGAGTTTTCAAGTGATTCGTGTCAATGCGTAGTCAGACGTCGATTGTAGTTTTTACAATTCTCGGCTGAGGCTATTGATTGAACGATAGAAATATTTTTATTTTTGTATCAAGGATAATGGTACTCGTATCGTATCATAAATACTCGAATTTGATAATAAAAAATATTACAACAGTTCATTATCATTTTAGTAGTATAATTATAATATAATTTGAGAGTCAACTAATTAAGAAATATGGTAATGATACTAATGATTCTTGCACTTCTATATTTGACAATGACGCAACAGTGATTAAATTTATGAAATTTTTAATACCTCGAATAGTATTGCGTCATCTTAAGGAGTCTTTTCTTCAATTAAAATGTCACATTCGTTTACCCAAGGCATGAGATAATAAAAGAAGGATTTCTATCGAGATACCTTTCATAGTTACATAACATAGCTGCTTTATTATGTTCTTTCTTTACAAATAAATGAATAATTTATTTGAAAATAATACAGTTTAAAAATTAAATGAATCATAGAATATTAATATTTTGATAGGAATATAAAGAAGGTTCGAGTTGTCGCGTTGTCGAAGGCGACAATCAATACGAACAAGGAAACACTAGAAGCTGATCTCAGCATCCATTCTTTCCTCCGTAATTCGATATTCCTCGGAAGCGATAGGTACAATTAACTAACAAATGTATTATTGGTTTGCCTCTCGACACGGCGTCCGATCGGGATAACGATAAATTGAAAAAGAAATTAAGAAAATAGAACGAGCCGGTGCTCGAATGTCTTGATCCATATTTTAAAATACCTTTCAGAAATTGACTTGATTTAAAGATGTTGGCCCTTTGAAAGGGGCACAATACGGGTAATCAATCTACGTAAACTCTTAATCTATTTATACTGGGAACGCTACGAGGGAACATCCTTAATGCGCCATTCAAAGCCTTTCAGATGAGAGAGTTTCTTCGTATAAAAGTTGATTAAAGGGAACAGAAATAACTTTAATTAAACACTCGTTCGAAAATGAACAGTCTCTAATTTCAATTTACTCGCGTTTCGTTATTTTTTCCAACGATATCTTTGTTTATTTATTCTTTTAATATAGATCACTTTGATTTTCAATTTAACTATCGGACGGCGGACCAGGGAGAGAGTCGAATTTTCATTCAATTTTGTATCCCATATCTCTGTTCCCTTAAAAATTATTCTGTACATATAAAACTATACATTCAATTTTCAGTTAGTTAGGATCGCATACGTTTTATAAGTTCAAGGGTTAAATAAAGTTTGAGCATAGATTAGAATCTACTTCTAGAAAATTCGTGTTACGGAAAATCAATCGATTTGTCTGGATTCGAAGGATCTGAGGAACTAATTTTACACCTAATATGACTCTTCCATGTATAATAGCTGAATAGGCAAGAATCAAGAGAACGTCGATAAGTTTCCAGTGAAACGAGTCAGCCATTGACGAGACAGGCTATCGAGTTGTCTATACACCTGTCTGGAAATACATTTTCCGTTAAATAACCTTATGTTTCCAGCACGATGATTAAACGTATTTATTAAAAATGAAAATATGCAATCCTTTTTTAAAGAACAAAAATCAAGGTTCACTCGATCATATCGGAAACAAAGTTTTCAAAGTGTAAAAATCAATCGGATTTTAGTAGAAACTAGAAACGATGATCCTCTTGTTTCTTTTGTTAACGTGTCGATTCGCTTGATGTTTATTGGCTGGTTTTCCGATTGTTTCGCAGCCAAAAGAATAATTATCCGTCGATCGACGAACCTTTTGTCGAGAATATCGATTTTAGGCGGTGTCCATGCCAAACTTGTTACGTCGAGATTCGATCATAATGAAATTTGATAAAACCACCATTCTTCAATATTTTATCACCTTAAGGATCGTATCCGTGTTCTTATCAACTCGACCTAAAAGAGAATAATGAAAATAAATAAATGAAATATACTTAACGCAAACATTTCCATCCCCTGTTGTTTTATTATAATAAATCCGTGAACTAAATCCGGGTGGTTCTTATTCAACGGACCATTCGTTCGTGTCTTTCATTTCCGTTTTGCTGGCTCGGCTAACGATGCCTTTTTATTCATACAGAGAAACGAGGAGGAAAAATTAGTGAATCACCAGCACCGCCGCCGTCGTGATCCGGCGTTGAATTTAGAAACAGAAGGAAAAATGTCGTCGGTTAAGGTGGCGGTGAGGGTACGACCCTTCAACAATCGTGAGATCTCCCGTGAGGCACAATGCATCATCGAAATGTCCGGCAGCACCACTTGTAAGTATAATTACATTTCTTTACTGACCTGGTTCATCGTAAACACAGCTCGAGAGATGATTCTGTTCTTTCAGTATACGCGATGAAACTTTACGCCTCATAGTCGATACAATTTTCAGTTTAACACGTTGACTGCCATGGGGGTCACCGGTGACCGGCATCGCAAATTACACGCACTCCAATAATTAAAAGAAAACGAGAGAAAAATATTATTTTCAATAGTATTGTTATTATACTAATAATGTAAAGTATCAAATTAAAAGCTTGACATTTGAAATTTGAAAATTAATTATTTTAATACGTCTCGTAACAAATGCCCATTTTCACTGTGGCAATCAACGTGTTAATAAGAATCTTACAGCGATGGATGAAGTTTAAGTTTTCATCAAATGCAAATGAATGGAAAGAAACGTTTAATACCAGGCAAACTCGATAAAATTAATTCTTTTTTTTTTTCATTTCTAAATAGAATAAAAGTCAACGCTAGCACTCTGGCACTAATCTTAATCGTGGCATTGATCTACTTATTTATTAAAAGTAGAAAAAGAACTTTCTATCAGAAAACTTTGTCTTGTTTATTCAAAATAAAGATACATAGGAAAAGTTCAGATTATTACTGACTTTCTTTCCCTTTTTTTTTTGTTACAGCGATATTGAATCCCAAAGCACCACCGGGTACCAAAGATGCGATCAAAAGCTTCAACTACGATTATTCTTATTTTTCCATGGACGTGAGTAACTAAAATTCATTCAAAGAATACATTTCAAGAATTTGATTACATTTTTCTCTTATAGCCAAACGATATAAATTATTCTTCACAATTGATGGTCTACAAGGATATCGGTGAAGAGATGTTGGAACACGCTTTCGAAGGTGAGCCTACTTTCCCACGCGAAATGGAAGATTCAAAGCATATTTGGACTTTGATGCCGCAATTTCTCAAATACTTGAGACACTTGAGCATTCAGATTCTCATATACCAAGGAATGTTACATCTAGGAATCCATACGCCTGTTCGCATACCGTTCAGATAGGAATTGGCCGTTCAAATTCTCAAACATTCTCGACACATATCCGATAATCTTGCATATCCACGTTACGTTACTTTTCCTTTCAAATAAACGTTCGATCAGGTTGAAAGCTGTAACCTTATTTTGCATTCAGGGTACAATGTATGCATATTTGCATACGGACAAACTGGTGCTGGTAAATCTTACACAATGATGGGCAAACAAGAAGAAGGTCAAGAGGGTATAATACCTCAAATTTGCAAGGACCTCTTTAGAAAAATCAGTCGCAATTCAAACGAGTGCCTGAAATATTCGGTGGAAGTCAGTTACATGGAGATATACTGCGAAAGGGTGCGAGATCTTTTGAATCCTAAGAACAAAGGTAATCTTCGAGTACGAGAGCATCCTCTACTTGGACCGTACGTCGAGGATTTGTCGAAACTAGCAGTGATGTCTTACCAGGACATCCACGATCTCATCGACGAAGGCAACAAAGCGAGGTACAAGAAGAATTTTACTCTACCAATGAAACGAAACATTTACGTTTGCTTATTTTTATTTCAGAACGGTGGCAGCCACGAACATGAACGAGACATCGAGTAGATCTCACGCGGTGTTTACGATATTTTTCACACAACAAAAGCAAGACTCAGCTACCGGGTTAGTGACCGAGAAAGTCAGCAAAATTTCACTGGTCGATTTGGCTGGCTCTGAAAGAGCTGACTCCACTGGGGCAAAGGGTACCAGGTTGAAAGAAGGTGCTAACATCAATAAAAGTTTGACAACACTTGGAAAGGTCATCAGTGCCCTGGCTGAAATTGTGAGTATATTTATTATCTATGAAAGGTGTACAGAAAATAAATATAGATTCAGTGTATCGTGTACTGTTCATAATAATTAAATTAAAACTTGCTTTTGTTATTAGCTTAAGAAATTTTAACCCTTTCAAAAGTTGCCCAGATATTGTCTAAACTTTATGTTATATCGTAATACGTGTCTTTTGTCAATTTTGCTGCCATTTTCCCATGGACTTTTAGGCGGTGAGCTCATGATCCTTTAATTTATTTCTTTAGTTTCTTGTTTTCAACACTGTTGAATACTTAAGTTTGATAGCAATAAATAGCGATAAATGTGTAATATTTAGGAATTCAAAGACAATCGAATGATATTTGCTAATGTTTATTCCCTTAGGCCACTAAAAAGAAGAAAAAGGCCGACTTCATCCCCTACAGAGATTCCGTACTGACATGGCTGTTGCGAGAGAACCTTGGAGGGAATTCTAAAACAGCGATGATCGCGGCAGTGAGTCCTGCAGACATCAATTACGACGAAACTCTCTCCACTCTACGGTATACTTACACGTCACGTATCTCATTTCATTTCTCTGTTTTCACCCGAATTTTTCAAAAACTTATATCCATCCAAGTCGGATGAAATTGTTGTTTCTTCATAATTCAAACTTCCAGGAAGCAGCGAGCTTTTCATGAATTATAAATGAACTTTCTTCCTTTGCTTATCTCTTATTTCACATACAGTCTAGATCGAAGTTTGTGCGCGATGAAAGAGTAACTTCCCTGACAAATAGAAAAACAAAGGACTCTAAATAAAGTTTGTGCTTCTACTTTTTTTTAATTCTTCGCTACAGATACGCCGACAGAGCGAAGCAGATAGTTTGCAAAGCTGTTGTCAACGAGGATGCAAACGCGAAGCTTATTCGAGAGCTCAAGGAAGAAATTCAGAAATTACGGGAGCTACTGAAACAAGAGGGTATTGATGTACAAGAAGGTGAGTAAATATTTTTCTATGTATTATTAATTAAATTTCAGAGAAAGAAGCTCTACTCTTTTTTTATTGGTATGGAAGTTCCTTCGATAAAAATTAGAAATACTCAATTCTATTTTATTTCTAATTGTTATAGTAGAGTTATTCAAAGAAGAAAGCAAGAAATACATTGAATTAAATTTTATCAAGAATTTCCTTAATAAAATTATTAACAAATCTACCTACTTGGAAGAAGAAGAAATGAAAATCCTTGTGCAAACTGTTGTTTCTAATATTATATTTAAAAAAAAAAGAAAAAGGACAAAAGTAGCGCTCAATAGGCAAGCCACCATTTACATAGTACATTTTTTTTTCTTTGTTTCCCCTGTGCTTGACGTAGGGCCAGATGGTAAAGTCACATATGAAAAGAAAGAATCTAGTAAGTAAAATCACCGACGATCCACGCATAGTGGAAAGTCTAATACCAAAGCCAGGCAATCGATCACTCTTTTTGCGCCTGTTTATTTGAACGTCCGCTTGATTCACGGCCAAGTGCATAATGCGTGTCATATATCTTTCCTTCTTTATTTTTTTTTTTTTTTTCTATTTCCTGCTCTGTTTCTATTTTTCTCTGTGTTTTTGTCGATTGTTCGCGACAAAAGTTCTTTATATATACATATATATATATATATATATATATGCGTTTGCTTCGCGACTCGCCATTCTGTTGTTTCATTTTTAAACACACCTAATCAGCCCATGTGGTAACAATCAGCGCCTGATAATTATCGTTGTTCTCTGTCTCTCGTAGGACGCCATTATTAGCGGCTTTTAGCGTTGAACGCGATGTTTCCAGTTAAACGACACATGATTTCTCTTGAAAATTTCAAAAATAAACATCAACGAATCTGATGGAAATTCCTGAAGACTATCATTTTCATCAACAAAGCGAACATATAGCATTTATACCTTGTAATTTATAGTATTACCAGTTGTCTTTTATTGCAGTAGATAAATCAGAAAAATCTCGTCCTTGATCGTGACTTAAAAAAAAAAATAAGGTAATTATTTAGATTACGGACGGTAACTCCGATTTCGATGATTTTTGAATATGTTGTAGAAATCAACATTTTGAACAACTTTTTCCTATACATATAACCGCCGCTCGGTCTTAGTTTTCGAGATATTTTCGAAAAACTGTCGTAACTAACACATTGAATTCTGGCCATCCATGTGCGTCCGTGAGAACGTACGCATTAGTATGGGATTGCCGCTTTTCTACTGTTTCTGCAGGCAACAGCACTGCGACCGATAACCAATATATACCTTGTGTACTTCTGCATTCATGATTTCAATGTATCGTAGCTATGATGGCAGCTGGGAATTTAATATAGCCTAACCTAACCCAATCTACTCTACCTAATCAGTGAATTAAGTTAGGTTAGGCAGTGTACACGGACGCACACGAACAGGCAGAATTCAATGTATTAGTTTCGACAGTTTTTCGAAAATATCTCGAAAACTAACGCCGAACGGCGGTTATATGTATAGGAAAAAGTTGTTCAAAATGTTGATTTCTACAACATATTCAAAAATCATCGAAATCGGAGTTACTGTCCGTAACCTAAATATGTAATTACCAAAAATAAAATAAAAATGACTCAGACTTTTCCAGTATCCGATCAAGAATGAAATTTATCATTTAGAGAGAATTTGAACATCCCGGGAATCATATTAATTAACGATACAGATACGTATAATTAATTTCAGGCTTTATAGTACTAACGTTGTGTCGAAATTCCTCTTCCAGTAAACACGTGTTGTTTGCCTCGCTTATTATCCACTTAGACCCATCACATTGTTCCCGATATTAGCCTGAAAATATTGCATGGCACTGGATAAATCGATTGTTCGACACGAGCACCGTCGATTAGAAATTTTTAATGAGAATCTGCTCGACATCGTTATGATACCGTTAAAAATAAATAACACGATTGCTGTGCAATGAAATAACAGAATTACTCTGAAATAAAAAGAAAGCGCAAAATACAACATTGTGGTTCTCTGGATGAGAATCATTGATGAGAAAAAAAATTGTTTCTCTTTCACTTACTGCCACTGCTTTAGTTATGGCTTTTGATGTTTCCGAGACGCGTGTTACAATCCTGGCTGATTGATCATTACGAATCTCTTATTCCACCGTTCTATCGTTTTAACTGATACCTTCTGTTCCACAGGAGACGAGATCGTCAGAGCAAACAAACGCGAGGACGATGTGAAGGAAAGTAGATCCAGGATCCCGTCTCATACAACGTCGACAATCGCTGAGGAAGCGGTGGATCAATTGCAGGCTTCAGAAAAATTGATAGCCGGTAAAATGTTCTATTTTCTGATAAATAATTAAATATAGTAGTCAGTAAGTTGACACTTTGTCTGTCGTACTCAGAATCAGCGACAAATTGAATGATATAAATTAAAGGAATTTGTAATTGTAATTTTAGAGTTGAACGAAACTTGGGAAGAGAAACTGAAGAGAACAGAGTTGATTCGTCTTCAACGCGAAGCAGTGTTCGCAGAGATGGGTGTTGCCGTGAAAGAGGATGGTGTCACTGTTGGTGTATTTTCACCGAAGAAGACCCCTCACTTGGTGAACTTGAACGAGGATCCCCTCATGTCGGAATGCCTAATTTACTATATCAAAGACGGCTTCACGCGTATCGGTAGCGCTGAAGCAAACATACCTCAAGACATTCAACTATGCGGCCCGTATATACTGAGCGAACACTGTGTATTCGAGAACCACGAAGGTATCATTACCTTAATTCCAAAGAAAAGTGCTTTGATCTACGTTAATGGACGCGAGGTGACCGAACCGATAGTTCTGAAAACTGGTTCCCGTGTTATCTTGGGAAAGAATCATGTATTCAGATTCAATCATCCGGATCAAGGTGAATAGTAAAATTGTTTATGATATTTTTATAATTAAAAGTTCACGATGCTAGAGAACGAAGAAAAGCATAAAATACCGTTTTGTCCCATAGTACGAGAACGAAGAGAAAAAGGATCTCCCGCTGAGACACCCGGAAATGGAGAAACAGTCGACTGGAATTTCGCCCAGATCGAGTTGCTGGAGAAACAGGGGATAGATCTAAAGGCTGAAATGGAGAAACGATTGTTGGTTCTTGAAGAACAGTTCCGTAAAGAGAAGGAAGAAGCGGATCAGTTGTTCGAAGAACAGAGAAAGGTAAGTATTTGATAACTTAGTTATTTAATCGTAGGATTTCTATTTGATTAATCGTTACATCACAGAGCTACGAGGCCCGAATAGACGCTCTCCAGAGACAAGTTGAAGAGCAAAGTATGACAATGTCAATGTACAGCAGTTACACACCTGAAGACTTCAATAACATCGAAGAAGACATCTTTGGTGAGTTGATATATTGAATGATCCTCTACTCTGTATGTCTGATATTTTATATATTGTAATTATTAAAATTCATACAAGCAGAGTTGTGCAAACGCTTCTGATTACTTCTAAAACAGTAATAGGTACTAAAGAAGATCAAATATTTATTCATTTTCGATTGAAACAGTTTTACATAACTCTGTGCACGATTAAGCAACGATCGTGTTCCGATCGTACTATTTCCTTCGTTAAAAGTATCGAATTTGTAATGGTTGTAAATGATATATATACGCACCAAGAAATGTAGAGGAACACCGATCATCATCCTAACGTTCCATTACAAATTCAACCATTCGTACGGATCTGTACGAGATGATCAGATGATGATGGTACGTAACGAAACACCGATGATCATTCTTTGAATGTACATTCTGCAATTTTTTATCTATCAATTAACTGCGATGCACGCATGTAAACAATCCGATTCTGACGTTTAACCCATTCTCTGTCTTCTTCGCTTCGTTCCACGTTTGAGATTTCGAATTGTATGTTCCTTTAGGCAACGATGAACGATGATGCATCATCTGATCGTGACGGTGGGTCCTTTTAACGAAAGAGAACCCGTTATCCATGAAATGCTTGGCTTCTCTGACTGTTTTTCCTGGTAATTGCTTGCATTTCAGTCAACCCCTTGTTTGACGCAGAGAGCAACTGGACCGAGAGAGAGTTCCAGCTGGCCGCTTGGGCCTTCCGCAAATGGAAATATCATCAATTCACAAGCCTTCGGGATGATCTCTGGGGCAACGCTATATTCCTCAAAGAAGCTAACGCTATTTCTGTCGAACTCAAAAAGAAGGTACACTCGTGGTTCATTTTCCAATGAACTAACTGGAAACGACTCTCATTTATTCACGAGTCATTCGCATCTACATGGTCCATTACACTTGCAGCCTGTTTAAAAACATTTTTTCAACATCTTGTATATTTTAACATTCATTCCATTTATCGCGAACGTGTGCTTAATACGAAATCACCAAGTACATACATATATTGAAAATTAATCTTCAAAGTTGTTTGTAATGCTTGCAGAGAAATTTTGTCAAAACTTGGATTTTTAATATTTTTTCCATGATAATTGTTCGGAGCACTTTTTCGTACCCCCTTTTTGATGTTCTATGAATCATATAAATATATTACTGTGTCTTCCTTGTATTAAGTTAATGAAATTTCAACTTCTTCATTATTTTGCGTCTCAAGATAATTTGCATATTTTATCATTGTTCTTTTTTTCAGTTCATACTTCACTTTTCCTTTTATTTATTTTTAAATTTTGTTTATTAATATTTACATTCATTTAAATTAAAAAAGAGAGAAAATAAAATAGAATGAAGCCTTTTTAAATGAATTAATTGACATATTATATGAATATTTCTTATAGGTGCAATTCCAGTTTACTTTGCTCACGGATACGCTTTATTCGCCGCTTCCCCCGGATCTCTTGCCAGCTGTAGATGAAGACGAAGAAGAGGAACGACCGTTCCCGCGTACAATAGTCGCTGTAGAAGTACAAGACACGAAGAACGGTGCAACACACTACTGGACACTCGATAAACTAAGGTTTGTTATCAGTACTTTGCTTCATGCAAATACATGTTTACATTACTGTTTCATTTTTATTACGTATAGAGAGGTGAGTCAAGTGAATTGTATTTAAAGAAAAATGATTGTTACGATAAATACGATAGAATTTCAACACCTTTCCTCAATTAATAAGGAAGCTTACCTTGATACAGATGAATAAATCGCTTAAAGCGTCTAAGCATTTTTCAACGAGTTACTAGAATAATAATGATGATAAAATGATAGAAAATTGAATCGTAATCCATCGCTTGAATCAGATACGTGCTTGGACAAAATCGCACGGGGAACACTCACGCAAGTAATACGTGTTGACTTGTAGACAGCGCTTGGAGCTGATGCGACACGTGTACAACGAGGACTCGAGCCCCAGCACTCCGGAGGCCAAAGAGGATATTTTCCAATGTCTAACGGCCTACTCTAATCCGAAGTTCTCGCTCGCAAATCTTTTGCCTTCGAGGTTGGTGCTCGAACGCGTGACACTCTTTCCTCTTTATCGTCACACGCTTCCGCGCCCATCCTCAATCTTTATACGGATTGCGCCAAATGCCGGTCTTGATTTCTTCTATCACCATTTATCGCTATCTTTAGTACACTGTCTCTCGTACGAGGTACAAACGTCTTTACAAATAAATCCTCTGTCTCTGCTTTGTGATTGTGCTGAAGATTCAATGAATACGTCCACCGAAGGACTCTGCATGACCGGGCGTGTTTATTGCATTCATCAGAACATTTAATCCTTCTTATTCTATTTTCTTTTTCTTTATTTTCTAATTAATATATTACAGTCCTTACATAAGAAGATTTGTTTAACTTTATTTAGTTTTATTAATAACAATTGGACTGTAATGTGTTAAATTAAGATAAAAATTAAAATGATACTTCCTCTTGCGTACTCGTACCTTTAGAAATACTTTGTGCTCTTCAGACTGCTCGAATTTGTATCGTAGTTAATGATTAGATATGTCGACGACAGATTTTGGTACTCTTCTTGTATAGTTGAATAAATCAAAATTTATTTTTAACCCTTTCAGTGATTGTAATGACAAACTTGGTATGAGAAATGATTATGTATAAAAATCGAGTTTTGTCGTACTGAAAGGATTAAAATATTGAATTTTGAAGAATTGTTGATATCCTTGCAGGGTTCATCTTCTGTACACGTTTCAATAGTGTCTCGGTGAACACGTGCGCTCCTCGCGACTGATACTCTCCACACTCTTTCATCGTGCATTATTAATTGCACAATAATAATTTCAACAAATTGAAGAGAAATCACGTAGACAGTTCACGTTTGAACACGTACCTCGATAGCTTATCCGCTGAACACTATACAACAGCTTTTATGTTCAGATGAAAATACAGGGACAATAGGTATTAATGTATTGTGTTTCAATTGCAGTTGCAATGGTCTCTATTACATGATTTAAAAATATATGAAAGATATCATGCGTGTCCCTTTATTTGAATATTTACAAAATAATATCATAAGATTTCTATAAATACATACATGCGAACGTATACAACGCACACAATGTTTCAAAAACTTGAATGTTAATGTATGGAGTGTCCTTCACTGTGCTTTCTGACAATGTTCGACTATGTCCTTTATCAACGAATCAAACATTGAACCGAATGATATATAGATTGTATGACTTTGTTTTTGTGTGCAGACAAAGACTTGAACTGATGAGAGAAATGTACCATAACGAGGCTGAACTTTCACCTACGTCTCCGGATTTCAATATAGAATCCATTACTGGCGGTGACCCATTCTATGATCGTTTTCCATGGTTCCGAATGGTTGGCAGGTAAATAAAATACAGTAATATTGAAGTAATAGAGTTACAAAATACATAGCAGTACCAAATGAAGAATTTTTTTATTGTCACAGATCCTTCGTGTACCTCAGCAATCTTATGTACCCGGTACCGTTGATTCACAAAGTAGCGATAGTCAACGAGAAGGGAGACGTGAAAGGCTACTTGCGTGTAGCCGTCCAAGCCGTGGTTGGTACGTAATCAGTGTCTCTATATCTCTTTCTACTTGAACATATTTAATCCTAAACCTAAAACCTACTTCCTTGTATCTTCTAAAATCGTTGGAAGATATTCTGGCGTAGGATCTTTCGTAACGAACCCATGTTCCAGAAGAGGAAAACAGCGAATACTCGAGTGGCGTCAGACAATCGGCTAGAATTTCCTTCGAGGACGACCTGTTCGGTAGCCAGAAACAGAACAAACGTAACACATTGTTGACTCAGACCCTGGAGAAGAATCGGCAAATACTTTTAAACGAAGAACGCGTCGTAGAGGGTCATAATGAACAGAAAGACACGAAGGAAGATGACGATATCTGCGATGCTGACAGTGGCAGGGGCGATAGTTCAGTTTCTAGCGACATGAAGGAAGAGGAACTACCGGATCATCTGTTACTTGGTTCTGAATTCACGTTTAGGGTGACTGTACTGCAAGCAATGGGTATTTCCACAGAATATGCCGACATCTTCTGCCAATTTAAGTACGTTTAAATGTATAATGTATTAAATGGAATTGAAATTATTCAAAGATTCATAACAATTATATTGTTGATCATAGTTTCTTGCATCGACACGATGAAGCGTTTTCAACGGAGCCAGTGAAGAACACAGGAAAAGGAAATCCACCTGGATTTTATCATGTGCAAAATGTAATCTAATCATTTACATTAGAAACTGATTGATTGTATCAAGTTCTAATTAAATACTGCTCATTTAGATTACTGTTACTGTGACAAAATCATTCTTGGAGTATCTGAAAACTCAACCCATAGTATTCGAGGTATTTGGCCACTACCAGCAGCATCCTCTGCACAAGGACGCCAAACTGGAATAGTAAGAATTAAATCAAACCTGTTTATCTCATATTTTACGTAACAAAAACATATTTATTTACTAGCGTACGGCAGCCACCAAAGAGGATGCTTCCACCATCGATACCAATCAGCCAACCCGTACGTTCACCAAAATTCGGAAGCGTTTTACCATCACCAAGCACATCTCATGTACACGCCAAGTACGATGTGTTAGTATGGTTCGAAATTTGTGAGCTAGCACCTAACGGCGAATATGTACCATCCGTGGTCGACCACAGCGACGATCTACCTTGCCGTGGACTCTTCCTATTGCATCAAGGAATTCAGCGTCGCATTCGAATCACCATCGTTCATGAACCAGCGTCTGAATTACGATGGAAGGACGTAAGAGAATTGGTTGTTGGGCGTATCAGAAATACACCAGAACCGGAAGAGGAAGACAACGACTCGTCGGTGCTCTCGTTAGGCCTGTTCCCTGGGGAGTACCTAGAGGTACCTGGAGACGATAGGTGCATGTTCAGATTCGAAGCTGCGTGGGATAGTTCTCTTCACAATTCGGCCTTGCTCAACAGAGTGACAGCATACGGAGAACAGATATTCATGACTATATCTGCCTATCTTGAAGTACATCACTTTATTCTTTCATATTACCGATTGTAGACGATAATTTGTCTGTGGACAAGAATTTAGCGTTGATCATTTTCTTTTCTAGCTGGAGAATTGTGGAAGACCAGCAATCATCACTAAAGATCTGAGCATGATCATTTACGGCAGAGACGCCAGAGTAGGGCCACGTTCTCTGAAGCATCTCTTCAGCGGAAGTTATCGCAATCAAGAAGCGAACAGACTGAGCGGCGTTTACGAGCTGGTGCTGCGTCGTTCTTCGGAAGCAGGTAGCCCAGGTTTGTCTTGCTACCCTTAGCGTAGTCCCCCTCATCGATCTCCTTTCCCTTCCCATCGATATAATAGTCGCATAAATGTTAATTCGTCAAGTGCATCGCATCGAAGTAACACGCTCCAGCTTATGATTCCTTAGATGACTATTATATCGTTATATCAATGAATTGGCAATTTTTCTTTCTTGCTTTTATTAGTTTGTATTTAGACAAAATCGATGGAATTTCGCTAAATCAGAATACGTCATTATTTCTGACGATTCGCTCTTTATTCATTCGGTACCTACCCCACCTTCGCAAATATTTTTCAGGTGTTCAAAGGCGACAACGTCGTGTACTTGATACTAGCTCTACATACGTGAGAGGAGAAGAAAACCTCCATGGATGGAGACCAAGAGGAGATAGTTTAATATTCGATCACCAATGGGAATTGGAGAAATTGACGAGATTAGAAGAAGTAGAGAGGGTTAGACACACGTTATTGTTAAGAGAGAAACTTGGTATCGATAAGGTTTCATTCTGCAATAAAATATCACACGATTTCACAAAGAGTGAAAAGGTAGCGAGACTCTTTCAAACAGATATCAATGAAATATCAACAATGAACTCTTTATGCTTTTCATCGATGCTATTATTTATTTTTTCTTCCCCCCGATATAGGAAGTTTGCAATATGATGGCGAAAGCTACAAACGAACCGCACGCTAGTCCAGTCAAATTGAAACGTTCAACGAGTAAAGATGTCTACGAACCTTGGGAGATGACCGAGAGAGAAAGAGAATTGTCCACAAAATACATAAAATTAATTCAAGGTCGGATTCCAAATAAAGAACCCATACTACTTTCCGACGTTTCACCCGGAGAAGACACTATGGCTGATATGACAACATCCATGATGTCTTCGGTGATATCGTCCTCGTCCCAAGAGTCAGTATACGAGAGAGCTAGTGATTACTTAGAGCAGGTAACCCTCCCCGCATGCCTGAGTGCTCCTGCTAGTAGCGGTTGTCCACGCTTCGTCGCATCATGTTTACCTTCGTGGCAAAAATAGATATTGTTTTCGAGATTCAAAGGAAAACGATATACTCCCTTTCTTCATTCATATTATGCGATCTTCTTAAAATTACATAAAATTGTCTAAGTATCGAAAAAAAAAAAAAAAAGAAATCTTATCAATGACGAGTGAAGACAGCGAGGATTCGATTCAATTTGAAGGTCGAAATACCTCACGGTTTCAAAAGATATCAAAATCGATACAACTTTTTTATGTAGCTCGCAATATAATCTTGATAGAAAAAGAAATTGAACTTCAATTAACGTTTGCTTTTAAAAAATTGAAATTTGTCACGCAAACTGTTGAGCAGCTTCGCTGAATAAAGAGTCGCGCTTCTAGCGCAATCAGCTTCCTAACAACTACTGCGCTTCATGTCTATTTTGAGAATTAATAGACAATTCGCAGTGAAAGACAACCGCCAGCACGATTGGACACACGATCTCAGGTTGATGCTGGAGTGTTACTTGCAGGCTGCTGGTATAATAGTATGGAGCAGATCTAAGTCGTGCATCCTTAGGTTGAGTTCACCGGAGAGGGCTAGACTGCAGGAATTGCAAGAGAGTATATTGGCAAGCGAATCAGCGAACCAAACGTGTACCGTAGCCCCGGCACCATTAGGTTCCTCTTCCCCGTCTAAGGAGAATTTGGTGCTTTATGTACCGGAAGTTGAAGAGATTCGCATCAGTCCAGTTATCGCTAGAAAAGGTTATCTAAATGTTCTCGAGCACAAGACTAATGGTTGGAAGAAACGTTGGGTGGTACGTGGATAAATTTTAATTGAATTACATTTATTCAATTATCATACTATCAGTTGTTATATATTTTTATTAAATTGCTTGTTAGGCTGTACGACGACCGTATGTTTTAATCTTTCGGGAAGAAAAGGATCCAGTGGAAAGGGCTCTTATCAATTTAGCTACTGCTCAAGTTGAATATTCTGAAGATCAATTAGCTATGGTGAAAGTACCGAATACTTTCAGGTAAATTATTGAATTTGAAAAACATATGCTTCATAATATTTCAGAGTACCATCAAGCAGAAGTGTAGATACACGCTTGTGAGAGGTTGATATTTACAGGATATTTCATAACACGGAAGACTCGCTTGGATCCCAAACGTTATGAAACATCTTTGTATAGAATCTTATCGTCAATGATCATTTTCCTTTCAGTGTTGTTACAAAACACCGAGGGTATTTGCTGCAAACTTTAGGGGATAAAGAAGTTTACGACTGGTTATACGCTATTAATCCTTTACTCGCTGGTCAAATCAGGTATGTAATTTCAACTGTGACCTAAACGAGTAATGTACATGAGTTGCATTGAACTTGTAGCCAACTTCACTGCGACAAGTTCAATGCAACTCATTGTCAGTGTACATAATCGAGGATTGTTTCCAGGTCAAAATTAGCGCGCAAAGGACCGACAGCAACGAACCTGATTAACGCATCGCCCGTTGGTCTAGCTCCACCGATAGATCAACAGTCGAATCAAAATAAGTGAGTGGTCGACACGTTGGCCGAGGTAACAAGCGTAATTACGAAAGCCTCCGAGAAAATGCTATGCTGGTCGCACTCGGCCTTCGAGTCCCATGATCTTTGTAGCTTTCGATTTTCGGTAGTCTTCGATTATTAAATGGCTCGGGAATGCGTATTATTGATCGGTTACTAGATTTCGATAGCCGCCGATTAATATGTCGCGACGTCTTGATTTAAGCGACCGCCAACCCCTTTTATGCCTGACGACCGAATAGAGAGATGCAAAACTAAACGCGGAGGCGTTCGTATTTCGAAAAAAGAAAGAAATTTAAAAGAAAAGAAAAAAAAAATTATTACTTTCAATAATCGCGAACTCTTCCTCTCATCGAGTTTCTCCGTTCGTTTCGCGACATAAAGCGAAACGTGTTCAAACGTTGAAGAGACTGTCTATTGCAGGAGCTCGCGATTCTCACTCTTACGATATGTATATTCGAATTTCTCGGTATTAGTCGATCGAAGCGATTCTCTGAAGCGTGGAGGCGAAAAGGAACGTATTTATGCCTAAATAAAACATTCCTAAGACGATCATAGAGAACGACGGCAAGAGATACACACTGTAGGTATACTTACGTAAAAATTAAAAAAAAAAAAAAATAGAAAAACAGAGAAGATGTGGCGCGTGAGGAAGTAAGAAAGAGAGGGAGAGAACGAAAATAGTGTTTGGTCAAGGGGGTGAAGGGAGATTATGAATTTCTGTGTGTTCATGCCTGGGATATTCTACGCCCGATAAAAGCGTGTAGAATCGCGGATTATTTCGAACGAATTATAAACACGGTAATCGTTGAATAATTAATTGTTAGCCATTTGTTTACTTATTGTGTTATTGCTAGTCGCGACCGTCATCGAAATAATCCTTTGCCCCCTTTGTTTCGTGTTCTGTAACACGTTCGACGTCTCGAATACATGACAAAAGTAGGATTATTGAATCAGCAATTGGTTTCGTGGCTCGAATTTTTATTCTTACTGTAGATCAGTATTCGATTTAGAAACGAACAGTTTGCAGTATTATTTATTATAAGTTTCTAGGTTACCTTTTTATCCATAATTCAAACATTAATCTTATTAGTTTTTGTTAAAGTTCATTTCAAGGGTCATCATTTTTCTAATTGATTTTAACATACATATGTATACCAAAGATTTGAGAGAAACGAATACCAAGTATCCCACTGGATACCAGATTATAGTAGAAACCTTAAAAGTTTCGAGACGGATTATTTTCTCGGTCATTTTATACGCGGTGGCCTACCCACGAATGTACGCCCCGTTCCTGTTACCGTTTTTGCTTACTAACTGTTGTAGAATATGATAGTTTTATTTTGTTAATGACGACACGCGTATCGGGAAAAGAACGAGAAAACGTAATCTAATAAGTTGTACGCACTCGGCATTTAACCCTTTGAAGCAAAAGCAATTCGACGAAAAAAAAAGAAAAACAACATTGATCATTTCTTTTCTACTTTTAATATATGTATAGCTTTTACCTTGTAGTATTTATTATAGTTAGTTGAATTGATATACATATTATTAATTTTCTTTTATGTTACATATTCGTAGATGTAGTAGCATTTAAATTGTAATTGTACCCCTTCGTTCAGGGCTATATCGTGATTATTCATAATTGTAAATTGGAATTGTCAGTGCATTTACTTAACATTGCCAAATGCATATTGTATTCAACGATCGCAAGTTTTCGCGTGAGTAGTTGCTCTACGATTCAAAGTACAACTATCATTTGATATTATATGTATATTACAGGGATGAATTTAATTTTATTAAAAATTTTTTTAATTTTTTAATTTATAGCGTTGCAGAATAACAAAAACAAATGATGGACAATATTAATAATTATTTTATTAAAATTTGTTTTAAAACGCCCTTAAAAATAATTATAATTAAAAAGTCAGATTGATGATATTTCCTCTTTTAGAATAAAAAGAGTGGTGCAATATTGGCTAATATTTAAAGTTAACGTTCTTTTATCTTTCAATCTGTAAGATAAACAGTGCAATATTATTTAATCTTTTTTCAATTTCTTCTTTATCAAGAGATAACTCAGCATGTAGTATTGTTAGATTGTTATTCGTGTTTAATAATGTACCAAAAAGACTCCAGATCCTGTTGAAAATAGGGATGGAAAAAATCCATGTAAGATAAATATAAGAGATAAATATAAGAAGTATAATATCCATAACTAACTGACAAAAGGCACATTAAATATCTGAGAACTGAACGATATAAGAGGTATACTCTCTGTGCATTGATATTTTCTAAGATGTTTATTGTATATCTATAAAATAATTGTACTTTAACAAATATAGAATTAAAATGAAGACTTACGAGATGCGCTTTTACACGATATAAAGAACAAAAATAATCTATGCATAATTAAATTGTTCGGTTTTTTTAATACGTAAGAAGAAGAGAAGAAAAAAATGCATAAGGAAATAATACCAGCGCATAATACATTTAACAAACATTACTTACGGTAATATAGTATTTTACATTTTTATTATACATTTTTAATCATATTATTTATGTAAAATTTAGTTCTTCTACTACATATAACAAAGTGTATATGTAAGTAATATGAAGCAAAAAAGGGAAACGTTGCTTCAGGGGGTTAAAGTGTTAATTTATTATTATAGAAAAGAAAAAGGAAAAAAAAATGAAATTGGAAAATGGAAAAAATAGAAGTTAAAGAAAGAGAAAAGTGGAATGGAAACGAAGGGAAAAATGATACGATCATTGCAAATTATAAAATGCAAAGCGTCATTGGTAAGATTAATAATCATTGTTGTTATTAGGAGTCAAAATACAGAATTAAAGAGAAATTAAAGGAGGAAGTAACAGGGAGCGAATGAATAAAGCGCGTGTACGCGAAGAGAGAGAGTGAGTGCGAAAGGGAATAGTGCGAAAGACATGTTTGCTTATATATATATATATACCTTATACAGATAAAGTATATTATATAAATATATAAATAAATTTAATATTAACGTAACATTTTGTCAAGTGTCGAAGATCATTCGGAGGCGTACGAAGAAAGGCTAACGATGATTTAATCTGTACCAAGTATGTAAGTTCATGTACTTGTTTGTAAGGTAACTAAAAATCTATTGCAAAAACATTTTCGTTTTTGATCGTTTGCTATGAGAAACATGCATCGATGCTGTAACTTGTATTAATTAATTATTATTATAATTATTCGATTTTCGCTAGACTCACTGTAAGTGGTAACGTGTAATAAATCGGTCAATAAAAAGCTTACGTGCTTAACGAATTCCTTTTTATAGGGTACTACCCGTATTCTAAGATATCGAAACACCGTTTTAAGGACAAAAAATACTTTATTTAACCATTAAAAATCCACGTACATCGGTAATGAATCTGTCAAAATTTTTTTTAAATCTATTTTTACTCAAATGGTCAGTGTCCCATTTGATATTTGAAGTCAACCGTCTAAAAGCAGCCGATAATCTTTCTGCAATTTCTTGATCCGTTTGAGTAGATAAAATATTCTGTACAACTTGCTGATATTCATCTTGATAACAACATATCAAGTAATATAGTGGCATATCCACGGACGATATAAGATTCGAGTTAATTTCTTGTGACCAAACAACAGTAATAAGTACCTAAAAGAGTAAAGAAGAAAAAATTACAATTTAAATATATCATACGCTGTTTTAACAATGCCTATTTATTTCAAAGGATCACGACTTACATTTAAAAACGGTATCATTATTTGGCTTCGCGGACGTCCGCTTGAAATGTCTTTGTAAATCTGAATTGCTAAGATTTCAATGATGTTACAGCATATCGTGGATACAACATGACAGAAAGAAAATAAACCTAATTCTACCGATGCCAAAAGTGGCTGCAATAGTTCAGAAGATAAATTGAGTACTTTTTCAGGAGAAAGTTCGCAGAGCACTGTTATCATTTTAAAGTATCTATAAAGAAATTACACGTTAGTTGTGATTGATCATATTTTTATAATAATGAATAATTGTAGTACTTACTGTGAACACAGAAGGGGGAATTTTAATAAATCTATAGTCATTGTAGGCACAAGCATACTCAAGCCACACAAAAAAGCATCTACTGCTCGTTCCTTGAATGCGTCTTCAATATTCATTAACAATTTCATTAGTAGTAAAATATCCTCATAATTATCTTCTTCTACAGTTGAATCTGCACTCAGTCGATTAGCGTTACAACGCGTGTAACTTTGTATTGCACCTAAACATATTTCATATATTTGTGCAGCTTCAGTCTAGAAGTATAAAATTAATAAATTTATTAATATAGTCAATTATCACAGTAGTAAAGATAATCTTACCTCTGATAAATTCCAAAGAGCTACAGTTTCTTTTGTATATACGCAGAGCAACTCCAAAATTAATTCTACTACTTCGTGATAATTATGATATAATGATAATAAATTTGGAAGTTCGCGTAGTACCGGATATACATGTTGAAATAGTAGTCCAGAACGTTGTGAACCTTGTCCAACCCCTGTTATGAAATTGAAATTCTTTCATAATATATTACTAACTTTTGAAAATATTAACAAGATAAAAAGTTCGTAACATTTTTACCAATAAGACGTTCCAAAATATCTATAATTTGAACTTTTACTTCCTCTTGATGATAAGATTGTAAAAACTTTTCATCTGAGGTAATTTGTTTTATGGGCAATCTATCTAACAATGATTGTAAAATTTCAGTCCAGTAAGAGTGTTGTTCGTTTAAGTTTTGAACTGAAGCAGCAACTTGACCTACTGCTTGCATTAATCCTCTTTTAACTACCTGTGGAAAGTCATATTGTCCTTTTGTAGCTAAATTTAAAATATTACCAAATCGTTCAGACTTCCGTACATAAGTGGCTCTGAAATCATAATCGTTTTAATAATCATTTATTAATTATATTTATTTACTGTATTATACGTACTTCTTTGGCGACTCAACAAGCGATAATAACAAGTTTATAGTCTCATTCATTAATGCCGGTTCACTTTTGAAAGCATTGATATTGCATTCTACTTTTTCTAGCAAAAAATTAACAGCCCACGATGCACCGGCCGTATCTTCCCCAAATGCTTGTATAAATGTAGTTGATATTTTAAAATAATGAATTTCTGGTGGTAATAGGTAATGAAGGGACCATTTGTGTAAAAACCACGTGATGGTGCAACTTAGTTCAGGACTTAATATACTATCTAAATGAATAGATATTGCTGTTTTTTCTATGGCACATAAACGAAAAACATCGGCGACTAAACGTATGATATGATCTACTGATTCGGTATTAATATTAATATCTGTTGAAATATTTTCGGAGGATGCTAAAAATTGTAGTGTAAGGTTTAAATCAACCTTTCCTTGACGCACCTAAAAAATGTTATTACATAGATTTTTTTCTTATCTATGAATATACTTGTTAATAACGAATATAAAATGAATTGCGGACAGTTAGTTACAATTTTTCTTAGTGAAAACTTTTATTTATTATACAAACCTGTTCCATATCATAGGTCGTTATCGCAGAAGGTATTAAAGCAACTTCACCATCTGATTCCATGCAAAGTATATTACCTATTATAAGCACTAACCAATGTATATCTTCGTACAACTTAATCATACAATTATTTTTTAACGATTCAGTCTGTCCCACTAACATATTAAGATTTTCACGTAATTTAGAAATACGATCTTCTATTAATTGTGCCAATAATGGAAGAGAATGATGCGGTACTTGTCTACCAAAAAGTCCTAAAATGAAAAATTTACAAGTATATGTATCCATGTGTAAGTATATATGTAAATATTTACCAATTATTTGCAAATTTTCCTTAAATCTCTCCCTATCATTCTCTTCGTTATCATGTTCTTCCTTTTCAAGATCCTTGTCCTCGACGTTCCTTATACCTTGCGGTGGTGATAAGTGACACCGAAGATATATGTCAAATATTTGGCTGGAACTTCGTTTATAAAATTCGGAAGGAAACCTATTTTTTCCAGACAATATATACGCCCACGCGTCAAACAAAGCATCTAAAGCCTCTGTGTACAAACAGTCGCCAACAGTTGACTGTAAAAAGTGTTTTATATAAGTTTGGTTTTTTTTTCTTCTATGAAAAATGAAAATTCAGAATATTACTTACCAATTCTTCTTGCGCTGCGTTTTCTAAAAACGAACAAGTTAGCCGCGATAATTGTTCCAAAAACGATTTGAACGTATCTTCGGGTAGAAGATTATACAAATTTGTTTTAAAAAAAATTAATAGCGTCTTTATTATATTAGCAATCCCAACCGCTTCTTGGTCGATAATATCGACGCTTGTTATCAATTTTAAAAATCTCTCCATATAATTTGAGAGATACTGCAACACCACTTCTTCGCGAGCTATCTTTGCACCATTTAAACTTGCTAAACGAACTAAACATGTTCTCGCATGATAAGCTAATTGCGGATGCCCTCGTACTTTCCAATATAATGTAAAAAATAAATCCAATACAGCTGGAACTAATATTATATCTTGCCAATCGGTGGTTAAGTTCAATGCAGTATTGCCTGACTCCTGAAATAATTCAATCATAGGCAGTGCACCGGGGTTAAGGAAAGTAATATGAATTAAAATATAATAACAATGAATATTGAATAACGTGAAGTACTAAAGAAAGGATATGTATAACTCTATCACGAAGAAATGACCAAGTTAGTATATTTTCCAGAATTGGAAGTAACTGTTTAAGAAGAGTTACAGCATCTTCTTCCAAATCTTTCTTAATCAATTCGTCGACTATTCCCATAGAAAATTTAAAAATCCTTTTTAAATCAACAGACTGGAATCCTCCTTTTATCTCAAAATGTAATCCCCATGGTAAACCAATATTTGTTGATTTAGAGTTGGTTGCAAATTCTTGCATTATTGCTGAGATAAGATGACATCCTAAAAGTTTCTGTAAATATTATAAAATGTAACAAAACAAATTTTTGTACTTAAGTAATAATATTTATTCAATTAATCTTATTTACTCTTGGCAAGTCAGCAGTCATTATTAAGTTTTCAATTTCCCCTAGTATATCTTGCCTTTCCTTTCCCTTGTCAAAGATACTGTTACTTTTGATTATAATTGCAATTACTTGTAGTATGACTCCTCTGACATACGGAGCCAAATTTGGTTTGTTTATCACATAGTGTAAAAGGTATTGTCTTAAAGAGGAAACAACAGTACTCTGTAATGTTTGCCATTCTCGTATTAGTGCTATTTTTATTAAACCGGCTGCTTCAAAAAGAATATAATCATTTGTATTGGTTTCCAAAATTTGTCGACAAAGCTCGTACGGACATTTAGTTTTCCGAAAATTTAAAAAAACTTCTTCCGCAGATCGACGTTGTTGCGTTGAAATTAAGTTCGGTGGTGCCTGAAAATATAATCTGATCATTACAGTAAACATACAAACAAATTAATATTTATGTTCCTAATGTTCTGAAAAATATTAATAAATTTTTTTTTTTTTATTAAATGGAAACAGCAAATTTTTAAAGATCTCAAATACTTTGGATTATATTAATTGTTAAACACTTTATTTATTCATACAACTGATTTATTTTATTTCAATAATATTATGTATGACAAAAGAAACATACATATCATATACATATATATAAATTAAAAAAACATTGTATAATTTTACAAAAGTAAAATAGATTATATTTTAGTTACAGTACAATTAAAAATATTACAATTAAATACATATTTATATTTTAAAACATTAAGGACAAAACATTAAGTATTAGTTCTTCAAATTTTCTTTCTTATTAAATTAAATGCTTTAAATTAAATTAAATTTTTACTTTATTCTACAATATTTATACATATTATTCCCGCAGAATTTGTTTAAAAAATATATTTACTATAAGCTCCATGCAAGTATTGAAATGCGTTAAAAAAACCTTAAATTTACCAAAATCACTTGAGCTGCTTTTTCCAATTCATTCATTAATTGTTCTGCCATTTGTTATAAAATACTGACGTTTCCTAAGTTAAAATAATAGCTTGTAAGCAAAGTTTAACAAATGAATAACATCCGTCACACAATTTACTTAGACGCAATTCCTACTGCTGGCACTACTAAAAGTTATACTCCTGTCAGTGACTATAAATCCAATAAGAGCGGACACAGGGATACACAGTGTAGGATTTCTGGCGTTGCACGTTGCACTCCCCCTGTGGCCCGGGGGGTTTAGAATACGGCCACGGTAACCCCTGCCTGTCGTAAGAGGCGACTAAAAGGGGGATGTAAAGGAACGAGTAAGATGAGTAGAGTTAAAAGTACAGAAATAGTGTGAGATTAAAAAGTACGGACAAGTATGAGTGAAATTAAAAGAACAGAAATATGTAACATGAATAATGTAAATTGAAAATGGCGCGATAATGTGCTTGGTCGATAACTTTTCATTGGGCAAAAAGGGACAGATGTAAAGTCCCTAGAGGACGCCACCCTCAATAAGGCATATATTTATTTCAGTATATTCAGGACTCATGTTTAACGACTCTAGGAAAATTCACCGCCACCTCAATTCATCGCGTCCGCAATTCACCGCCAGCAATTAATCGCTGGCAGTTTACCGCCGCGTTATTTTATTGTATAAGCAATTTATAGCCTAAAAATGATCGCTAGCATATCTATAGGGTGTTCTATTTAAAATGTCGGAGATATAACGATTGTCGTAATGTTGCCGCCCGCCGGAAGGCGGCCGTAGATTTATCTAGCCTAACCTAACCTAACTAGAAATCTTAAATATAAATCAAATTTGTTTAATTAAAGAAGTTAAACAAAATTTCTTGAAAATGAATTTTATAAAGGACACACTATACATACGGAAACCCGATTTCTAAATTTCGTGTAGATCAGTGACCAGGGACATTTGGAACTATAGCCATTCATAGAACTTCAAAAATATGTTTAAATAAAAAATAACTTTTTATGACCTAACTTTTTTAAAAAATAACTTTTTTGACCAAACACATCTCGGCGGCGGTGAATTGCGGGCGATGAATTTTCCGGATCCCGGTTGCGGCACCGACGAGGTCGATAAAGAAGAAATTGTTGATGCCGTCTCAATTAAAATTCAAATAACTTTCCTGAGCATTCATCAAACTAAGAAGACTTGATAACATTTATAAATTTAATTTCCAATAAATAATTTAAATTAACCTTCCGGAAACCTAGTCGGTAAGTTGTCGAGTAGTTTCCGCCGTTTTCGTATAGGTGGCAATAGTAGTTAAATCGGCGTAGGTAAATAGGTCGGTAATTGTCGAATAGTTTCCGCTCTTTTTGTATAGATGGCGCGGTGGTCGAATTTCTGAACATTTAAACATATGATTAAACTTTAGATCTTTTTATTACAATAAAAAGTGTAACATAATAAATAAAAAAATAATGATGATGATAATGGTTAAAAAGATAATAATAATGTGCGACTGGGTTTATTCACAACCGGTACCATAAGGTGAATCGGTGATAATTTTACATTTATTAAACGCTATAATCTATCACAATAAATTTTCTTCCTTCTCTGCGCGAGACTCGTATAGAAATATATTTGAACAAACAAGTGCTAACTTTTACTGAAACGTAAATCGTATTTGGAAGATGGCGAGAAATCGCCACGGATTTCGCATGTCTATACATAATAGATATACTTGTAATTATTGTATAGTACATGTACATGTGTACATAGATATATACAAGCTAGAAGTGCAGTGGAAAACACGAATGAAATCTTCTCATGTCCTTTTGCTGGATATGTTATAAAGGCGTAAAGCTACAAACTACGGTATTGTATTTGGTCCAATCTTGTTTGTTAGCCCGATCCTGTTTCGAAAATATTTAAAGCTGATCGTGTACGCTAAGCGATTAGTTTGATCTCTATTACTCTATATATTAGAACCGTGTTTGATCTCTTTTTAAAGTTCGAAGACTGCGAAACGTTCCAAGCTCGACTCCCGAATTAAAAAGACAAACACAGGTATGGTTTTGTATGTGTATGTATAAATTGAAATTCACAGTGCGTGTAGTACGGAAGTATCTCTCTGGCGATTCGTAGGAATTCATTTGTATTAAATTACTTTTCGCACTCCCTAATACGTCTAGCTAAAAATTAATGGTTTTTTAATTCATTTGTACTTACTGTCCTAATAATGTAACATTAATTATCGCGTCGATAAAGTACATATTTTATTGCACTATCCGATTACTGCAGTCCAACTAAAAGCGATACGTCGTCGCTTTCACTCTCTAAACCGATTTTCTGCCAATTGTATCAGCGGTAGAAAAATATAGGGAACGATGCAAGTGACGTGATCAAAATTTGGCTATACGCACGATATACGTTGTATACACCGCGTTATACGTCATACACGAACCTCGTCTAAACCCAAAAAATGTTTACGCGTACGATGTATAGCACGAATATGTATAAAAATAGTCGCGCGCCAAACAATTTTGACACGTCGTCAATCTTCTTTAAGAAACCGCAAAATCGACGGAGATTACCTAAAAAGTTTGCGTAAACGTTTAAAACCATTTTGTTCACTTATTTTTTGTACGCGGCTCGCTAACGATCAGCGACATCGCTTAATGGAAATAAACAACGGTGTCTCCCTGCGTGTCTGAACGGCTACGTTAAAAAATTCACTCTTCCTTTATCTTCGTTCGATACGCGCCGTGTAAGTACTACTGCTCCAACAACGATATTTGTTCGTGCGCTTCACCGTCGGAAATACTGAACGTTTCCATTCTCTTTCCGGATTGGATTATCCTCTTTTGTCATAGCTTCGTGTGCTTCACGCTGTCGGTCCAGTAATTTTGTATTGTCATCGCTTCTAACGAATTTAGGAACGAGTCGTTATCCAAGCTGTACATCTCCTCCGAATTATCCTGCAAACGAAGCAAAGAAAGAGTATAAAATTTCCTTCATCGATGCTCGATCCAGCTTAAGGGGTTATACCAGTGTAACACTTTTGAAAAATCGACTTTATTTTTTGCATTTTTTGAAAGTCTATACTCTCTAGAATATCATATTAAAATTTTAAGGTCGAATCTCAAATCTGGCATGTCAGAAACGCGCTTACCATCGATGGACCGCGTTTTTCACAAATTTGCTGCAGCTCTAACTCAAATACAAATTATCGCATCGACTCGAAACTTACTTCAGCGCGTTCAGTACATGTTTTGTCATACCATGAACTAGGATTCTTTTGATTGGATGAAAAATGTCAATTTGGCATTAAAGAAACTACTATTTTTTTAGGTTAAATTCCAAACTTTTCTTCAAAACTTCGCCATTTTGTCAGATTTTGATATTTTTCAAAAATCCTAGTTCATGGTACGGAGAATACCTTCTAGTTTAACAGCGTTTTTGTTATTTTTCATTTTAAGCACTCAGGCGGCGGCAATTACTGCAGCTGCCCTGGGAGATAGCGCATAAGTCGCTTGTTTTTTATTATTTTTGTACCAAAAAATTATTACAGATATATGATTTGTAACTAAATACATCCCTGAAGTTTAAAAACATTGGATATAACATTTCTTTAAAAAAAAATTCCTGAAAGTCACTCAATTTTAGAGCAGTCACACTGGTATAGCCCCTTAAGTTCCAAGGAAACGGTGTGTAAAATAGACGAAACGACATTTTGCAGGAGGTCACTGTACCGTTGTATACTTACACGAATAGTGGAATCATCGATATAACCGGAACTATCTGGATTACTGCATTTATCGCTGTTCAGCGTCTGCGGTGGGTTCAGGTACCTGCGCCTGTAACGCGTATCTTTCCTTAGAACGGACACCACTTTTTCATTACCGCGTTAATCGATTACCTGTACATAATGAATCCGAGGCTGCCCATCGTGCTTAGTAGAACCACGGTCGCTAAACAGCTGCCGGTAATAGCGGCAATGTCCACCGTCGATCCCGATGCACCACCTTCTTGCTTCGCGTCTTCGCTACTGCTTTCATTGTAATCGGTAAGCTGCTCTTCCTGTACCTGATCCCTTTGAAAATCCTTCGGGAACGCGCTCCTCGCTCTACTCAGTCGCGTGGATTCGCTTACTCCTACTGTAACGTCACGTAAAGTCTTACTATCGGCCGATAGAAAATCTGCACCTCTGTGAACTTGGCCCCCCATTATCAAAAATTTGAAAAATTGATAAGATTTCTGAATGCCCCCCTAAGAGTTCTAGAGTTCTCTATCAGCTTTAAAAATAGTTCCGTCGATTAAAGTACCGAAAATAGCATCTAAAGGTATGGGGGGGGGCCAACTTCTCATTTTCGCAACTTTGAAGAGCTATAACTTTTTTGCTAGCAACTTTAGCACTTTGGTTGTTAAGGATAATTGATAGAACTCTTTGGGGGGCTACCAGAACCTTCAAACTTTTTCTGGTTAATTTTAGGGGTGAACATTTTTCTTGGTAACAGGCAGTTCTATTGACAGTCCTGGCAGCCCCCCAAAGAGTTCTATTGATAATTATTAACAACTAAAATGCTAAAGTTGATAGCAAAACAGTTATAGCTCTTCAAAGTTGGGAAAATGAGAAGTTGGCCCCTCTATACCTTCAGATGCTATTTTCAGTATGTTTTTAAAACTGATAGAAAACTCTAGAATTCTTATCAATTTTTCAAATTTTTGATTTTGAGCTGCCAACTTCACGGAGGTAAAGTCTGCAGTCCGCTCTTACATACCCTCGAGAATCGATGCAGCTGTGGCAAAGAGTTGAGGCTCGACCAGCTCCTCGTCGATCTCAACGTCGTCCGACCGATTGAACGTCCTGATGCCGGAACTTCCGACGGACGCGGAAAGTGACGAGGAAGAGGAGGATAGAAACGACGACGATTTCGTTTTGTTCAGTACCAGCCTGATTCTAGACACTTCTTCCTGAAGTGGTAGCACCGTGAGATCCTCCACCTGGTCGTTACTGCCGTTCCGATTCCCATTTTCCTCCACTTTCTCTTCCTGCTCGTACTTCGATCTAACTCCAGCCTTGTTCGACGTTAGGATCCATGTGATCTTGCTGTCCTTTTTCGTAGAAGGACCACGAGCTATGTCCGTGCTCTCCGTCGCCCGTTCGGCTGTTAAAACTTTAACCCTGTCCAGGTTCACCGCGTTGCTGCCGTTCCCGTGATACTCTTCGCCTACCAGATCTGTGCTCGTTTCGACGACGCTCGGCCCGACCTCCATGTTACTCGAAATCGTGCTGGATTGTCTGTCGAAGATGACGGCCGCGTTGGTGGGAGGATGAAGACCGATAGCTTTGGCAACGCGCAAGTTTTGTCTAGCTTCCGGACTATCCGTCTCGATCGAGGTGATTTCGGGCGTCGATTCGGTGCTCAGGCGATCCTGCACCTGGCTACGCGGCTCCGACGTGCTCGACGGCACCGGGTTTCCTAATATCACTGAAAGAAAATCAAAGTTACCGATCAAAAGTCCGTTTCGCCCGGTAGATCTACGAGTAGATCCCAGCTATTCGTGCAAACTTACAGACATTATGTCGCGGAAGAGGAAAGGGATAAGATACGTAGGCGAGGACTCTCGAGATAGTAGGATCCTAATTCCTCTGGTGACAAGTGTAAAACAGGGAAAAAGATTTACCACACATGTTCGTTTTCACCGTGACAGTGGGACGAGTTAAAAAGTCGAAAATTAGCCGCAATTCGTGCTCGAGAGAATGAGTATCCTCGCGTTTTGCTGACACCGCAGTCAGCTGACAAGCATCAGATGTTGGCAACCAGAGCCACTCAACGCTTCAGTCGATACTTATAAACGAGCTTTTACGCATCGATCGATGACGATATTCCGAAACTTTCTATATCCCCGGTGAAATAAAATGAAATTTCAAAGAAAAAGAGAGAATCGTCGAAAACCTTGATCTTCGTCGAACGATCTTAGTAATTTCATGCGAATTCTATCTGGACCGTAACGACTGTGGCAAACAACGAGCCGAGGAACGAAGGCGTGAAAGGCATGAAAAATCACGGGATGTCCTTGATTCTAGCTTCTATTTAGAACGCACCGAGAAATTGAGCGGTAACCCAGAACCAGTGCATCCACCAATGCAACGTCATCGCGTCATCTGTGTGTACCTGGAACAGAACGTGTACAGAACAATATTAGTCGATCGCTTGCGTAATCGTTATTGTGGAACCGAGAACAGAGCGGAAGTTCGAATGATCCTGGAACAGATCAATGATTCACAGCGTAATACAAGACCCATTGAAAATTTTTTTAAAAATTATGCTTTCACTGAATATGCGGATAATTGAAGCGACTCGTCGAATGGTTCAAGTTTCACTTCGCGATCCTTCTCTGCCTGTCGGGACAATGCTCCATTAGTCCTGTGGATACGCGTTTAATATCGACGTAGACAGAGTGCAGCTCGAACCTTTGTGCTTCGGAAGATTGATTTAGTGGTTCGGCTAACCCAGGCTAAGTGGGGATTTTAATCGACAACGGGAAAACAGGAAAATCTTCTGCAGAGAACAGGTAGAAAAATCTTTTCGAAATTATAGGATCCTGCTATCTGTATAGGGTGTAAAAAAATTAATAGGGGTGAATCTACACCAGGCCTGTCCAAGTAGGGGAATCCACTCCTGGAACACATATTTTGGGTCTCCTTCCAACGCTGCTCCTTCAAGTAAGATGGGACGGTTCCGACTACCGTCTCTCCGTCTTTCCTAGCGGCGGTATTGTCTCCTCGGTACCATCTTACTTGAAGGAGCAGCGTTGGAAGGGGACCCAAAACATGTATTCCAGGAGTAAATTCCCCTATTTGGATCTACACCATAGGATCGGTGGATATTTGTAAAAAAAACTTGCCGCAGATTAATGTTACATTTTTTTTGCATTGTATTCTACGCATTGAGAAGAAAAATAGTCTGAGAGAAACCATATGTCGGAAATTGTTTGGTCAGGAAAAATTATTGAAAAATTCTTCTCGAATTCTTCTCAATACACAGAATACACGTTGATGTAGAAAAAAATTGACATTAATTTTCAATGTTATAAACAATTTTGCGGCAAGGTTTTTTTTTACAAATGTTCATTGATTCTATGGTGTAGATTCACCCTCTGAAGTTATAATCATTAATTTTTTTACACCCTGTACACTTTAGAAAGTGCACTAGTGAGTTGACTGGACAAGCACCGCTACCTGGCCATCCAGAAAATCATATATTTAGGTGAGTAATCGCCGATTGCTCAACTGAGATTTCTGCGTGACTCATCGCGGCAAGAACGGAGCAGAGAATTTTAAGAAGGTTGACCAGGTAGTTTACAAGTAAAAAAATGAAGAAAGTAACCGTGTTCGAAATTTCGCACGCTTAGGACTCTTTTCGATGCGAGAAACAAGGAAAGGTGGACAAAAATGAGAGACTATAGTACAGTTATTCACGGACCGGTCATGCTCTCCCGACTGTAACCAGTCGTAGCTTGGATGCACCGGGACGTCAGGGTGAGCGAACAATGTCGCAATTTTCCCGCCACTGGTACACAGCATTAAAGATAAAGATACCGGAACAAACGTCGCATTACCGCTCCCTTTCCGCCTGCTAACCGTCTGAATCATTCTTCTCGAAACACCAGTTTTGACGTCACAGCCTCTCAGAGAATGAGAAACGGTTCGAATAGACGTTACAGCTAGGAGGACGAAACCAGTCGCGCGACAACAGCTAATGCAAATTTTTCGTGGTAAAAGAAACCGAAAAGCCTTTTTCCATTTTGCAATCTGAGGCACCTGAGGTTTTCGAAGGCTGATCGCTCGAGAACCGGGGTGGCCTATTTCAGTCTTAGACGATCCGAGTATAAAAGTGAAACGGAGCAGCACCGAAAGCGAAACAGCCCAATTTTTGACTCGCTTACGCGTCTCAAAAACGAGGCCCTATTTCACGAAAGTCTGAAGTTTCTGAACACCCGACATAATCGTATAAATCACTCTGTCGTACACAATTCCCGAGATTTAAGGTCGTGCTCTTACCAGACGATTGAATTAATTAAGCGTCAGCGTTTGAGTTCCTGATCCGAGGCACAGCATTAACTGACGAGTCACACCGAGCCACGTATCGGTGAATCACGGAAAGATAATCGAGGCCCAATGAGAATCGGGCTTACCTTATCGATATTAAGAACGCAGATAAAGAGAAGGTAAGAATACTTCCGCGAGAAACAATGGGCCACATGGTTTTCAGACCAAAAAACTCACTCGCCGATCGCCTTCTACGCGCTCTCATTAATGTTCCGACCAACGAATGGCCATTGAAACGCTGACCTCTTTAACTTCATACCTATTTTGACATTTAACGAGAGAAGTGCTCGCGTTTCCTAAACGGTGAACAAGCTCGAGATGGTTCGCAAATAAAAGATATTGCGTAAACGCTTCTCTGGAACCTGTTCCTTCCAGCTGTACTTGATTTACTTTCCATATTTATTCATCGGGAAGGTTAACCTTCGACTGGGTTTTACGAGAAACGAGCTGAAATTCAACCTTCGGCCCAGACTCGAGGGTCGCCGCAGTGTCCTATATAACATGCACGTTTCAAAATGTCCATCTTTCAAACAATCCTCAGCCAAATGCATTCAATTTCCTTCCTGTTTCACAGCAGAGGACGTTGAAAACTTGCATCAATTTAGAATTGATGTTATTCGTGTCTAACAAGGGGAACTACCCAAATGTTACACTCATTTATTAATGAAACTTTGCCAGCTTGTAGAGCTCGTCGAGCTGAACACGCCTATACCCCGTTTTGTGGGCAGACGACTAATTGTTTAAAAGATATTAATAATTAAAATTAGTTACTACTTACATTGAGAAGTATGATAGACTCACACATACAACTCGCAATCTAGAGATCCACGGTTCAAATCCTTGATTCCCAACATTTATTTTTTATTTAATGATAATTTGTCTCTTTTTGAATAACTATTACATAAAAATTATCATAAAAAAAAAAAAAAAAAAAATGTTGGGAATCAAGGATTTGAACCGAGGACCTACAAATTGCAAGTCACGATCTGCTCCGTGGTTAAACACATGACTCGTAATTTAAAGGTCCTCGGTTCAAATCCCGGGTCACTTTTTTTTTTTTTTTTTTTTTTTTTTTTTAATAATGATAATTTTTATGTAATAGTTATTCAAAAAGAGACAAATTATCATTTAAAAAAAAATGTTGGGAACCAAGGATTTGAACCGTGGATCTCTAGATTGCGAGTTGTATGTGTGAGTTTGTCATACTTCTCAATGTAAGTAGTAACTAACTTTAATTATTAATATCTTTTAAACAATTAGTCGTCTGCCCACAAAACGGGGTATAGGCGTGTTCAGCTCGACGAAGCTGGCAAAGTTTCATTAATAAGTGAGTGTAACACTTGGGTAGTTCTTGTAAGACCAAACAATCTAGTATGCTCCGAGCAAAGGTTAATTTTAGCGATTGACACCGCTCCGTCTCTAATTGCTCGTTAATCACGTTTCTCAATCGAGCTTGGTTAACCCTCCCTAGTTTCGCTTTACGAAAAGTAACGTCGTGCCCGCGGTCTGACAAGAGAACGAAGAAACCTCGTTTGCTCGTTCTTTTGTTATCGATTCTTATCATAGGATGACATTAAACGTTTGTACAAAACCGCTTCTGACGCTTCATTGTTTGCGAGAGCTTGTTTGTTTTAAGCGCATACACGGTTTCCATCTACGATGGAAAACAGAAAACACGAGGACATTTGTTTAAACGTTTTTAAACGAATGCTTACAAACAGTTTTGATATACATTTGTTTTGGCATATAAATGATTTGAATCGAATAGGAAGCAAATACGTAACGGAATCTTGTAATAATGAACCACTACAGCGTTGCGATTGTGAATTTCCTTAGAAGCTCGTGTCGTGTCAAGGAACTTGTTAGTAGGCATTGTTGCGGCGGTAGACAACAGCCGTCTGAATCTTCCGCGTTTTCGCTTCCAACTTCCGCTCGCAACAAGTGATCGTTAACGCGTTCGCAGCCATGTGGGTCAGAATAGCACTCGCGTTGCGAGTCCATGAACCACATATAGCACGCTGACACACTTTGAGCTTGAGAATCGATTAATCCGTGTACGAGACTAACAGAACTTTTCAATTTTCCCTCTAGTATTTTTATACTGACCAGATGGGTACAAGACGCGAATGCACCGTAAAATCCTGTTTGGTTAAACGCTAATATTAACACCGTTTTAAGATTTAACAGAGCCCTTGAAAGCTGTACCTTCAATCGTATCTGAAAAACGAAGCAGCAGCTTGCGAAGTAATGAAAAGCTTTTCGATTCCATTCGTCAGCGAACATTTGGATTTTTATTGAATCGGGGACTGATACACTCCGATTTTGATGAAACTTTGCATAAATATTTATGAAGATAACTAATTCGTTGGTGCCCGTTTTCACATTGAGGGAGATATCAACCCTTTTATCCGAACCGCCCTTTCTATATACGTGCTTATAAAAAATAGTTGAAATAAAAGTTATACCGTTTCTTGAGGTCTATAAAGCTGCGTGTAAGTTTTTTTTTTAAATCATCCTTTTTGCAAAATTGAATTCCCCCTGCCCCTCCGTTTTGAAAAACTACACGCAGTTTTATAGACCTCAAGAAACGGTATAACTTTTATTTCAACTATTTTTTGATATCTTTTGTTGTTTACGATTTATAAGCACGTATATAGAAAGGGCGGTTCGGATAAAAGGGTTGATATCTCCCTCATAGTGAAAAACGGGCACCAACGAATTACAGTTATCTTCATAAATATTTATGCAAAGTTTTATCAAAATCGGAGTGTATCAGTACCCGATGTTCCTTTGTGAGTTCGAGTTATTTCAGCATGAAATAAGAAAAAAGAAACATCCTCCCGAGTAACAAACGATATACAATCATACTTCAGCTAAGGAAAATCCGTGAGAATCTCGGTCAAAGAAGCAAGAAAACTGGGTAAATCAAGTGTTCGCCGCACGACGACGAAATTTTAACGAGTTTATACCACCCATTGTTCAACCTTCGTGACACCAAAGACTTTTCTCAGACTCCGTTGTGTTGGTCGTCGGACACAATTGGAGCAACGTTCAAACGTTTCTTTTCACTTTCACGCTATACTTTTCATTCGTTTCTCCTCGCAGCCTACTGAAAATTGTTTTGGTTCACTAACTGACTCTTTTTCTCTTAGATTCGACCAACGCGTACAAACACACGCCATATGCTTTCACTAAGGAAACGATGAAATTTGTTTCTTCTTCTACCACCGCTGCGTGGAAGCTTCTTTCGAGAGACTCTATCGCTATCAATAGATATCTCAACGGGCAAACAGTTTACATGAAAAGATACATGATTTTCTAAATTGATCAGATTATAGAAATAAAACGTTCGAGAACCGTACAACTCTCTAAACGAGAACGAATCCGAGCGATCGTGCATCGGATTTGGCTGGTTGAAAGTCTTCGTTGACGCTGTGCGGACAGTTCGCAGCCTGCAGCTACTCGAATTAGAGCGACAAACGTGTAGCCGAATTAATCCAATTTCCTGGAGTCTGTAACGAGATTTGCGCATCCTAGAGGGACACGATAATACGTAAACTCGTTCGTTGAAAATCGCTCTAGAGGGGATTAATCCTCGAACAAAGACAATGATAATCTTTTCGCGATGTGAAAAATCCTGTATCCTTTCGTAATCTGACGCTTAGCTTTCGAGACGTAAACGATAGAAAATTATCTATTCCGCTTCCGGGGTGCTCTGTTTAAACCTTAGGTGAGAATCAGACGGTCACATGGTCGCAAATTGCTTCATTGGCGCAACAAAACGCACACTCGGTAAGCACGGTCAATTAGTAAGAGGGCATTCACACCGGTTTCTTAGCGTTCGAAGCCTTAGATTTCTCGGTTTTACTTCTCACGGTGTAGATATCTTTTTCTCGACACCCTGTAGACGAACGTGTCTAGAACGTCGTTAGAATGGTCACGCAATTAAAAACAAATTAAACTTTACTCCTCGTGAGTTTTGAAACTGCGACGCGAGCAGTGCCGTAATAATTGGTTGCCGCAACAACGAATTGTCTGGCCGTTACTAACGAGACCCCACTGTGTTAAGTGTTTTCCTTGTTCATCTGTTGTATTCAGATCTCGCTGGCACGTTTTGTTTCGCGTTGCATTGTCGCGCATCGTTTTTACATCACCGTCCTTCGATCACCAACTTAACTCTTTCGTTTTTATACGCATCGTGGCATCAATCGCGTTTCGTTACCGTGTCTATTAATAATTACTGACAGTGGAAACAGAGGCAAAAATTACGACGAGTAAAATAATTTAATCGCTTTGCGACACATGTGTTTTTCCAGCCGTGGCTGGATAATAAGTTGTAACGTCAACATATATATATGTTTCTGAAAGCGAAAGCTTCTAATGTAACTGGTAGTCACGCTTGCGTTCATGCAAAACCGGTGAGAAAACAAGGACTCGCTTTCCTCGCTGATTATTAAAACTTCGCCATGCTCGATCAATCCTGACGTTTACTATTTAACTGCGCGATTTAATCCGTGCTTCCTTGTACCTTCTCTTTGGGGAAATTTCCGAAAGGCCCCATCACCCTAGGACAACCAAACTTCGGATTTATAGTAATTGAGGGACGAGAAATCGAATGAGACCATTTTCAGAACTGGCAAATAAACCGTTCCCGAGATATTCTAAAAGTATTCTAAAAGTGCGGAAACCCCCTATTACCTCGATAAGAACGCATTTTCACGGAAAATGCGTTCTTATCAAGATAATAGGGGGTTTCCGCACTTTTAGAATACCTTGTCCCCTAACCCTAACCTAGGTTAGGTTAGTCATTTTCCGTGGAAATGTGTTCTTATCAAGATAATAGGGGGTTTCCGCACTTTTAGAATACCCTGTCCCCGAACCCTAACCCTAGCCTAGGTTAGGTTAGTCATTTTCCGTGCAAATGCGTTCTTATCGAGGTAATAGGGGTTTCCGCGCTTTTCGAATACCCTGTATATCTCGAGAACGGTTTATTTGCCAGTTCTGAAAATGGTCTCATTCGATTTCTCGTCCCTCAATTACTATCAATCCGAAGTTTGGTTGTCCTGGGGTGATGGGGCCTATCGGAAGTATACCCTTCTCTTTTTATAATATTCGACGATCACACGGTTGTATGTACGAGCAGAAAATATTGCAAATTCAAACGTACAGGATTTGCTAATCGAAAATCTGTATCAGCAATAACATTCGCATCGGTCCGCTTCGATCTATTTTTATTTTACAACTACGATCGCGTGTTCCGATCTTTTCGCGCGTCAAAATGATCCACGAAAATTACAAATTTCCGTATACACATTTTCGAACGTTTGGATTTACTCGACCAAAATGCATCCGATGCGCCGGCCGAATGCAGTTTCCTCCGAGCGCAATTAATATGCAGTTCGAACCCGTGATTCCCCTACTGAAAAAGAACCGAGTAGCCAGATTTATTTTTATCTTGCAACTAAAATTACTGACAAACAAGTGCATAATCGCGGCGCTGTGCGAGGTAATACATAGTTGCGTAAGTTTAAATCTACATCCATGCAGCCGAAAGGACGATCAAGGTCAGCGCGAGAACGGGTTAATTATTAGTTTCCTGTTTTTCCTCGGTAACACATCTTTGCGTCTATCTCATAGTTGTTCAACCGTTTGCTCTTTAAAATCGATAGAAAATTTTCAAAGGAAAGGTGGCTCGTTGAAAATCTGATAGAACCAGATTCGTGACAAAAGTTCGATTAAAAATTGAAACTGACGATGAGAAGAGGATACCTCGCCCAACGAGAATTGGAAATAATCCAATCAAACTGAAGGAAGAGGTTTTCAACGAAAACAGAGCTTAAAAATAAAATCCATAAAGCGCGAAATTGGAGAACGAAGAAGTAAAATGGGAATTTAGTCGGTTGAAATCAAGATTAGATTCGAGATTGCAAAGAAAAAGGGAAAAAAGTGAGGAGGTAAAATAGCCGCACGGTCACGTGGCACAATGGACGTCAATTACGATGATTAAACAAGTGGCAGGTTGGGACGATAACAGAAAAGCAAAGAAAACGATACGCAATGTGCGTAAAATATACACGCGGAATAAAACCCATAAAACCACAACATTAATTGATTTTCATAAGTAACAAGTTTTATCTTCTGTGGTATTTACAGAGTGTAATTTTGTGTAATTTCGAATGTTTAAAAATATCGTATAATGCCTTCTAAACCTTATTTTTTTATTCAAAGTAATACTTGTAATAAAATATTGATAAGAATTTTAGATAAGTATGGTTTATGACTTTTAAAGTTTATTATTTAATTAAATTTTAAGAAATGTATCACTTTGGATTTAAGTTTGTTTAAAAATGTATTATATATTTATATCATAAACAAATTTTTCAGTGTTTTGCATCTTTCATTAAATATGTTGTTTTTAATATAATGTAGTTATATATAACATTTTTTTACTTCAATTATAAAAAATCATCCAATTTTACAAACATATTTTACTGATCACTAAAAATATATGATTATAGCTCTCTAAATACTTTATTTTCAAATTTTAACTATTCAAATTGATGCAACAAATAAAATATTTAAATATTTATGACAACAAATTTTAGGAACAATACTGCATCTGCCCACACGGAAAGATAGCCGAAAGAAGTTCCCTTTCACTTGCATCCACCTTCTGGATAAGAATCTCGGTTACATCGAGAGGAACAATAGATTCCATGAGAGTTCTAATACACGCTTCAACTATTCCGCTGTATACGTCCTCGAAAATTTTCCTTGGGAATATTCAGAATAAACGATAAAGAAAATATTCACTGAACTTTGTTTGAACGATAAGAAAATTTGGAATCACATCAATTCTAGGAATATCTGAAAAGTTTATTTTTCTTGGAATATTAATAAACCTTACGTAAGATAATTACCAAAACAAAACTGTTCCACGATAAGGCATTAGTCGATTACGTAAATGTCGATAGATAAAAATGTCAGACCCCCTCCAAGCGATAGACGAAGCAGAAGAAAAAAAAAGAACGCTCGTTACATCGAACGTACCAAAAATATCACCAGACAGAAAAGAAAACAATTATTACACTTGCACAGATCACGATTGGAGTACGGCTGGATACAGATAAACTTTCTTCGGATCTAACGAGTTATGAAAAACAAAATTACACGAAGATAACGATGTTTCTGTTAATGTACACGCTAGTGTTGAATTACAATGAGCACCGTAAATGCGGGCTAAGAAAAGTGAACGTTGTAGGAAACGAATCGTCGAAAGAGAGAGGAGGAACAATCGCAAAAGAGGGGCAAGAATGAGAGAGAGAAATCGCGATTGGTTCTGCTTGTTTAGACCGCGAGCATAGGAAGAGGGAATATAGGAACATCCTGTCGTGGAAATTCACGTCCCTGGACGGAAGTTGGAGGGAGACGACAAACGAGATACGCGGTGACCAACAGACGAGCACACATTATTCCGCATGCATATGATAATTCGAGCAACGCAAGAACCAGAGAAACAAGATCCGTGCGCAATTTGTCCGGCGAGCCGGAGCGTTTACGCGCGAGTAATCTATTATCGACCGATAGGCGATCCAGCTGTCGCGACAATTTTCGTTTAATCGAATCAAACTGCGATTAATTGACTCAATTAGTCATTAGTCCGTAATTATTGGGCGTAAAGGATGCATCAGCGAGGACGATGAATCGTTAACCCTTTGCGGTCCGAACTGCATATTTTCGCTTTTCGATTCCCGGTACATGTATGGATCGAGTAAAAGCGTTTAACGCCCACGTACGTTTCTTTCGTTGAAATTTCGCTAGAAATAGACTCGAGTAAAAAAATGAAAATGTAAAGTGCGTTCAAAAACGGAGAAAGTTTATCGCGTGGTCGAACAAAATTTTTAATCCTTTCACTTCGCATCGATTTTAACCCCTTGCCTTATGATTATTTTTTTACTAAAATATCAATCGTTGAAAATGTTCAATGTCTATAAATTGTGATTACAGTCCGAATTAAAATTTCATATACCCTGTGACACGAGCGAGGCTCGTTTTACACGGCAAGGAGTTAAACTCTGTAATAGTTACAAGTAAATTTTGTAAGATTAAGAGCCGTAGCTGTGTTTATCTTCCGGGTGAACTTTCGAGGCAAAGAATGCAAAGGGAGGACTAAAGAGCATCGGCATCGTGGTCTGTCGTAAATGTGTACTATTCCTGGAGATTCTTCGGTGACTCGTTGCTCGTGTTTGCGAAAAACTTTGTTCCTGCTCGCGCTCCCTCTCAACACACATTCTTTATCGAATTTTTTCCCTCGAAAATGTGCTTTTAAACGAAGACACTCGTGCACAAACTTTCACTCACACCTACGAAACAAAGAACTATTGTTAAAAAACGTTCCTTAATCGGCATGTAAACAATGCTGTAAACATATTGCAAATAAAACTATAAAAGTATTGAAAAAAAAAAAAAAAAACACTTCGATCCTGCCAGGATTCGAACCTGGAATCTTCTGATCCGTAGTCAGACGCGTTATCCGTTGCGCCACAGGACCAATTCGCTCCTGCTCTTTTTACCTATTACACAAATAGCCCTTAAACTTTGTTACTTCATCAATAAATCTTTTATCGTCCTTTGATGTCTTTTATCTTTAAACAACAAGTAAGCGTTTGTGACCTTTTTAACGGAAATAATACACGTAGGCAAGAGTAACCTTTCTATCGATTCACGTATATACTTGTTATATTTAACAAATCCCATGAATGGCAGTCGCCTCTGACATTTCGATTGAACTATGTTAAGCATCGTTTGGAAATGCATGAAAGATCCTGTCGATGAAGAGACTCACCTATAAATCACGTGAGAATATTGCACGATATTTAACGTGATCGTGAATATCGATTTACCGTGGTCATCGGTACAAATGTTAGAGTTGGAATTAAAAAATATTACACGCACGATATCCATATTATCCAGTATCTACGATCAGGGACTAGGAACGTAAGCGGTGCACGTTCGAACGTGCACGACACAGAACAGAACCAAGACTTTCGAAACAATACACACCTCGTGACACTTCCGCGAAACAATAATAATCAACACTATCAAATGCGATCTCTCTTTCTAACGTTCATTTCTTTTAAATACATATACTAATGTCGATACACACCCAGGTAAGAGATATTCCTCCGTTGTTCGTGTTAATACAGGTAGCAGACATTCGGTGTTAGAGAGAAAAAAGATTCCGGTGGACGGACAACCAAAGGGGCAGTTATATTCAAGCAGTAACGTCAGTGTCACCCCGTAACTGTCCGTCGAAAACAGAAGGGTGTCGATCCCATCGAAGAAATCCGAAATAATCGCGTATCGCTGTTTCCCACGAATAGATCATTATTCTTCACTCACCGTTCGTAGTTAGATATGTCACGTGAATCACATACCCGCGCACGTCCCGTTTAGAAATCTGAGAACACGAGCGAAACACGCCGAGGGCTGTCACGACCTATCGTTATGCTCGCCATTTTGGTTTACACTGGCACTCAGGAATAAGCAGCGAGGTGTCTTACCGTAAAACACGCATGCGCGCGACAGGTGGCTGCCCGGGAGTTGAATACCGTCCGTAATGCATCGTCGATGTTTCAAGAGTATCAAGTTGGTTTTATGCCAGCTGATTTAGTATCATCAGTTACCTGCGATATTAAGACTTGCTATATATTTCAGATATAATTCTAAAAGTAACCGCATAAAAATGTATTCCAATACAGGAGAATATATGTTCAAACTTTGATTTTCACTGTTCAAGATAATTACCTGGCAGTTCTACTTGATCGGTAGTTGGTTCGTTTGATACCTAAGCTACTTACACTTTAACGCTCCATCTATCGCCTTTACCCGATGAAGGATTTTTCGAAAGATACGGAGCCGTCAAATTGGTTTTATGTACAAAATCAATCATAGTATCTGTTCGTCTAGAGAAAAAGCACTGACCTTGGAGTCCAAGTTTAACCGCAGCAAATATCATAAATCTAATTATTTAATAAAAGCGTTAAAATAATTAACATAATCATGTGATAAAAGCTTTAGAATATTCAATAATTTATTTGAAATTACAAAATACACTAGACGAATGGACACTATGATTGATATTATATGTATGTACTTATCTAACTGAGGCTATAAGAATGAATGATATCAGTAAATCGAATTATTAAAAGATCTCTATTGCACCATTTCTTACCTGTATTTCCAGAAAAGATAAAATCGTGTAAGAGAAATCAAACCTGACAGTCATCTAGACAAATCCCATATTGTTGGTTATGATACGAAATATAGAAATAAAAATAATATTGTGTTTTGTATTTTTAGTCTTACAAACGATCTTGTTTTATACCTTGTCTATGATGAACAAACTTAGATTTGAAACTATGTGCGTTGCCCTGCCTACAGTTTCGAATAATGTCATGTAGCGATAAATTTGACGCAACTCATATTTCTAGAGAACATAATAATTACAAGTGATAATATATTTCTTAATTAACGATCATAAAAAAGCGTTAAATTGTTAGTTATTAATAATTACACTTCTTACCTCAGGATTTTTAATGCGTCCGTTATTGCAACGTTTTGCGCATGCGCAAACGCATGCGCATGAACAGCACGTGATAGTTTTAAATTTGAAAATTGGGCGGCTATCGCACCGTAATTTGCAACTATAATTATTGTCTTAACTCACATGGAAAATTATGTCTTTACCATTTGGATAGGTTTTATACAATCTAATTAACATTTTAGATAAATTCAAATATGTATCAATTATCGTCAAAGTAGATAACTTTATTACCATTAGTTTCATTTCCTACCGGCTTAGCGTTGTAATCTTATTCCACCTGGAATCGATAACGGTGAATATGACAAAAAGTTAAATAATTCATTCAATAATTTAATCACTCACTTAAATATTTTCACATAAGTATCTATTAAACTATAAAAACGGTGTAAATTTGAACAAAAATTTGGCCCATGGGGGGATCGAACCCACGACCTTCGCGTTATTAGCACGACGCTCTAACCAACTGAGCTAATGGGCCAACTGAGTTACATGCAGATTTTTGCAAAATTTTACATTTTGTTTATTTATTCTCTATTGTTAAACTGAAATTATTATTTGCAAAAACGGATTGGAATTCACGGAAGGGTTGACCCGTGACCTCCGCATTAGCATGGTGCCCTTAGTCAACCTGGTTACTACACCTCAGAGTTTTACTATTTCTTACCCACAATTTTGTTTAGTCTTTTCCAATAAAAAACAATATTTTATTTCCATTTTCAGCAACATTCGAGTATTTTTAAATTATCAGAGTTTAATTCTATCGTCGACTTATGTACGCAAACTAGATCGCAGAGTTTTTTCTATTGTACTTGAAATGTCATGTTCGCGAGGTTCTGTCGTTGGGAAACATTCATTATTATTTGATGCGTTGGAGAATCGAGAATCTTTCCTCGCAAAGGGAGGTTCCTGAACCCTATATCGATCTCACTATTCCTAGACACAATGAAGAACGGTCAATAGACTATCCTCTCTTACTTTATCAAACGGTCTAACAATAACGTCTATGTCGTGGTTCAAACTCTTTGTCAAGTAAAACAAGGGGAAAAAATCTTGAGACCTTGCGGTCAAGACCAATTTTCATACTCGAGGAAAAACTTATAACTCTATGCGTTCCGTATACACACAATAGAATGCACTTTAATTCTCCATCTCGTACGAAGTATGTACCAAGATAATTTTAATTAACACATATGTGGGGAATAAATCTAAAGATTTCTTTTGCTACTCCTCGTATAAATTACACGCTGATCATTAACAAAGGGTCGTTAAATGTGTCACGAATTATGATACGATCGATACAGAAATCGACAAATAAATATTCGTCCAACTATTGAACAGCCACGTTACCTATCCCATGGGAAATCGATTAATTGGTGCATTGACCCATGGTCTATAGACCGATTGGACTTACAACTTACGTTAAAGGATTCCACAGCTAACCAACCGTAACCAAATTGCCGGTTTATCGTCGAATGCAAAAATCGTTTATCTCCTTGTTACATATTTATATTTTTTAATCAAACCAGGTATCCTTTGCTCTCTCGTTCAACCGTTGTTTATCTGTTTGACAAATTTTTATCTGCTGAACGTGATATCGCAAGTTCACCTGCTCGCTCGTATAACTTGCATTGATTTATTTCGTTCTGGTCAAACTAGCCAGCAGCAAGATGGATCGACAAGACACACGGTGAGTAATCAAGTGATTACCATGATAATCAACTTATTCAGCAATTTTCTTTTTACCAGGCATGTGTCACTTGCAAATGAATTAACATTTTATGATAGTAATACTATCATACATTTTAAATATGTGGTAATATATTTAATCAAATAGATTTGATAATAAAAGACGGTATTGAATAAGATACAAAATTGACAAGGTAGCTCGCAAACTAAACGTTCTTCACTCCTCGAAAGTCAACTCAAATCTGACCCATCCCGGAAAGGCACTCGCATTCATACATAGTTTTTCTTACACCCGCACCCCTCGCTAGGGCCAAAGATAAACAATCGCCGACCCTTGGGCCTGGTTTTCGTCATCGCCTTTCTCTTTTATGACTTTCTTCCTGCCTTTAGAAATATAAACTACCCTAACAAGGGACCTTACCCAATCGACACACGCCGATTTTGATGCCCTTTGAGTATGATATAGAACTCAAAAAAATATTTGACACGTATTTTTTTTCATCGGCAATCGTCCATGCTGAAGGGGTGAAAAAGATGACAAAAATAGATTATTTTTCAATATATTTTTTAAACAAATAAATTTATCAAAAAGGTGGCTACATAGAAAAATTTGCTGTTCAAAAACACACAAATTCCATTTTGAATTTTTCGCCTACACCATATATTTTGCAATCCCAACTTTGAGGACTATTTTCACCTCTTCAGCATGGACGATTGCCAATAAAAAAAAATACGTGTCAAATATTTTTTTCAGTTCTATATCATACTCAAAGGCAGGGCCGGCGCGAGGCAGGTTCAGCGCGTTCGCCGGAACCCGGCCTCGCGTTTTGAAAGGTCCCGCGGTTTACAAAAACTCGCGGTTGAAACTAATAAAAAATTATCTTCAGTCATCAATAAGCCAGGACCGATTTACATCTCTGGCTATTCTTTCAATAAAAAGCGAAGTAGCAAACTCAATCAATTTTGATGAGGCAATCAAAGATTTTGCGGCGAAAAAAGCGAGAAAAATTATGTAATATTCATTTTACAAAAAATATATGTGACATCCTTTCTACTTATAATAAATAATTCCTTATTGTGAAATTTAAGTATAGTTCCAAAATTTTTGGAACCAGGCCCCGCAAAAGGTCACGCCGGCCCTGCTCAAAGGGCATCAAAATCGGTGTGTGTCGATTGGGTAATGTCCCTTGTAAGTTCTAAACTACGTTACCACAAATAGATCGCTGCTTCTTATTTATTTTCATCTTATGCAATAAGCAGTATGAGAATTAACCATCTCATTGTGTTAATGAGGTGATTACTGTTTTTCTTTTTCTTCATTAAGTGTAATTTGTAAATTTCCATATCCTTGCGAAATTACTTTTACGCATAGAAGTTACCCTTGAAACGCAAACAGCTAAACAAACCTTGTTCGAGGTGAGGGAGAAGATTTTCTTTTGAAAATACAACTGTAACAATTATTAACTGGCACAGCCTTTGTAGAAATGTATGGCCTTAAATTGATTATATTATCGTATCTTATCGGTACCTAACTTTTATCTTGGCTGCTAATCACAATCGTGTTACTTAGTAATACATAACTGTTCCTTCTACGCACTTGTTGGGTTACGTATTAATGGTAACTTTATGTAATCTTCTATATTAAATATGTACCATGGACATGACAAATGCAGCATACGTCTTGTTACTTTGAAATTAATGATTCCTTTATCCTTATTTACATAGAGACCGTTTCATTTGTTTTCTTCAACATTCTAAATAAATGATGAATAATGAACGAAGACAGTCCTCGATACAAAGATCAACAGCATTCTTATACAGTGAGTGTAAAAAGTGTTTGGACACCGGTGAAAATAGAATACCTCGTTTAAAATTCTTGAGGTTTTTTGACAAGTTATACAAATTAATTTACTAAGATATGTGCTTTCGTCGTTTTAAAAAATTGAAATTTGCCGAAATCGGGAAGGAAATAATAAAAGGCAATTTTTTAACTTTTTTATCAGAATCTGTAACGAAAATTTAAAATATGACATTTTTAAGTACGTTATGCGTATGCTGAAAATTTTATCAAAGTCGGTCAATGCACTTAGAAGTCACAAGTAATTAATGTTTTCGAAAATCGCGATTTTTCATCTAATTAAGTAATTACCATAATAATTAACTTATTCAGCAATTTTCGTTTTACCAGGCACGTGTCACTTGCAAATGAATTAACATTTTATGATCGTAATATTATCATACATATTAATTAGCTGTTTCTAATTTATTTTCATCTTATACAATAAGCAGTATGAGGTGATTACATGAGGTGATTACTGCTTTTTTTTTTCTCTTCATTAAGTGTAATTTGTAAATTTCCAAATCCTTGTGAAATTATTTTTATGCGTAGAAGTTAAGAAGAAAATGACTAGTTCCGTTCTTACAATTAGATAAAAAATCGCGATTTTCGAAAATTTTAATTACTTACAACTTTTAAACGCGTTGACCGATCTCGATGAAATTATCAGCATACACATAACTTATCTGAATCTACGAAAGAGATATTTAAAATTTTCATTATAGGTTCACATAAAAAAGATTACCCTTCATTATTTTCTTTCACGATTTCAACAAATTGTAATTTTTCAAAAGTGACAAAAGCACATATGTATCTTAGTAAATTAATTTCCATAACTTCTCAAAAAATCTCAAGTCATTCGGTCCAATTTTAAACGAGGTATTCTGTATTAAACGGTGTCCAAACACTTTTCACACTCAAAGTGAAATAAAAAAGAAAGAAAGGTAAAACGATTTCCTCTTTGATCTCTGCTGGTACGCGCGTTAGAAGAGAAGCACCGGCCAATAAATAGCTCAGTACACCCTGTACATCGCAGAACGAAAGTGATTGCATAAACGACACACGAAAACCGGTATAAACCGTGGACCGTTGCAACCAGAAAAGAAGGAAGAAACGCTTGCAGTTTCGTGCGAGTGATGCTGTTCGCACGAAAGCGAAAGTGACGCACGTGTTGTTCGATATTCGTATTTTCGAACTGGTTACCTCCATTTTTCTTCTCTCATTCGTATTATTGTGCTACCATCACATTGGAGGAATTTATCGTACGGGGGTCATCGGGACGGGTCTTTCTTCAACGGTGAAACGAAATCGGGAAACGCGTTATCGATGACCCGTTGCTTTTATCGACATTCGTTCAACGACAGCGAAGAAGAAAAGTCGATGGAAGAAGAGTGTTAAAAGAAACGATCACAATAGTGCGAGTTTTCGTTATTTTACGAAGACAGTTCCAATTTGCAACCAAAGGGCTGCTGGATCTTTCCCGAGGCTGAAGGTATCTGAAGGTATTTCGAATAGTGGCGAATAAAGAATAATAGATTAAAAGATTGACCGCTCTACTTCCGGGGTGACCTGTTTGAATCTTACAAGGGACATTATTCAATCTACACACGGCGATTTCGATGCCCTTTGAGTATGATATAGAACTCAAAAAAATATTTGACTGAAGGGGTGAAAAAGATGACAAAAATAGATTATTTTTCAATATATTTTTTAAATAAATAAATTACTCAAAAAGGTGGCTAGATAGAAAAATTTGCTGTTCAAAAACACATAAATTCCATTTTGAATTTTTCGCCTACACCTAATAGTTCCTGAGATATCTAAGAAAATATGTTTTGCAACCCCAACATTGAGGGCTATTTTCACCCCTTCAGCATGGACGATTGCCGATAAAAAGAAATACGTGTCAAATATTTTTTTGAGTTCTATATCATACTCAAAGGGCATCAAAATCGGCGTGTGTCAATTGGGTAATGTCCCTTGTTAGGTGATTAAGCGAACAGCTGATCAACACTCGAGCAGCGCACCCCGGAAGTCGCGACGTCTAATCTTCACTTCGATTGCAAAATGATACAAAACCTTTCGATCTCTATTACCCTCGGAATCGTTTTTAAGATACAAACGAACATTTTTCACGAAGATATTTAAAAGATTCTATTTTGAATGATAAACTCTGCAACCATATTGCTAATAGGATTTAATATTATAATAACGTTTCATCGAAATTATTACACGCTTCCGGAAGTGCATGGCCACCCACGCTATCACCTGCTATTCTGGCCGGTATTTGTGATCATCCTATAGTCGAACATTCGTTCGATGACGATGTCAAGAGTGGTAGTGGTCAGAAGCATTATAGTCGGATGGTTTAGTTGCGATCTGAACACGAACGACTGCGGTTCGTCGCTTCGCGTACTTTTTTTTTTCAGTTTCATGCAAATATTGCCTATCTCGTTTGCTTGAATAAGACCTCTGTTTTCCTTGAAAGAAGTTCTTTGTTTCCTCCAGTAAAGTTGCTTCTTTTGGAGAACCTCCAGGTGTTTGATATTGGTAAGGAAACTCTGTACCTATCTCTTTCTTCGTTTCTTTTTGTAGAATTTCTGTTTCTACAGAGATGGATTTCGTTTTTGCGGTTCACGCATTTAATGCCATGATAGTAATATACATAGCTCTAAGATAAATCACTACGCGTATTAAGGATTTGCAGTCGGTGGATGTTCCAATCTAACGATTCAATTTTCTCTTTCGAATTACTTTCGAATGTAACTTAATTATCAATAATTAAGTGTTACTAACGATAATCGGTTACTGACACCAATTATACGTTGTACATACACGCCGATTTTCAATGAAGAGATATCCAAACACTTTACGTATAGATAAACGGAAACTTATTATCTTTGATCTAATGATGAATGTATATACAAAGCGAGAAAATACTTGATTAAAAATTTCATTGCGTGCTTCAGTTAATCTTCGATAAGATCATCCTCTATGAAATTCATTCATATTTCATCTTCGCGTGCTTCATTTATGTAAGCACCGTTTTATAGAAAAATTCAAGATCATTAGCGTTTCGTATACTAAGAAGGCGATCTATAAATACTTGTAGTTATTCAAAGTGCTACCGAGCGAACGATAAGAAATTACAGAAGCGTGTGCTTGAAGATCACGAGAATAAAAATATTTACAATTTTTCATTTCCTGGTTTTTTTTTTCTTTTTTTTTTTCAAACACGTATCGTCGAGGTCGAAGGCATTCTGATAAAATTCTTCAGTATTTTAAATTGAACATATGCTCTTTGCTTCTTCTAACAGAATAAGTAAGCGGTAATTATGAAAAAAAATATTGCATTGAAATACATCAGTTTCAACTTTCAATTACATCAATTATAATCATAGATAGAGATAATTAACGCTTCAACGACTGCGATAAAAGTGAAATCTAATTGGCAAAGCTATAAACGTTCAATTTTCTCTACCGTCTATTTCACAATTTTTTCGTTTGTCCCCGATTAAACGTGCAAAATTTCGTAAACGGTGAAATTGAAAGGTCAAACGCTGGGCTTGGTGCAGATTTTATATAACCACTTTTTCTTGTGAGTCATCTCATCCAATTTTCAATGCAACGAACAAACAGTCGTTCGACAAGAAAGATTATAAACTGACCGGTTTTAAATCGTCGATATGCTATTACATTATGCAACAACGCATAATGTTGCTACTACAATGATCATTCTAAACATATCAATCGATTTTCATTATTTTACTGACACCGACAATTAAGATTTATCCACATTATGAAAAATCATGAAAAATGTTCATGAGTAACATTTCGCGTTACAGAGCAACGTTTCAGGAAATCATGGTAAAGGCGTACGGGGGTGTGTTGATCGTGGCGGATGTGTTGCTTCTTCTTCTAAAAATTCTTTGCTACATCGTTGAAGCAACGTACAGGTTGTTCGTGCCAGCCGAAGAAAAAAGTGTCCTTGGAGAAATTGTTCTGGTACGTTAAACAAATTTAAACTTATCTTCTGTTTTCCAATAGCCATTGGCTGAACACGAATCTGAAAACCGAATTGCTCTATCACCCTCAGTTTTCGAAAAACACGAGTTTTTGTAGAAACACGTGTTTTGGGGGGAAAATGAATTATTAGGCGGAAACTAAAAATGATAGAACATTAGGATTAGTCTTAAAAGATAGAGGAGAGTTTCCCGAATATATTGATATATATAGTTATTATATTACGTGATTCTGAATAGATGTAAATGTCGATGAAAGTTTAAAAAACAGCCGACGCACGCATTTCCTACGTATTACTTTTGTATTTTTAAGGAAAGGGTTTTATCTTGCCGTCACGAGAGTCCATAACTGCGAAAAGACGAGTTTTCGTCCTTTCCTGCGCATGTTCGGCCTGATTGGTCATACTCCCAAACGAAGTGGAAACCGATTAGCGGAGAGCTCGCTGAGTTCCCCCACCATCTTCCAACCTGCGCGGCTTAGTTATGGACTCTGGTGACGGCAAGTGTAGCGCAAATTCTCTATACAGTACCGAATTCTGTAGACATTTCCGAAGAAGAAACTATGCGGAGTAAGTGTTGGAACAGTATGCAATTCGAGTAAATCGAAAAAATATCTGCCAGTGACGCGCGCACGGCGTTTTGCCGCCAGACGGACATAACTCGCTTTCCTCGGTTAGTCAGTGCCGTAGTTACGCGTAATCAACACCAATAATGGGGTTCAATGTGTATCCAATTTTTGTACCTATAATATTTGATTTTTTCTTGCTAATATTATTTCTCTTTCATTGTAATTCATTATTATTTTTAGATACCAAATTTAAATATCGGTTGACTAGCATTACGACTTTATCAATCGACACTCGATTGAAGACAGTTTTGACATTTGTTTATGATATAGAAAAAATAAAATGTATAAGATAAAGAATTACCGGCAGCAAACGAATTTAGAAATATAGAAGTTTATTTATTATGGAAATATAATTTTCTACTCTATGATTTTCAAGAAAATTATAAGAAGGTTTCTTGTAAATTCAATACTATTGAAAGCCTGTTCGACATGAAAATGTAATACAATTCTCTCGGATCGCTTATCGTTAGCGCTCTTTCGAAATATAGGCACCACTTGACGTTACTTTCGAATCCTCGATACAATCGGAGAAACAATAAATATGTTTTTTATATCATAAACAAATGTCAAAACTGTCTTCAATCGAGTGTCGATTGATAAAGTCGTAATGCTAGTCAATCGATATTTAAATTAAAGTATTTTATCATTTTATCGTTGGTATCTAAAAATAATAATGAATAACAATGAAAGAGAAATAATAATAGCAAGAAAAAATCAAATATTATAGATATAAAAATTGGATACACATTGAACCCCACCCCATTGGTGTTGCTTACGCGTAGCTACGGCACTGACTAGCCAAGGAGAGCGAGCTATGAATGTCTGGCGCCAAAACGCCGTACGCGCGTCACCGGCAGATATATTTTTTCGATTTACTCGAATTGCATACTGCTCCAACACTTAGTGGAAAACAACGCTAATATTTATAAAAACCGCGACGCGATGACGAGAGAGCTACTCTTTCGCTCTTCACGACGAAAACAAATTATAACCAAGATTTTGATCACGCGACTAATTCGCACGGTACTTCGACTGAAAGTACCCAGTTCTACTCAGTTCGCCTTTACTAATTAAAGGCATCATAGTGTAAAGTGACTAAACACTCCTTTTTTGTTTATTAAATTGTATTACGTACATTAAAAGTGTTTTTATAAACGTTATTAAACTCCTTCCTTCCTTACTAAAATTATCGGTATTTTGCCCAGAGAAAAAATTTATTCTCTGCGCGCAACACTTACCCTACATAGTTTCTTCTTCGGAAATGTCTACAGAATTCGGTACTGTATAGAGAATTCGCGCTAGATAAACAACTTTTCTTAAAAATACAAAAGTAATACGTAGGAAATGCGTGCGTCGGCTGTTTTTTAAACTTTCATCAACATTTACATCTATTCAAAATCACGTAATATAATAACTATATACAATATCAATATATTCGGAAAACTCTCCTCCATCTTTTAAAACCAATCCGAATGTTCCAGCATTTTTAGTTTCCGCGTAATAGTTGATTTTCCCCCCAAAACACATGTTTTTACAAAAACTCGTGTTTTTCGAAAACTGAGGGTGATAGAGTAATTCGGTTTTCGGATTCGTGTTCAGGACGAGAAGCTCTACAACGATCATCCAATGGTTATTGAAAAACAATATTTGTGTTGGACAGATAATTGAATCAATCCAGATATAAGAAACACATTTTGCATATAAAACATAATACTTATACAACATTTTATACAATTAACCTCTACCTCTATCCTCATTAAAATATTGAATTACTTTGGACTAAGAACTTGGTCGTTTCAAGATTGACGAGATAAATCAATTATATCTGCTGTACTTGCATAGGTCACAGGTGCTGGTCATGGCATTGGCAGAGAATTAGCATTAAAATATGCGGCTTTGGGTGCTACTGTTGTCTGTTGGGACTTGAATCAGCAAGGAAACGAAGAAACTGTGAGCGAAATTAACAAATTGGGTGCAACTAAAGTTTACGCTTATAAGTATGCATAAGATTCAATGATTTACCTCATGATTATTCGACATTGTCATAACAGAATTAGTAATTTGAATAAATTAATAAATCTTGCAGATGCGATGTGTCGAATAGAGAAGAGGTGTTTAAGGTAGCTGAGAAAGTCAAGGAAGAAGTTGGAAATGTGACTATCCTAATCAACAATGCTGGCATAATGCCTTGTCGTGCTTTCCTGGATCATACACCTGAAGATATTAAACGAATATTTGATATCAATGTAATGGCACATTTCTGGGTGAGTTATTTGAAATAAAAGAAAAGATTGATCATTTATCATTTTCGAGCGATTAACGTTATCGATTGGTTTATTTACAGACCATGCAAGCTTTCTTGCCCAACATGATTAAAAAAAATTATGGTCACATTGTTGCCCTTTCATCTATGGCTGGAATTATTGGTCTGGCTAATATCGTTCCTTACTGTGCCTCAAAGTTTGCAGTCAGAGGTAAATATAATCACTCACGCGGAATCTCACTGCTCTTGCATCAACATTCTTTCTTTTCTTCATTATATTATCCAGGATTAATGGAAGCTTTAAACGAAGAGATCAGAGGAATGAGCAAGGATAAAACTTCAAATATCAATTTCACAACAATTTATCCGTATATGGTGAACACGGGTCTCTGTAAAAATCCAAGAATCAGGTGAATTAACTTAAAGAAAATAATTAATATCGCTTAAAAGAACAAATGTAACAAACATAATTAATATACACGCACATTTATAATATACTGTTTGCATGCAGACTTGATTACTGGCTCAAAGGTAGAAACATATTGTACAGAGAAGAGATAATAATTTAATGACTAATGAAATGTAATTAATAAAACGATATATTTCTTTTATTAGATTTCCAAGCATCATGTCGCTCGTTTCGCCGGAACAAGCAGCTGCTGAAATAGTTAAAGCACAGAGGCGAAATTACACAGAATTATCTATCCCCTCCTGTTGGCTATACGTTAACGCCTTTCTCAGGTAAACAATCTTTATCAAAACAATCTAAAACATTCTTTATCGTTCGTTAACACTTTTCCTTTATATTACAGATGTACTCCCGACGGGAGTTTACGCTCTACGTTAGACTTCTTTGACGCCGGCCTCGAAGCAGAAAGTTAGCGAATATTTAATATTCCTACATACCGTATAAAGAAGTGTATTGTGTAATTATATAAGCACTGTGTAAGGACACGTTTAACAAAAAATACATTTGCTTCACAACGATATCAACAAGATCAAATACCATTCACAACGATATTTATAAACTATCAAAAAAAAATAATCTCTTATTTACCACGTGTCGCTTACTTATGGTATCTGTTTTCTAGTACCCTTGTATAATTATTATAAGTAATTATTTTTTTATAAACTTGTAGATAATTTTACAGTATGTGAAAAAAAAAAGATGTTTAACACAATTACATAGTTTCTACCATTGTTATCACATGTAATCTATCTCTTTTTGTTCACGTTGATACTTTGTAAGGAAGACGGTTGTATAATGATTAAAGTATAATTTAGGATATATCTTGATGTATATGTAACGATTCGTATTGTTTATACATCTTTTAATATGATAATAAATGAATATACAAATGAGTTTATGTTATCTTTATGCATTCTGTTCCTTGTTAAAGTTGAATTTTATTCCAATCAATAAGCATACAAACAACATTGATGCAAAAATAAAATTAATTACTGTAATTCAGTTTACACTGTAAACATGTGTAAAGTCATTGTGGATATAATTTTCTAAAAAATCTCGGAAAATTCCTGTCAACATCCCCTTCCTCCAATCACAATCTGATGTTATGAAATATTTATATATAGCCTAATTTAATGTTACATTTTAACTACTTTCTTAATGTATCCTTGAAAATTTCATCTAACTTATCGTAACCTCTTATACCAACTTTGGCTCCAGCTACTTGGCAGGCAAATGTTATAGCTGACTGCAACACGTTTGGGGTGATAAATTCTGCATGGCTATATTCTAAACTTTCAATGTTATAATTCTTTGTAACATTTTTTTGGAAGGTACTATTCGCTTCGTCTACTTCTAATGTCTTTGTCTTAAAGAACTCTAATTTTGCATTATTTAGAAAATGCAGCACCGCTGCATTGAAAGTGTCACCGGCACCCAAAGTATCCACAACCTTTTGTGGTGGAAATGCAGGAGATTGTACTATAATATTATCCGGAGTTCTTGCCATAGCACCCCGATCACCCCAAGCACAAATGAGGGTTGCTCTAGAAGAGAATTAATTTATTAGTAGAGCCACTGTATATGTACAATGTAAAAGTTAGTTATTGACATTAATTCATACCCAGACTTGGCATCCTCGCTTATGTTTTTCAATGTTTCACTCATATTATCGTATCCTCTACTTCGAGCAAAATCCTTTGATATAAATGCTACGTCAACATAAGGTAATAAATCTAAAAGTTCTTGTTTCGGACATTCTAATTCTACGCTAATTGTAATTGGTATCTGACTTATGCCTGCTTCCTTATTATTAGAGTCTTGACTATAATTTAACATGTTATTATAGTTCTCGACGCATTGCATCATAGATAAAACCTCGTTCAAATTTCTGCCTTCAAAATGAATCCAGTTATAATCTTCTAAATGCAACTGCTCAAAATTTTTTAATGTTAATTCTGGTAGATTTTGATTATGATGTAGAATTGTACGAGAACCAGAACTTAAACTCAAAATGACAATAGATGTTGGACATCCATTATTTTCTACTATAGGACAATGAGAAAAGTCAATGTTATGTTTTCTCATATCATTTTGCAAGAAACTTAAATGTTCTTCTGCGCTTAGGTTACCAAAAAATTCACATACACTTCCTAACTGAGAAAGTACCGTGCAACTATTTGACGTGTTGCCTCCTCTTTGCCATCTATAGTCTAGAGATCTGTAAATCACATAATGAAACCAGGTCAAATTAAGATCAAATAAAACTGTAACTTTCCATGATATTTATATATTTTTTTAATACAGGCATCCTATAAAATAAAAAAATAAAATATATACATTTTTTTGTAGTCAAGGTTAGAGAGCAGTGTATCGAAAATTATCGATCAAAGAATATATGTATAACAACTTAATTACATTGCTTAATTACTGATTAATCAATATTCAACAGATATCGTTGATATCAGCTGATAGATGTAAACAGTAAAATGCGAATCAAGCATAACATTGCGCAATCGCGCGTAGAAATATAAACACCTATCTCACCCTTGTTCAGAATCTTCCGCGGGATATTGCCAGCAGGTTTGTATCATATCTATACAGGTTAACCCGACGCAAAGTATTTTTGGCTGGATCGGTTCTGTTGTAGAACACGTACCCACAATTCTTTCATAAAAACTTGAAATCATATCACTTACTGATTGGAAAACACAAGTCACATTAAGTTTCTCTTCGACAGACGACAGAAGTTTAATCGAATAATATATGCGCAAAGAAATTTTATACTTCGAGAATCAATTTTGTGTTGTCGTTTTGTTTATATACACTTCCTTTTAATATCTATTAGATTAGATTATGCGGCTTACACGTGTATCAATTCAATCTACTTGACCTTTGATCTAGCCATATTTATCGATAACTTTTAAACCCCTGGATTAACTATTGCGCACTATTGCGCCAAAAATAGTGATAAAATTTGTTTATCATAGAATAGTTTTAATCTGAGGTGTATTATTTCATTTACAATTTCAATTTGCCTAAAATTTGAGTCCTTTTCTATATCAAATGTAAATTTATAAAAAAATTAAATACGTACGTTTAATAATTTTCCTTTCGATTGATCTTTTATAGACGGTTTTATAAATTACTTTGACACATTTTCTTAAGAGCTAATTGTAAAGTAAAAATATTTTCAACAGGTAGGGAAAAATTCATGAAAATTTAAAAATTCCCGCTTTTCATACATCAAACGAATGTAGCGCTTAGCGCGTAACGAAAAATGTGCAAAAATGCCAAGATGGCAGCGCAAGAGATTGTTGAATGTTGAGGCTACTTTAACGTTTATTGATTAATAATTTTAAAGACGATATTGAGAAAATTTATCGTATGGAACAATATAGATCATTTTTAGCTGGATCATTTGATAAATTATTTGGTTTCTTAAGTAGGCTAAATCTATGAGCAATAGAAGAGTGTGCTAATTATATATAACATATTATATATAGCATATCGAATCCTGGACATATAATTATCCGATAATTTCCTTTTCAGTAATCATTATTCACATTTACTTTTATACAATTTAATATTAAATACAATGGATCCTCGAATACACAGAAGGACAGAGCCGGAAAAGGGACCGGGTGATCTGGTCAGTGTCATAACCTTAAAATTTGTTTCCCAGACATTTTATCATTACAATAGAACCTATAAATGATTTTGCTTTGCATTATCATTTCACAGGTAGTTGAATGGCTAAATGAAGCTTCTTTAAGTCCAGGGGAAGAAATGAAAATTACCAATTTATGCAAAGTCCAAGAAATATTAGTAAATAAAGAACCACAGTTGCTTCCATTATACTTAGATGAAGCGTTACAGTTTTCTTTAGATAGAAATGCAGAAGTTAGGAAAACAGTTACAGGTTTTATAGAAGAAGCTGGGTAATGATCATAATTCAAATGTATTATATGGTAATTCATAATAATTCTTTGGTTACCTGTATATAAATTTTATATATTTATTTACAGAGTGAAACAACCAGAAGTAATTCCACGTGTAGTTCAGATACTTCTGAGATTAGTTTCCGATGAATCGTCAGCCGTTGCTAAAAGAGCCCTCAGAGCTAGTGGTAGAATATTGAGGGCTGCATTAAAATGGATAGCTAGTGCTACTACTGTTACACCAGAAATGGAAGTAGCATGGAGTCAACTTAGTACTCTTAAAATTCAAATTATTAACATGATCGATAGCGATAATGATGGGTAAGAAAATTATTTTGCTTGTTTTATTTGCATACATTATGTACAAGTAACAATATTCTTTTGTATTTCAGTATTAGAACACAAGCTGTAAAATTTCTTGAGGGTGTTGTTTTGATTCAAACATACCCCGACCCAGATTCTCCTAAAAAACCAGATGATTTCTCCTTAGAGGATATTCCATTAACATTAAAAATAGCTAGAAGAAGAAAATTGGAGGAAGAAGCCAATGATGTAATGGATTTATTAATTAAATTTCATGGATCTCCACATGTTAGTAGTGTCAATTTAATGACATGCATGGGATCTCTGGCATTAATTGCTAAAACGAGACCTCAGTTTATGCCAGGTGTAATACAAGGTGCGTAAAACGGTTAGAAATATGATTTATTTATCTCAAGTTCATAACTACAAGATTTTGATTTGCAGCTATACAAAGGTTACAGCATGATTTACCGCCAACGCTATCCGATTCTCAAGTAACTAGTGTACAGAAACAACTGAAATTAACTCTGTTAGGACTAATGAAACATCCTGCTAGCATAGAATTTGCCTCTACAATAGCTAAACAGTTGACACAGTTAGGTGCAAAAGAACAGGAAATAATTAAGGCTTATCCGAAACCGGAAGATATTCGACGTATAAAAAAGCGTCAGCAAGTAAATATTTAATTGATTTTTGTTAGCGATATAATTACATATTCTATTATTAATAATTTGTATAATTTTTAAGGAAGCTGCGGCTGCTTCTGCTGCGAAACGCGTTAAAATTGAAGCACCTTTGATACCAGATGAACCAGAAGTTGTACCCAGTATAGTATCCACCCCGAAATTACCGGAATTAATCGAACTTTCTGAAAGTTTTATTGCCGAAAGATTAAGCGTGGAAATTGCTACAGATTTAGTAATGGATAGCATGGTACATAATTTTGTATACAGAAACCATAAACGTCGCTATCGCTGGCGGTTCTCTTTTACAAAGTGCATTTCATTGATAGGCTTGGGTACCAGATACGATGACGACAATTTTCCAAAGAGAATACCAACCTACTTCCACGACCGACATAAATGTTCAACGGCAGACTATCGCTAAATTACTAGCAATTCAAATAAAACAAGCTAAAACGAAGAAGAAAAAAGAAGCTAAAGATGAAGATGCCGTGATGGAAGATTTAGTGAAAAATCCAACTATTAGTGTAGCCGAAGCAAAGCGAGAACGGAAGCGTGAAAAAGATAGGGAAAAAGAAAAGGAAGCAAAGGCATCTTTGGAAGCTCATGAAAAATCTCTTGCAAAAGCAAGAACACGCTTGAAAGCTTTAAAATTGTCTGAAGTGACGAAACCATTGTCAAAAGAAGTAAAAGAAAAAATGTTATTAATGGCAGTTAATAGGATTCTACTTTCTGAAAAAACGGCTGTATTTGGTGGCGTAGCAGCTGTAAGGTAAAGAGTTGTTGTACCTCTTGAAAAATATAATTCATTAATTATATTTCATTTTAGATCAAAGATTTTAACCACTTTAGCTGCAACGTTTAATCCATACATTAAAGAAGCAGTATTACATTACATTACTGACGATATGAGAAATCGTTTGGATTTAGCCTTAGGTTGGTTATACGAAGAATATGCGTTACTTCAGGGTTTCCAAAGACGGACTACATTATGTACAAAGCCCCAAGAAGCACCACACCAAGCCTACAATTTTCTATTGTGCACTTTAGTATCCGCGATAGACTTAGTCCAAGGAAAAGATCGCGACACATTACTATGCAGGTAATAAATAATTTCACATAAGTTTTTGATAATTAAATAAATAGTACTAACTGTTATACGTATTTCGAAAAAGATTGTACTTGGAAGCTCCTTTAATCACCGAGGATGCCGTGGAGGCATTGAAAATGGTATCTTCCGATGAAACAAGAGGGTTAGCACCTCTACAGTTATTAAAAGAGATGGTTGTTCGTAGACCGACGAAACAATTAGTTTTTCTAAATGTATTACTATGTCATACCGGTCACGAGAACAATACGGTAAATTAAAACGTTATGCTGTTCTTTTTGAAACACTACAAACTTGTTTTATTTAGATATTTAAAATGTTCTAACTTCGGTTTTTGATTAGATAAGGGAAGCTGCAATAGAATTAGTTTGCCAACTGTATAGTCGCCCTGAACTGAGTAAACTCATAGAAGAGTATGCAGTTCTTTATTTAGGTTTCTTACGACTTCATACTCCACCGGAAATAGTGTTTGGGCAAGATAGGGGTAGACCGCAGGTGGAAACCCAATGGACTGAGTCTACTACGAGAGCTTGTCTTGGATTGTATCTTGCTTTATTGAGCGAACATCAAGATTTAATTCATGAGTAGGTTCACATCCCAATAAGCATATTAAATATTAAATTTAAATTATTATTAACAGTGTCTTTCAGATTAGCGAGAGTTTACACGTCGATGAGCGCAGACGTAAAACGTATGGTTCTTCGCTTAGTAGAAGGACCTGTAAGATCTCTAGGAATGGGCAGCCCACAGTTATTAGCGTTAGTTGAAAATTGTCCTAAAGGAGCCGAAACATTAGTTACGAGAATCATTCATATTCTTACAGAAAAATGTATGGAAACTTACAATTGTACATTCTATATTCGTGTTGTTTTGTGTACCTAATAAATATATCTTTTTATAATTTAGCTGCGCCAAGCGCGGAATTAGTAGCAAGGGTACGAGAACTTTATCAGACCAGAGTTTCGGATGTTCGATTTTTAATACCCGTTCTGAACGGTTTAACGAAAAAAGAAGTCATAGCTGCCCTCCCAAAACTTATAAAACTAAATCCTATTGTTGTTAAGGAGGTAAATGCGTTTTTGACAATGATGTTTCAAATCTAAAACAGAGATTGTACAATATATTTCAATGACTCTTTTGCAGGTATTCAACAGGCTGTTAGGCACTCATAATAATGAAAGTGGTGTACCTCATACATCACCCATTACACCTGCTGAATTATTAATTGCTTTACATAATATAGATCCTAGTAAAGCAGAATTAAAAACAGTCATAAAAGGTATGATATATTAGTTCCTTTTTAAGTGATAATACCACATCTTGGCGTTTATGATAATGTTTTTTTAATAATATCAATTTACAGCTACATCTCTGTGCTTCGCGGAGAAACAAGTATATACGCAAGAAACAGTAGCTGTGGTAATGCAACATCTTATGGAAATGACTCCGTTACCTACCTTGTTAATGCGAACAGTGATACAAAGTTTAGCACTGTATCCAAGGTTAAGCGGATTCGTTATGAATATACTGCAACGGTTAATTCTTAAGCAAGTTTGGAAACAGCCGAAAGTTTGGGAGGGTTTCGTGAAGTGCTGTGAACGTACGCAACCACAGAGTTTTGCTGTTATTTTACAGCTTCCTCCCGCACAATTATCAGAAGCATTAAAAATGGCTAGCAATTTACGAGCACCTTTATTAGCGCACGTCGAAGCTTTTGCTGAAAACCAGGTAATTGCACATATGTATGCTGTATTGAGAAATTGTATTTCGTCGGTGTTTGGAATAAAAGTGACATCGATGTTTCAGAAAGCACACATTCCGCAGTCCATAATGGATGTTATTCAGGGTAAATCACCTTGTGACATGCATGATGAATTTGATATTGTGAGTAAAAGTAGTTGTATATAAAAAAATTAATTTTTATACTATCATAAAAACAAAATAAATATGTGAACTGATCCAAATAGTTTCCCCCTAAATTTCTTTCAGGCACCACCCGGTGATTATCCGATCGAACAAAAACCAGATACAATGGAAACTGATGTTTCAGAACCAGCTCCCCCTGGTTTAGATTAGCATAAACTCATTCCAGTGTTGGGATCTGAATCATCATCTACCGATTGTCCCAACTTTAACGAATTCACATTGTAAATCATAAATTGTTTTCAACATTCATTGATGATCTGAAACGTTAGATCCACGTATTTTTTAAAGGACACAGAATATGTACATATTTTTATTTTTTATTTTTTTTAGAATTTGCTGAAAGTTTAGCTTATATTATGGATATGACAAATTACTCCCTGATTTAGGTCTTGTAAATAGTTTTTTCATACTTGTAAACACACATACACGTGTTATTATCACAGTAATGTATATTTCTAATCACGTTGTAGTAATTCTTAATGTCGACACATTTGCGTGTCTATAAAATACACAATTATCTTTTCTACTTTTCAAACAATTCAATACGATTAGTAATCAGTAACATTTATTTATTAATATTTGGCAGCCTTCGTAAAAAAAAAAAATATATATATATATACCGTTTTCGATAAAACATCAAGGTTCGTTGTAAATGTACAGTATCGAGCGAATTAGACTTTCTTGGAAAAACTACGAAAATTGATCCCAAAGTATAGTTTACTGTATATGAAAAAATATATTTAGCCAAATTAAATCACCATAAAATGTATAAGATCCATATTGCATTCACACCATTTAACAAATATGAAATTTCAGTCTTTGTACATGAACATGTAGATAACATAAGCTTAACAGTAAGTATAAAAATCCTAGTTATTATTTTATATCTAAGTGTTAATTATATGATATATTTTTTTATATTAAGTAGTAAATCATTTATGGATTATTCGCGATTAATTGATTGTTTGTAACTACTAGACATGTAAAGAAACTAAATACATACGCATATATCAGGTTTCATATCAAAAACATGAAACAAACGAGTATAAATAACATCTTTATTACAAAATGCCTCAAAGATTAAACCATATATATATATATATATATATATATATATATATAAAAAAAAAAAATAAAATGTTAATTTTTATATATCTCGAAGTTTTTCTTAGTGCCAAAACTACAAACTCTCTTCTCACAATACATATTTAAATTATATAATCAAGATTGATTTCTGTTTCAGTAAAAATAATGTTAAATACCTATCATCCAAAATCAACGCCCGTATCTAGCAAATCGCGTAACATAAATGATGCTTTTTTTGGTAGTATCCTAAAAATATAAAATATTGATTACATATAAGCTAATTCTGAATTCCCGATACGTTTATTACCAACATTAGTATAAAATTACCTAAGAATGTGTCCCAAATAAAGTAAATAACCAGGTACACTGAATTCCGCATAATTCCGACGAACACCGTCCAAAATTTGTTTAGCAGCTTCTGCAGCTGGCATCGTGCCAAAGTAACTCGGTATTCTGCATGAATTATGAAAAATCAAGTTTTACTTTAATGAGACATAGTTTATTTTATTCCTCACCTGAAGCGAATATCTTTTGCCACTTCAGCGCCTACAATAAACGGATAAACGTGAACTAAAGTGATTATGATGTTGCTATTAGAATGTCTTAATTCTGTATGCAATGATTCAGCCAATCCTTGAACTGCAAACTGTGCAGTGGATAAAGGGACTCTACTTCTTCCTGTGGCACCACCTGAAAGCCCTGCCACAGATGATAGAACTACTATATGCCCTCTGCCAACACGCTCCATGCATGGTAAAACTGCATCCAATAACTAAAAAAGTTAAAGAGGCACTTAAATTTACAAGTGTCGCCGATGAAATACATACCACCCAAAGAATATTTACCCAGAAATGACTAATAACTGTCAAATCAATTGTATGCCTTATTTCTGGTGGATCCTGAAGTAATGCTCTAGGGCTAGGTATACTGCAGCAATGGAAAAGCATTGTAACTTCACCTAATTCTGATTGAATATTATTCACTGTATGAGCTACCTATTATATTTCATTTGCAATCAAATCAATGTGACATCTATTAAGCTTTGTAAACATCATTTTTCCAAATATTATACTTACTTCATTTTTATCTGTTATATCACAAATATATGCTTTAGTTACTCCAAAACCTCTAGATGTTTGTAGTATGGTACCATAACAGTTTTCAACATTGATATCTACACAAGCAACATTAACTCCTAACTGACATAAATGAATTGCTAATTCTCTTCCCACTCCACGTCCTGCGCCAACAACCTACAGCAAAATGAAAATACATTGTAGTTCTAACAGATTATTACAACAAATAAAGTTTCATATCTCATTACCATTGCTATTTCTCCACGAAGACTTTTCAAAGGCGGAGGTCTAAACATTCTATAAAATGTAACTAAGATAGCAAAAACTATTCCGAATAATAGTGTCACAAGATCCAATGTTAAGATAAACAGAGAATACAGTTTCAGTAGCATTTTTGGTGGCCTGAAGTTTCTTCTTAAACTTTCCTGCAATAAAAATCTTATGTTTATTTTTAATTCATTAAGCTAGATTACAACATTAAAAGAAACGCATATCTTATCAATTTAAAGGTAGTTTAAGGTCTTTAACATATTGAAATTACAAAATATCTTTTCCATGTTAGGCATAAATGTTTATTAACACTTACCATTATTTTCAATAAAATATTTAATCAGATACAAATATAAGCGCGATCGTGTCACAGACCAATTTGAATTAATTACGAGAAGAAAATTTATTCAATTGAGAGATATGTACCTTGTATCAAGTTACGTCGTGAACTTTTATGATAACATATCCGACGTCATTAATAGGGGGAAGGTAAGTACCTATCCGAAATTTATACCCAATCAGTACTTTATGAAGACACCAAAGCATACAAATATAAGTTTTATAAAAAAATTAAAAAGAAACGGCAGATTATTGAACTTTATTGTACGTACCACGTGTTTGAACTGGTTTGAACACACGTTTTCAAAACATTCAACCGCCGCTAATATCTATAGTATTTTTCACGAGAGAGTAGTACTATCGGATGAACGAATTTTGGTTTTGTTTGCGCATGTTGGCTCTGATTGGTTCTGCCACGCTCCGTTACCAAGGTAACACGCAAGCGCTGTACGGCTATATATCGTAAGCCATGCTGGGCAAAAACACTAGCCGTGCTGAAATAAAAATGACAACACCGCGGGAGTCCGGTCTGAATATATCAACATCTACCCTACTCTATCTGCCTCCCGGACTCCCAGACTCTCAGCCAATCAACGTCGTCAGACTCTCGGCTACTCTCTGGATTTCACATAACCTCTTTAGTTTTGTTCCAATAATTTCGCTTGTTTCAAGGTTTTTATTAACTTATATACATGTTTATCAATTCCTAAATGTTTCAATTTGATCCAAAGATGGTTTCATTTTGCTTCATACCTAAATTTTCTTGAAACCACTGTAAATATTTCAAATATCATGCTTCACAACACCAAACTACTTCGAGAGTACACAAAATTTATATCACATTTATAACAATTTTATACTACCACATCACTTCTATTTACCATAGTTGCAACGTTTATATATTGTTTATACATAATTAACACAAAATAGTGTATATTACTACAGCTTTTAATTAAAAAAGACGTTAATTACAATTCCGAGCACAGGACTCTGTTTTTGAAAATAGGACTCCCGATTGTCACGTGAGCGGTGTTGCCACGTTGTTCAGCATGATTAGTGGCAGAAAGTATATCTGGTGATCATAACTTGTGAATTATGATTCACTTATTTACTACCTCTATCCTATAATAAGCCGTTCCTATATTAGTATATTTTGTCCACCATGTATATGGCGGATGCAATGGGAAGTAAATTATGGTGGGGTAGCGCTACTGGTGAGGGAATTTTCTGAGCTCAGTCGAGCTGCGCGAAATGGTACTATTCTCTCGTGAAAAATGCTATATGTATATGTATGTATACCACAGTTCACCAGAGTCCATAACTGCAAAAAGACCAGTTTTCGTTCTTTGCGCTTCTCCAGTGCGCATCTTCGCCCTGATTGGCGATACTCCCAAACGAAGTGGAAAGCGATTAGCAGAGAGCTCGCTGCGTTCCCCCACCATCTTCCAACCTGCGCGTCGCAGTTATGAACTCTGGTGAACTGCGGTATACATACATACTCAATGCTGTACAATGTACGTAAATAAATATATTCTATTTTCGCGCGAAAAGTTGTTATGTGCGATTCCGTATAAAACAGTCAGTTAATAATTATACATATCAATTATGGATAGAAGAAAGATAAAATTGAAAGGTAGTTTGCACAAAAACTTGATAGGTAGCCAAACATCGTCACAAAGTAACCTTGATGATATATCATTAACCGCAAAGCCGGCAAGAAGTAAAAGTTTATTATTAGCTGAAAAGACGTTGTCAACAGAAAGTAAGTTAACAGCAAACAAACATTCTAAAATCAAAATAAATTACTAAATAAAAGGTATATTTATAGGTGAAAACAAATCATCAGATGAAGATATATTTTTAAATAAGGATAAAGCATTTACACAAGCAGAAAAAAATAAAACACTTAAAGATAGTATACTATCTCGTAAACGCAAATCTTTAAGTTTTAATATACCAAATAGCGAAAGTGATGAAGACCTGGGTCTTCCTTTGGCAGAATCTACTGTTTTAAAAAAAAGACGAAATGATACTGATATTATACAGGAAAAATCTGTATATAATAACTGTAAAAATGGTTCAACAAATTTATTAGTTACAGCGGAGAGTCATACAAATGTAGTTCCTGCTATAAAATCTGAATTTGTTGAATTTTTATCTGAATCAGGTATTAAATTAAATCCAGTTGCTCCACATTTGCTTTGTAAGTATTTGTTAATTCTTATCATTTAAATTTTATATTTATAAGTTATATTAATGTTATTAAAATATAAATTTGAATATATATATATATTATATTAATAATAAACCTCGTCAAATTTTAGGTACAGATATTATAAAGGTTCAGAAGAAAATGAAGGAATTATTAAACTCAAGAAAGTATGAAAAACAAAAGATAATTTCCTTAATGGAAAAATATTTTGAGAATGAACAAAATCTTGAAAATGCACTAACTGATATGGAACTGTTTGTTAATGATCAAGTATCAAAAGTTTTACACAGTTCGTCTCTTATAAAAATCTTATTACAAGTTTCAGAGCTGCATCCAGAAATATACAGTAGTCTTCTGTCTAAACTTAATGAAGCTGTGCTGATAGCGTATGGTTTACAATTATATCACTTTATGAATACAATAATTCTTATAATTTTTAAAAAACCTTTTATACATTTTTAGTGATTCCATTGAATCTGTACCTTGGGCACTTTCACTGTTGCAACAATTTCGGTTTTTGGATGTTGTAACTAATTCTGATGCCTTAACTAGTAGCTTAGAACAACTTTTAGAATCATGCCCCATATGGTTTCAAAGTGAATTACTTTTGTTCTTGCCTGATATTGTAACTGATAAACAACATCAAACTATTGCTGACATTTTAAATAAAGTTTTGGAAGAAAATTCTGAACTAATAAATTTAATATTAAATTGTATGAGTAATTTAAATCTTGGAAAGGAATATTTAAACGAATACAAGGAAAAGACATTAAACTTATTAAAAACGAATGTAAACTTAAATGCGGTACCTGCTATTATAAGGTACGTTTAGTTGTTTAAAGCACAGTATAAAGGTATATTTTACTGATTTACATTATTAATATTTTTGCAGCTTTGTGTTAGAGGATTGTACTGATACAGAAGTTTTTGAAAAAACATTACTAATATTACGCAATATTGACATGCAACCACTTGTTGGAGAAGAAGTTGAAAAATGTTATCAAAATCAATTGAATATAATCAACACTCTAAAAATGAATATGTTTACATCAAAAAGTATAGTAAATACTGCTATTACAGTTATAAAAGATATTACCAATGATCCAAAACCATTTGATATCATTCTTTTACTACTTATATTTTCAACAACAGAGCTAAAGAAAAAAAATATTGAAACTATGTTTAAACAAAATATACGGTCTGGATTTTATAGAATAAGTTTATTAAACTTATTATATAATAATTATAAACAGGTATAATATAAACGTAAAAGATACTGTAAAACGTTAAAACATAACAAAGTATTTTGTTTCAGGTTGTGCAAGAGTTACAATCCGCTGCATTGCAAATATCAAGTAATTTATTAAAAACAGATCAACGTGTATTTATTGATTTTGCTATTCATTGGTTGCGCTTACAGTTTATGTGTCATAAAGGAAATATATTTAAACAACGTGAGATTCTAGAAAAGATTATATTTCTCATGGGTGATAATGATCAAACAGTTAAAAATGCTCTTGCATTTCTTTGTAAAATGGCAATGACAGAAGAAGAAAAACCATATTTAGCACAGCATTGTAATCATCTTCGTATTTTACTTGAAAAAATGGATAATTTAGGCTTAGAAGAAGTTGGCACATTAAATGATTTATTGCAGCATTTATGTTCAAACTCCAGTTCTATAACTGACTCTTTACGAGATGATTTATTCATATTACTTCAAAAGCAATTGTCTAATTTTAAACCATTGTACGTATTAATTAAATATAAGCATTTTCTTTTAAAGTAATTATGAATATTATATGGAGTTCTTTAAGCTAAACAATTCTTTTTTTTCAGAATAAAATGTAAAGGTGTTTTAGCAGCAGTTATGGCAATAAAACACTTGATGTTAAAAGCAGAAACATCTGATGCAGCTTATAATTTATTTAGTACGCATCATGAAGTATTTATGAAATATGTATTAAAATTTAGTTCATTTAGATACATTACAAAAGCAAAATTTGGTTTGTTTTATAGAAACGGTATTAAATAATGTGAAGACTTGTTCAAGGTCGAAAGCTTTATTTTATGATCAGTTAACATGTATTATTTCTCAAACTCAAAATATTAATGAACAGTTTCTGGAAAACCTTAAAGATTATATCGAAGAAGAATTTATTAACGAAAATATGATCGATAAAACAACCTACAGGTATGGAATTTATAGTTTTAAATTTAATGTTTATAATAACATTTTAATTTAATTTTTTTGTATATTATTTCTAGAGGAGAATTGGTACCTAAATTTGGGTTGAACAATACAAAACATGAACCAGGAAATGATGTTTTAACTTTTGAAAACAAAAAGCATGGCGCAATTGTCCCAATTTCGTTTAAACTTCTGAGGACTTGCTGTACAAGACTAAGTGAAACAGGAGATTTGGATGCTATAAATTCTCTTTTAGGATGTGCAATATTAATGCCAGAGCATTTTGATATTACAGAAAATTATATAATGGATTTAACAATATGCTGTATTAACTGGTAAGTTAAAGTTCAAATAAGTAAACTGAAATTCAATAATAATTCAAAAAAAAAAATTATAAGAACAAATTTAAGGTTTCGAGAAGTAATCAGTGGTTTTGTTACACAAAAAGATCCTTTATTACAAAAGAAAGTATTACAAAGATTAGATAATCTTATATATTTACAAAGTAAATTAAGCATGATGCTTTCATTGTGTGATACAAAGTACCAGCCACCTCCAAGTTATTTTCATTATTTTCCGATACCACCGTTTATGAAAAATGAGAAAAAAGTAGGTAAAACAAGTAAAAAAGAAAAAAAGGAACCTAAGAAGAAATCTGTCAGTTTTAATGAAGATGAAAACTGGGAATTAGGGTCTAAAATATGTTCTAAAAACCCAGTCTATTTTAGAAGATTAGATGCAACGGTATGCACGTGTATTCATCTTATTATTTTATTTTGTATTTAATTTGATTTAAATTTATAATAATGTTTATGTAAATGAAACGATTTTTCATAGATAGTACATTTGTTAGATGTAAAAGTAGAAATGCATAAATCACAATCTACAAGTTACATTATATCTGTGAAGCAAATATGTTTCATTGTCAAAGAATTGCTAGGAATTTTTGAATATGATGCTAATGAAAAGTTCATAACAGAGTTAATTGAATTATTACCCAAAGTTTGTTCAAAATTGCAAGACATTGTGGATAGTTTAAGAACGGACAGTAATAGACAAAATAGAGACGCTACTAGATTACTGTTATGTTTGTTAACAAAAATTTTTTATTGGAAAGGATTTGAAAGTGTCACTTATAACGTGTTGTTAAGAGGTATATTTATAATAATTTTATAATGATTGCATAAAATTGTACACATTAATAATTTCTTTGTTTTCTGTTTAGAGGGCTTACGAATTTTAGCAAGTCAAGTGAATGAAAGTAATGCTATGTTAAGATCCTGCAAAGAACTTGTTGCAGAAGGCTGCAAATATTTCGAATCTTTATTTGATATTGTTACACAAATATCATTAGCTACTGCATTAATTAATGTGTCCAAATCTTTAATGAAACATTCTGAATCTTATACTAAACAAAGTAAGGAAAAATATGGTAAGTAACATTATACATTATTTATAATTTATACATCAACATGGATTTTGAACAAATCATGATTATGTATTTCTAAAATATCTTTAGCAAAAATAGCATTTGGATTCTTATCTCTTGAATGGCCAGAGGAGAAGTATTCTAGCCCTCAGTATAAAACAGCAGTAATTGAATTGTTAAATAATTGGATTGATAATGAGCCATTACCGCTAAAAACAATTACATTAATGTTAGAATGGTTACCAGATGAAACTGCAAAATTGGAAAAGCCTCAAAATTCTTTAAGTAGATTACCTTCAATAACAAGAAGTAACTTCCATTGTTTACTTAAAAAAATATTTGATGGTCTGATTACTGGTATAAAAATAGAACTTCCATTAACCAATAAGTACATACATTCTACGTTATTTAAACTATTTCATATTGAATAAATATTTTAAATTATTAATTTTTTATTAGTGATCCCAAAAGGATAAAATTATGGTACGAAGTTGCGGCAAATGTTCAGAAGTTAGTTCAAATATGTAAAACTTTAACTACAAAAATTAACATATTAATTTTTTTAAAGCATATGCCCATCTTATTGAAATCATTTTTAAGTCTTGGTATGCCAGTTCTTGAATATAATTTAAAATATCAAACGGAAGATGTTACTAAAATATTAAAAATGATGCAAGGTATAAATTTTAATTCACATAATATAATTAATATGCGAAATGCGATAACAGCACTAATATAATATAAATAATATGTATTAAATATAAAATTATTTATGTTTTAGGGGGTACGCGATATTTGCATACAATATGTTGTGATAGTGCAGAAAAGAAAGACCTTACATTAACAAAATATGTCCCTGCAGCTAAATCTATATTAGAGAAGTTAATTTATAGTGTGAAAGGAATGTTAGTTCTTAATAACAGTCCTGCTGCTTTTTGGATGGGAAATCTTGTTAACAAAAATTTAGAAGGTCATGAAATTCTCTCACAGGTTTGTTAGTTAATCTTTTAAAAATCAATCTAAGATGCTTTTTACAAATGTTATATTTCATATCGTTACTGATACTTTTAGAATTTATCATCAGAAGCAAGTACTACTTTATCAAGTTTTGATGCTATTGATGATGTAGCTCATGTATCACCAGACATATTAGAGAGTGATAATTCAAGTGATGATCTTGATGAAGATTAAATATAGACTGTGATAGAAAACTTGCATTTTATAATAATAATGCATCTTTATTATTTTTGTACATAATCTACAAAATATCGTACACTACAATACTTTTTCGCGTTTTATACTATTTATATAATTAATATTAAGTTAAGTACATAAATATTGTTCCTTACTTCAACAGTTACACATTAAGTTGTTAAATATTTGACGCTTCCATGTTAAGTCTGGCATAAGCGTTTCTTCAACAAATGTTATTTCATTATTTCCATTAACTAATATTATAGAATGAGTACGTGTCGAATATTCCCCAGCAGATACAAAAATTGAGCTGAGTTCTTCATAATGTGATCGATTTCGCTTTTGCAACTCTGGATCTGGTAAATGCCTGTAAATATTCAAGATATTATATTTTGTGCCTTAATAGTAAGTACATAACTCATAATTGTTTAAATGATGTATACTTTTCTTCTGATTTCAAAAATGTTAAAAGATCTTCAATTAATTCTGTCTGTTTTGAGACTTTAGCATCGCTAACAATGTTTTTAAATCTTTTCTTTCCTATTTCAACTTTTTTATAAGGAACGTCAAGGCCACTGTTACTAAACCCTAGTATACTATTCTGTTCTGAAGAAGGTCCCATTGAGTTAATAGAGCTACTGAGGTAGTGAACATCTGCATTACTAAATAAACAATGTCTTATTAATTTACAAGATTATAATATTGAATAGTACATAATTTACTAATAAATACAATATATATTCTTTAATTATATTCACTATGGTTATTAAGACTTCAAAAATTATTTTTACATACTGTAAATTAATTAAAACCAAAAAAAATGGATTGTACATTTCATTTTCTTTATACAATTTATCCAAATATGATATTGCAGAATCATTTGAAGTAATAAAATTGGGTATTAAAAATCCTCGTCCCTGTTTTGGAGTATCAGTTAAACTTGCTTCATTAGATAAATTTAAAACAATGCCAGCTTTCCCTGTCACAGATAATGCTAACCATGTTCCGCCTTCTTTTCCAGGTTCCATATCAGTACCTGATAAATTATAATTTTATTTTAAATTATAAGTAGGATTAGTGATTTTCATTAAAATAGAATTAATAAATAAGAAGTCAGCTTTTCTTATTTCTTTGTAATGATAAATACAAAAAAATATAACACTTTATTTTGATAAATGCAATTATTATAACAAATCAATGTGTCAAAAATATAACAATTCTTTAATACAAAGGTATAAGAGAATAATATTAATTTATGTAATTGTGTAACAATTTACATTATAATATTTACTCAGAAAATTGACTACTTCTCAAATTTACTTCTAGGTAAAGATATTTTTAGCATACCTCCTAAACATTCTGGATGATTTTCCCAATAATGGGCAGGTAATGCTGGACGTTTAATATATTCATCACGATTTGAGGCCAAAATTAATCGATAGGACTCAGAGGTAGCATCAGGATTACGATAAATAAATAAGATACACATAATTGAATTAAATCATTTAAATGTTTCAAACAGTATCTCTCTATATTACTGAAGAGCTTTGATTTAAATCAGCTTTGTTATATATCATTGATAAGATTATTATCTACTTTTCAATCATAAATTAAGATAATGTGAGTATGTTGATTACTGAAGATGTAAGTTGATTACTGAAGACTGTTGATGTTTAATATTACATAAAATACTGATATTACTAAAAATATTATTCTTCTTAAATGTACACAAAAATTATGATCACAATTATTATTAATAACATAAAAAAATGTATTACACTGTTCAAGGTTTATAAATTTGTAAATTTCATTTCACAATTTAATTTGATATTATACCTTTAACGTTATTTTACGAAATCAATACGGTATGCCATATATTACAATTTTTGTAATATTGTTAAAAATATTAATATTAGTAAATGAAATTAATAATAGTATTATGTTTTTCACTGTTTCTGTTACGTCAATAATTACACATGTTTTTATCTATACAAGCATTTACAACACAATTTATCTCTTACATTATTATGTAATGTAGTACTTTTTTGAACTTCGTAATATTATGTCTGTATATTTTATTTTTAAATACATATATATATAAGTTTTGCATTTTATACCAAAACGAACTGACAGAACAATATTTATGATTTCCTTATAATCATTTTATGCATCGACATCTACAGGAAATTTATGCAATAAACGCGTCAATTTAAAAGGAAACAGCTTTTAAATCAGTGTAAAAATTTCGCTCTGAACATGCAAATTGAGACTTACTTCTGATAAATGATTACGATAATTTAAAAACAATTTACATAAGTTTATTAATTTGAAATATGGAAGATTTTTTCAGTATTGAAATAAATAAACATAATGATACTAATACAAACTTTATTATATATGATTGTAATTGGTAAATATAAATTTACCTAAATTTATATATCGTAAATTAGATTTTATTTAAATATTACATTATTGTTTCGTTGTTGAACAAATTTTTGTTACTGAACTTTAAGCAATACGAATTCCATTCATCATATGATTTTAAATTCAGAAACAGTTCGAAAAAAAAATGAATAAATACTGCTATTATTTTGTCAGATTACTTATTTTCGTTAAAATTTGTTTATTAAAATGACTTGTATTAACAATGATGAAAAATTTATGATCTTAAAAAACGTGACGGTATTTTCTTTAACTTATAATATTTTATAAGTTAAATAATCTTATATATATACATATCTTTGTGCACTATTTAAATGCTTTATATTAATTAAAATATGGTATTTATGTAAGAAGTATTTTATCAACATAACGAAGTACATAAAAGTTATTTTGTGCATTCTATAAAAACAAATACAATTATTTACATACACAAAGTTAAATTAAAACTTATATATGTATATATGTATATGATAAAAAATATATATAATACTGCATTTTAGACTAGAATTTACAATAAGTATTTCTTTGGAATAATTTGAACATAATAATATTGAAGGAAAGGTACATTCTTCAGAAACTAAATAAAAATCTTACAAATGAGTTTCTATTACAAGATTTAGCTATCTATTTCTATTTGACCATACGTACAAACCAAAATCTTCATTGTATTAATTTCATATTTGTAAATTTCATTCAGTTGAAATATTTTATATGATTAAAACTTTCAATTTGTTTCTGACCTATTGCATATTAAGTACAAATAATCAGTAATATTTTAAAGCATTTATGTGTATATTTAATGATAGCTTTATTTTTATTAGATGAATCTATAACATGCTTATAGAGATATTTTTGCTGTCACAAAGTTCAAATAATTTAGTATTATAAAATTTTCTAAGTCTATTTGTATAGACCAAATATATTATTTATTTTTATAAATACATTTAAATAAACAACTTGAACAATTGTAGTATATTTCTGGTTACACTTGAAAATGTATCAAGGAAGTTTTATAACAAAAGATCATAATTCATACTTTTGTGAAAAAAGAATGAATTGAATCAAAGATACATTATAAAGATATGATACATTTAGTAAGTTTGCTCTGTTCTTTACAATTCATACTCTACATTACCAAAATACCTAACGACTTTTTTACATTAGATGTTTCTGGTAATGAAAGAGCCCACTTTCTCAATCCTGTTAATAAAACTGAACTTGTAACTACAATTGCTCCTCCTACTGAATAAGGATTAGGTATTTCATTAAAAAATAAAACTTGCCAAAAAAAGGCAAACACTATATCTGCTGATCTTGCTATTGCAACTGGTCCTGCTTGTTCCATCTGTAAAGCTAAAGTTAATAGTATCTGACCCCCAAAACTGAAAAGAGCGAGTGCAACAACCAAAAGTCTATCAGTTCCACACCTTGGTAAGCATAGTGCACCTATAGCCCAAGATATAACTATTGTTTGAATTAAAGCAAATGACCCAAAGTTTGTCATAATTACTGAAAAGTGAAGACCTTTCAAAGCTCGCAATAAAACATACGCATTTGCACCGAAAAGAGTTGCAGAGAAAGCTGCTGCAGCACCCCATAAATCTGCGTGTGCTGTTTTTACATGTCCATCTGAAAGTGATTCTACAGTATGTCCGAAAATAAGCGGTGGACGTGTTATCAAAATTACACCAACCAGTGTTAAACAGACTGTAATAACGTTAAATAATCCGCAAGGCTCTTTTAAAAATATTTTTGCGAATATAGCTACAAATACAGGAACTGAGAAAACTACAACAGATGCATCGGCTAATGGCATATGTCGAAATGCATAGAAACTTAGCATGAGGCCAGTGGTCCCTACAAAACTTCTTAATATTAGCATTAATCTACGTCCTTTTGGGAAAGGATGTTCTCCCTTGTATATCACAATTGGTATTGCTGGCAACAATACACCCACAAACCGAAATGCTGCCAATTCCATTGGATTTACTTCTACTAAACCCTTTACAATGACACTGCATAATGAAAAAAATAATGATGACAGTGTTGCTAATATTAGGCCAAGATAAGGGCAGGATTTGCACATTAAAATTGAAAATTGTTTCTGTCGTGTTGTTATATTACTTTCAACATCAGCATCAACTAAATGCTGGAGTTCAACATGTTCTGACATTTCTGAAAGAAAAGAGAAACAAATTTATATATTAAAATATTTTTGGTACATAAGCAATGTAAAAATTAAAATAATTTGCTTCAGCTTGTGCAAAATTATTTTTGAAACACAAATGTGTTATCACTTAAATACTAAAAACGTACTACAACTGATTTTGTTAATATTAACAAATTAATAACCTACCTGTCGTAAATTTAATAAGTGGTTAACCACAGTGTACAGATATACAAGTAAAATTATATAATAAATAATTGGTATAAGTAGTACATTTATAATTATTTGGAAGACTAAATTATTTTAGAACTTTTGATAATTCATTCTCGTTCATTGCTATTGATGCTGCCCCTTACATTTTTTTCAATTACTATTTTAATTGAAACATCACGTTGCCACTTGTATGAAGTGAGCACTTATCGACATGATCGTATTGAAGGGCAAACGATTTGTGCAATAAATATGAATAAATAAAAATTCGATGTTAGTATAATTTAAATTATACGTGAATTATGCAATCTGCATTTGAAATATTATAATATCTTCCAAGTGAATGTTTAATATCTTCTTAGTTAGTATAAAGTAATAATTAAGTTATATTTTTAATATTACTTTTTATTTATAAATATTAATATTATTGTTTACTAATTTTGTTAAGAAATTTCTAATCTTACAGTTAATATCTAAATATTTGTATGTACTTTGCATTATTTGTTTTTATTTAGAGGATTCTAATGTTCCCGCATGTTCGAATTCCACAGCTTATCATATTTCGGTGATATTTCGTATAGTCTAGTAATTTTTATTATTATTATAAATTTCAAATATTAAAGCAAATCGAATAAAAAAAAAATGTTTTAAACAACTTGTATGTACTCTGAAAATTTGTTTAACTACTTTTTATCTCCATTTTTAGCAAGAATTACTATTTTCAGGTGTGTACGTGAAAATGCCATCTGCAGGGGCAAACTCTTCGGGTAGCTGTATTATTCTATGTTCAAGTAAGGCTTCCACGGTATATGAAGTTCTTTCTAAAATACTGTTATTCATTGGTTGTATGTATGAATTTCATAGTGTTCGCAGGTTACAATAAATCAGACAATTTTTCAATTAAAGTTGAATTAAGATTGAAATTATAGTGTAGTGCACAAGGACCATTAATCGTAAGATATAGAATCGAGAACTATTTAATGGATCCGACTATCGGTTGGTATCAACCGGAGCAGTTCGGCCCCGCTAAGGATTTGTGGTTACACATTTGGGAAGCTGAGAAAGGCCTGGATATCTTAACGCTGAAGAACGACTCGTCTTCAAATGTTATGGGAGTGAAACTTCAGCAGGACTTTATATCTTTGGATTCTGCTAATTCTCGTACAGGGGACCGAATGCAACTTAATACTTGTAACAGCTATTATAATCCGTCACGTAGGAAAGGTGATAATCGTGCTAGTACTTACGGCATGAACTACAATTACGATGCCTTAGTCGGCGAATACGGCGGTTGCCCGTGGAGGGTACCCAATAAACATTATTCAAAAGGGGTTATCGGGTAAGTCTTGCCGTCAAGCCTTGATTCATTATTTGTGTTAGAAAAACTAAGCTATTAAGGTTTACATGGTTTATCCATATGGGCATGACTAAGGTTATGTAGCTTGCACGCTCGTTTACAAATAGGGTATAACAAGGTCCCTTTATAATTAGAAATGTTGCAAAGAAGAACTTACTTTCTTTTGGTGAATGAATTCGATCTAATAGAATATTTTTAAGTAATTTCGATTTTCTTCACTATTTACGCAAATTCTCTTGTTGCATTTTTAATCTCTACGAATATAAAGGTTCTGTAAACACACGTGGATGTTTATATAACATGATTATTTATCTTTGGCTGTATAATATTTCATATTGCTTGTACTGTAAAATTTATCTATTATTTTTTAAATAATTGACCCAGATAACGATTTTTTCAATTTGGAAGTATTGTTAATTATAAATTATACAGGAATATTATATTTATTGTAAATTTGAGTTTATGTATCAAACAAATATGATATTTATAATACATGTTTTTATTTCAAACAGTCGGTTTATTTTCACTGCTTTTCAATAATTTGCGTTTCTGAAGTATTGTACATCCAAGTTTGTTAAGATTTAGTAAGATACCTTTTATATGAAAAGATTCTAAAAATTTTATTTGATTCAATATTTTGTGTATTTAGATTATTTTTATTTTATTCATCTGACTCATATTCCTTTTTAAGTTAAAATATAAGTAGTCTATCAATTATCTTTATAATTTAATAAATTATGCATATATGCAATTGAACTTGAAAGTTCTTAATAATTTAAAAACATATTTCTTCATTATTTTCACAAATTTTATAATCATATATTACAATGAAAATCATTATGTATTGTTTTGAAAATTGATTTTTTATAAAAAGTAATGATGGTAATAAGTGTCCATAAATTATTTATGTACTAAAAATAATTAAACTAGATATATTTTTATACGAAACAACTCTTTATAAATTGATATCTGTCAAATATTTTTAATAATACAATTGTTCATTGTATTTAGATTACATGAAGAGATTGAAGATTTTTTTTCTTACATGTGTCCCTCTAATGAGGAGCACAACTTACGAATGCGTGTTGTCAAAAGGATAGAACAAGTAATACATGATCTGTGGCCAGATTCTAAGGTTGAAGTATTTGGCAGCTTTCGCACTGGTTTATATTTACCTACAAGGTACGTATCAATGTACATATTTAAAACAGATTGTATTTAGTTATGTGTTCATACTGAGATATATATAGCTTTCAAATCAGTTTTAATGTTTCCTATGTCTGTAAATGTTTTATGTATATAATATTCAATTTACTATATGCAAATAACTTATCACATTGAAGTAATACTAATTATTTTAAAGTAATAAAACTAATCTAGTTAATACTTTATGTGTATCGTGAAATGTTTTTTGAATGCATAGAATTTATTTCTTTTTGCAGTGATATAGATTTAGTAGTAATAGGAATGTGGACAAATCTTCCATTGCGTACTCTGGAACGTGCTTTATTGGATCAAAATATTGCTGAACCTTCCTCTATTAAAGTTCTGGATAAAGCTAGTGTTCCGATTGTTAAGTTAACTGATAAAGAAACTGAAATTAAAGTAGATATCAGTTTTAACATGAGTAATGGGGTTAAGTCTGCAGAATTGATAAATTCTTTTAAAAAACGATATCCAGTATTGGAGAAACTAGTTATGGTATTAAAGCAATTCTTGTTGCAAAGAGACCTGAATGAAGTGTTTACTGGTGGAATCTCCTCCTACAGTTTAATATTAATGACTATCAGTTTTTTACAGGTAAGATTAATAATCTATTTTAAATCTTTGGTGCTTAAATAAAGGGAATAATTATTAAATTTAATATATTAGCAAATTAAAGGTGAGCAACTAATCTTTTTACCATGTAGTCAAATTTTTATTTCAGTTACATCCCAGGCAAAATGCTTATTGCTCAAATGCTAATCTTGGGGTGCTATTAATAGAATTTTTGGAATTATATGGTAGGAAATTTAATTATGTTAAAACAGGAATTCGAGTAAAAGATGGTGGTACTTACATATCAAAAGAAGAGGTAAAGTATATGCGTAAAAGAGATCGTACGTCCTATAAAATACTATATAATTTAATGATTTGGATGCTATCAAAGGAATTTTGTTATTTATGAATTAAAAAAAAAAAAACAATAGTCTATGTCTTTATGAAGTAAACATTACTAACATAATAGCGTATATTTTTTGAATATTATATTCTAACAATAAACGATAATAACAGTAATTAAACACGTGGAGTAATTATAAACTAATTAATTAAAATGAGAAAGTAGTAAGTAAAAATAAATATTTAAATTTAAAAATGTGGGATAAAAATTAATGACTAGATGAATATAATGTTTACATGAATACAGAAATATTTGAACGAAAATTTGTTAGTGTAATAAGTACAAATAAATACAAATACAATATAATAATTCATACTCTAATTTAAATTTTATATTTTATATGTATGATTCATAGGTTCAACGAGATATGATTGATGGTCATCGACCTTCTTTATTATGCATAGAAGATCCGCTTACACCTGGAAATGATATAGGTCGTAGCAGTTACGGTGCTCTGTATGTAAAAGATGCGTTTGATTGGGCTTATTATGTTCTATCACAGGCTGTCAGCCCTTTAAATATTTTAGTTAATGATGCAAATAAAGTAAGGTGAGATTATCTATACATCTAATCTTCATCGGTACATATTACGACTCGATCAAACGTTTTCTAAAAAAATATGTTATATACAGTATATTAGGAAGAATAATTCGCGTGACAGATGAAGTAATAGAATACCGCAAATGGATCAAAGAAACATTCCCACTACCTTTGAGCGAGGTAGATTCATTGTCAAGTTCAACTGGATCAGATGCATCAACACTGTCTGCTCCAGCTAGCGATACGGTATAAAATAATTTTAATAAATTATTTTATAAACGAAAATAATTACATACTAATCATTGTTCTTAACATACGACCTTAACATTAATAGGATTCCGAATGTAGCCGTGGAAATTCTCCTAATACTGGGGGAAAAGGAGAAGATAGGAATAAGGAAAGAAATGTATATAATAATCAACATACTCATCATTCACAGTGGAAAAAGCCATTCAAAGGAACTGCTCATGGTACGAATATTTTAGGTTTTTCAGAATGCGATTAAATTTACATTTTATTAACCTTACCCTTTTTTAACGTATTTAAAAGCTTCACTCTTATTTATTGCAGGCAATCATCATCACAGTTCTAGAGGAAATTATCATCATCGTGGAATAAATAACAACATAAGTGGACAGAGTAAGGCAAAACATTCTCTTCATAGTAATGGAAGTAATAATAATAGCCACAGTCCAAGTTCAAGGTCACAAACCGTTAAACGAAAAAAACAGTGCATTACACCTCGTGGTACAGGAGATTGTGTGCGGTGATGAAACGTGCAAAATAATGTTGGACTTTGTTTGTCACTTAAGTAGAGAGCTCAATATCATAATCGTGTGGTGAAAAAACACTGGATTAACTTTCATCACACAACTAAACTATCCTTTCCATTTTAGTGTACAGAGGGGCTCAGTGTCTATAACGATGTGGAGTTGATAAAACTCTATGTCCCTTTTTTCTTATATGAACAAGAAAGTGGCCCCAGTGTAATTAAGTTCTCCATTTCACCAGAAACATTTTATTCTGTACGAGAATTTAAATACCAAAGACGTACAGAATTGTAATATAGATTGATTTAGTTTTACTTTCATTTCGTATTCCTGCACATATTACAAGTAACACTGAGAAAATAATGTAATATTTTACTAATTATGGTTTACAAGGTTATAAGCTTATTGCAATTTTTAAATAGCAATTGTGTTCATAATCACGATAAAATCATTGTAATACATTTATATGATATGAATGATATATACAAAAATTATTTACAGTACAGTTTTCTTAAAGATTTCATGAAGCCATAAAACAAGCTCTAACAATGATGATAAAGACTTAGTTTTCTATATGGAATTATATTCTTATAACAAAGGGGTGGCAGACAAATTGGTGATATTGGAACTTACCTATTGTAAATATTGTAATATATATTATCAAACATAGAAACATAAGTTTAAGAGTTACCTACTAAATCTTTTTTTTTTTTTTCTATTTTGTTATAATAATTTTATCATTTGAAATTCACGTCTATGTCTATGTGAGAATTATCTATTTTTTCTGTAATATGTAAGTCCAATATTGTTGTGAAAATGTTTTGGTATATTTTTCGGATTTTAATAAAGCTATAAGTTCGTGTGCTGATGATCAAGAAATTTTAAATAAAAATATTTTTGAAAATACTAACTCATCGATAAAAAATGATATAATACATTTTAGATTTTTACATCGTGTTCTTTCAAGTTGTAATTGTGCGTAATACTTTACTTTTTATACAGAATTGCTGATTTCGTAACACTAGTTTGTAATTTTTAGTCTCCCCTGAACAATAATACATTATTTTTATATTACGAAAACTAATAGTAAGCATATACATCATGATAGAACGTCACATGAATTCAATGCACGAATCAGATATTGCATTTAAACGTATTCTGTATTAAATATTTAAAAAACTGAGCAACATTTCAAAAATTTTGTATATGACAATACGCAGAAGGCCTTTATATTATTGAAGACTCTTGATATTTGTAAAATTTATCTTATATTTAATTTATTATTAAAAAATTACATTCCGTTTTTTCAATGTAAATTTTTATTTCTAAAATTAACTACAGAAACGACTGCGTTTATTATAGCAAGCGTTTACTGATTAAGAATATTTATCTAGATTGCATTTTGTGTTAATACAGGTTGTAATATAGTTCAAACGGTGTCTTCTATTAAATTCGAATGAAACAGTAAAAAACGATAGTATTTACTTTCCTGCAAATTTTATAACACATGCGGAGTGTTCTATATACTATTCAATGAAACGTTGTTCATGAATACTATTATAAGCTCCAATAAGCTCTGACAGTTAATAATGTTTAATGGTTATAAACGAAAGCCTCAAACAGTTATTAGCTGTAATAAACCGAGCCGCGAAAGCCTCAAAATTCTTATTATAAGCTCTGTGATTCGATTTGTAATTAGTATGATGTGTGTGCGTATGTGAACAGTAAAATATGGATCTTATAAATTCTTAAAGCTATACATGTAATTATTATTACTATTGTTGTTGTTATTACAGCTAACTAGTCTGCGAAAACTATTGCAAATTTTTTAATTGGGGATCAAATTTTCATAAAATTGTATTATCAATAACTTATGATTTGTGTTTGTCTATCTTCAGAAATTATTAAAAGATGTGTAAGTATTAAAAATTTAATAAACAATAATAACAGGTTTCTTTCCATCATTTTTATTGTTTTTTTTTTTCAATTGTCAGTATTATATACATTATTTTTTCAAACCTTATGTTATAAGAGAGTAAATAATAAATTACACAATTAATTGATTGTAAAGGATAACAACAATTAATTCTAGGTAAAGAATAATTCAGAAAAATTAAGAAATAATAAAAATGATAAATGTTTAATATTTGGTACATAATGTACAATATACATTGCTTATGTTCTATTTCTAATTTATTTAGAACACAGGTGTTATACTTCAAAATCCCTTTAATTTGGTAGGAATAATTTATTAAAATTTTGTTTCACTAAGCATATACAGAACATTTCTTTAACTGTTACTGTACAATAAACTGTATATTTTTTTTACTATATTTTTATACCAAGATAATTTATTTTTTAGAACTAATTCCAGTTATAGGATTGACTTCAAGTATTTGCATACGTTCCAGTTGTGCAAGTCTACTTTCTTCGGTAAATGATTCTGGTAATGGTGGGTATGCTATAGAATTTAATTAAATTATTTAATAGTGAATATTAAGTAGGATATTACTATTTTAAATTATTAACTTAATCAATTCGTCTTTTTCAATTTACTATATTTATAAACTATAGATCACAGTTTGATACATAATATGTATAGAATTTAACTTACCATATGTTTTAAGGAACATGAACAACCAAATACTGAAGGCACATCCCAAGAATGTATATCCAAGACATGCTTTCCAATCACCTGATGGGGCTAGGAATTCACTAAATGTTTGACGATAACTGGCACGATATAATGCTTTCTTCTCTTCTATTGATAATTTTTTCCAATCACCCTTTTCTTTCTCTCTTAATGCCTACATAAAGATTAATATAAAAAATAATGAAACATTTAATTTGTTAATGAAAAACATATAACAGCTATATTTTGTCAATTATATTTGGAAATTTACAATTATACAAATTATTTTACCATGATATCTGGGGTATTTGCTTTGAATCGAATAGCAGGCATAGGAAAATCAGCTCGATCTAAGTAGGTAGGTTCCCCATTGTATCCATTGCCTACTATATCTCGATTACCAATTTTATCTGGGAATACTGGACCAGGCAAGGCCATTCCACGGGTACACATATATGGTGCACTTTGTCGTAAACGGAAGAGGAATAACTTGTTAGCCATTGTGTACTGAAATAATAAGATTATTTAATGATGTATAAAATTTTTTATATTTCATCTTTTATAAATACCCATATTATCTAAAATTTTGAAGTCAATCCCTTGTTTAAGCTTTATTGATACGAGATATGTGATTATATTAAAAAACGAAGTATAAAAACTTTTAGATACGAAATATTATTGATAAAATATTTAAATACTTTTGAAATATTAATGTAATTTACAACAACATGAAATTAAAAAATATATAAAAGCACTTAATTTTTCTACATTACATATTGATCATCTCGTTCGGTGGTTATCTAACACTCAATTGCACGAAAAGTATGTAAAAATTAAAATGATATATGTTTTAACTTATCAGAAATAATACATTATTGTATGATAATGTAATATTACTCAATATTACACGCAATTATTAACAAAGTAAGTGAAAACTTACTTTTTTTGCAAACTCAGATGTAAGGAAACGTAATATGGCTACTACGTTGTACAGTGGAGTGGGTTAGATCATGGTTCGGTATATTCGTATGGGTAATACATTGTATGTGCATAAGTACTTAATATGTATGTATATGTATATATCTATACATATATATATATATGTATATATAAATAAACTATCGATATGTAATTTGTATCTGACAATTAGTATTTAAACGACTATGATGATGGTTCAGTTTATTCATGAAAAATTTTAAATTTTGTTCTAAGAAACATCTTCGTAGAAAAGAAATATGTTTATTTCGTTAAACAAATAATTGTTTTATATTAAACGATAGATTTTAACTTCGTATCAATAATACTGTTATTTCAATGAAATTAATTAACAAGTGAAATTGTAATTTTCTATAATTAATGCAACGTACAAAACACTTTTCTGTATTGTAAATTTTGATATGATAGATATTAGTAATACATATGTATACATTTTCAAATATTTTTTTAAAATTTATTATTAGATATTTTGCAAAATTTTAATAAAAAGTTGAAATGCATCTACCTTATCGACTAGGTGAATTTATATACGAAAAGTTACATAAAATAGTCTTTAATTCTGCCTATAGGATCGCATAGGTTGTGCGGGTATAAACCCGCGGTTGCTTACGGCATGGCGTTAGCCAAGTCGTGTGTCATTGTACGTTGCATATGAAAAGTGTAATACATTTATAACGTTTTTATTTTACATGTTGTATATTAATGAAAAACTTTTTATACATACTTTAACGGTAAGTGAAAATTTCAGGTGAACAATAACAGCAGTGCCTTAAGAGATAAATGATATTTGTAGGCGAGTTCTGTTCAAAGATTCAGTGAGGTTTTGATATGGCGGCAAATTTTAGTTAGGCAAGCATTTATTGTAAAACGGTAATATTCTTTAATTATTTCATCGGTTATTTAAATGTGAGTGTGTCACAATTTTTGTGTTACATTACAAGTAAAGCGGGCTCGTTTGTAATATTAAGTTATAGCTAAAAATTGAAATGCTGTATGTTTCTGCATTTTAAAGCACAGTGGCGACATATCATGGCGACAAGAATTTCTTAGCTGCGGTTGTGTATCTCGGTTATTTTCATACCGAATACGTACGCCAAGGAATTTCTTTGTGAAATAACATATTTAGTAAATTGACATATTGTATATAAAATTTTTTTCATTGAATTTTCAATTGCATTTTAATCATCTGCATCAAAGTGATGTAATTATATTGTATTAGTTAGGCATAACATGCAATTAGTCTGTCCTGTGTATATTCTTTATGACATTATGACTGAAATAAAGAATTGTAATACAGTAGCTGTATATTAATTTCAAATATTACTGTTTTTATGTCTATTCACGTATTGATTTTTTATACTTCTTTAAGATTACTTACAATGAACAAGCGCCGTAGAACATCTTCAGTTGCAAGTAGAGGAACAGAAGATGATGGGGATGATATACCACGTGAACCAACAAAGAGACGAAAAAAATTGGACCCTGTAAGTTGTTTTGTTGTAGATTCTTAAATATATAAAATGAATTGAAAATTGAATCTTAACATTTATTTGATTTAAAATGTTTAGAGTGACTTGTGTCAACAATTGTATGATGTGTTGAGAAATCAAAAAAAGGAAGATGGAACGCTATTGTGTGACGCATTCATACGTGTGCCTAAACGTCGACAAGAACCAGGATATTATGAAGTTGTAACAAATCCTATAGACCTATTAAAGGTTCAGCAAAAATTGAAAACAGATGAATATAGGGATATGGATGATTTAGCTGCTGATATTCAACTTATGGTTAACAATGCAAAAGCTTTTTATATGGTAATATATGTTGAATCAAATTAATGTACATCTATATCGACATAGATTAATATCTTGATTATAATAATTTTTTAAATGTAGCGTACATCTCCTGAATACAAAGATGCCACTGAACTTTGGGAATTATGTGTAAATACAAAAAACCGTATTATGGAAGAATATGAAGATCCAGAACCCAAAGGGAAACTAATTCTAAAAGTAGCACGACTGGTGGGTAACGGCATAAAACTATGTGCATATTATAATTAATAATTTGTATAAAATTAATTATACAGGCTCGAAAAGCTACATTAAAGCAAGAAGATGCGGAAGATACATCTGAAAGTTCTACGAATCCTGATGAAGAGACAATGCAACAATTTGAAGACTTATTTGCAGCAGTTATGACAGCAACAGATCCAGCTGATAATAATAGGCCATTACACACAATGTTTCAATTGAAACCATCTAAAAAGGTAATAACTTTTTACCAGTGAAATATCAACATTTTTCGAAACTGAAATATCGTATGAACAATCTTACATTTTCAGTTATATCCAGAATATTACGATGTGATCGAGACGCCGGTAGATCTAAAAACAGTTGCAAGAAAAATTCAAGAAGGAGCTTATAATACTATTTCAGATATGGAAAAGGATTTAATGTTAATGTGTCGTAATGCTTGTCAATTTAATGAACCTGGTTCACAAATTTATAAAGATGCTAAGCTTTTAAAGAAGATTATTACCGCTGCAACAAGAAAACAAGATACCGGAATAAGTAGCAATATTCCAAAAATTGCGACAACTGCGCCATCGACACGAAGTAAAAGAGGAAGTCGTACAATGGCACAATCTTTAATAGCCCAAACTGCGTCGTTGCCAGACGAAGATGAAGAAAGTGATGACGAAGAAGAGGAACCTGCAGAAACTGAAGAAGCTGACAATCCACAATGGCAGCTGTTTCAGACTATAAGAACAGCACCTAACAATCAAGGTATTTAAATGGTTTACAATACTTCTAATGTTACAATGTTTTATGATAATAGTATTAGTAATATTTTTGTTCCTTGCATAGGAGTTAGAATGAGTGAATATTTTTGGAAACTGCCATCGAAGAGATTATATCCTGATTATTATAAAATGATTAAGAATCCTATTTCTTTATTACAAATTCGTACGAAGATAAAGGTAGTGAAGAAAAAAAAAAAATAATGATCTCACCTTTTCAAAATTACTGTTATTTAATTTGTCGTTATTTTAGAAAGGTGAATATGGTACTGTTAGTGAAGTAGCTGGTGACATGAATATTATGTTTGAAAATGCAAAGAAGTATAATATTCATACATCTAGATTATACAAGGTAATGTATATTAATTGATTTAAATCTATCTATGTTCTTAACTTATATTACTTACTTTTATTGCTTTGTGTTAAAGTGTGCTGTAAAACTACAAAAGATTATGCAGGAGAAAGTGCAAGAATTATTAGAATTTGATCAGGTAAATAAAACTCTGTCGAGGTAAGAACGTATTTTTCTTTAATTATATAATTTCTTTTACAATTGAATTGTAATAGATTTTAGCACATTAGAATATTTAATGTGCTGAAATATCAATCAATATTATATAAAAGATTATTTTAACACAAACTGTTTTTTTATACTAAATAAATTGTGTATAAATTTTACATGTTTTATATTGCATTTAGGATTCAGATTCAGATAGTGAATTTGAAAATAGTTCTCATCAACCTAAACTTATTAAACGTGCTTCAAATCTATTAACACGTGGAAAATATAAAGACAATATTCCGTTGAAAAAGAGATTGTATGCATTGGTTAAATGTGTTATGGAATACGTTGTAAGTAATTCCAATCTTAAATACTGAAACTGAAGCTTATCAATATAGAGTTCTTCGTTATATTACAGTGCGAAGATGGACGGCAACCAATGTTAATGTTCATGGAAAAGCCTTCAAAAAAATTATATCCAGATTATTATCAAGTAATAGCAGAACCTATTGATATGTTAGCTATTGAAGCTAATATCAAAGCAGAAAAATATCAGAGTGAAAACGAATTGATACAAGATTTCAAGGTATATTTTATACATGTATATATTTATATATTTAACTAAATATTTATTACTGTATTTTATATCGCATTTTTCTTATCAGTTAATGTTTAATAACTGTCGTCAATACAATGAAGAAGGTTCTTTAATATATGAAGATGCAAATACTTTGGAAAGAGTTTTAATGGATAAAGTGAAAGAGTTAGGTCCTTTGCCAGACACGCCGAAACCTACGAAATCCAGTGCATCTACGCCTACTCGTAATGTTGGGTATGTATTATGTTTATATATACAAGATGTCCTAAAATATTGTTTTGGCTTTTGGGATAGATTTTCGGTTTTTGGGACATCCTGTATATGACTACAGAAATATACATATATTAGAATTTATTTACAAAAGTTGTAACATGATTGATGTGTAAAAATGTAATATACATTTTTACAATTACATAGGAGACCTAAAAAAGTTGTACCATTACACTTACAAAAATTGAAAACTATGTATGATACTATAAAGGATTATCACGATGCAAAAGGGAGACAATTGTCTTTAATTTTTATGAAATTGCCAAATAAAAACGAGTATCCCGATTATTATGAAGTTATAAAACAACCAATGAATATGGAAAAAATTGCTTCTACGCTGAAAAATAATGGATATGACAATTTGGATGAACTCGTGTCCGATTTCATCTTAATGTTTGATAATGCTTGCAAATATAATGAGCCTGATTCACAAATATATAAGGTTTGTATTTGATATATATTGAAATATTTATTTGAGAGTAAAATAAAGTTTTAAATAAATCATGATATTGATTTCGAAACGAAACAAAGATTTATTTATTTAAAAGTTATAGTCTTTGTTATTTTCTTTTTAATAATTTTAAATATAAGAAAAGATAAATCATTTATATAGAGTAACGAATTTATCGTAATTGATAGCAGTTACTTTTACGTTAGTTAATGACCTCAAATATTATTGAAAGATGTAATTATTGTTGTATTTATGGCCCAGATTAAATTGATTTTATAGAATCTTTACTATAGTGTGTAAAAATAATGTGGATATTAAGGTTCAATTGAAATTTCGCGCTAAAACATGGAAAGCTCGATGTGTTTACGGTCATAGTTTTTGAGGTTACGCGAAGTAAGCTTCCTCCGCAGCTTTGTCGTTTCATGTCATTTCGCGTAAAAATTTTAACGTATAACAAAT